CTGAATTGGATGCATATGGAGGAGGAGTTCGGGGTTTTTGTAGCTTCTTGTAGACCCCCAACTTCCTCTTGAGCTGCTTCAGCTCCACCGACGTCTTCCCTGGGGAGCGGGTAGTCGTTGTGGGCTGGTGTCGGGAGAGGACGTTGACTCCGTAGAAAGGTCGGCTTCTTTCCACACTCCTTAATTTGGTCCCCAAGTTCTCCGGTACCGGTATGATCTCCACAATTTTCTGTTTCTTCTTGAGTCCCTCCCGAAATTTCTCCAAGGCTCTAGTCCCTCGAGAATTACAAGTTTTCATTAAAGCATCTTTATAAGATAACTTTAACGAATCCTTATAATTTCTTGGGTCTTCGAGGAGTTTCCCTGTCTCGGCAGAGTCTTTTTTCGCGGAGTCCGATCTTTTCTCGGCGATTTTCCCTGGCGAAGACTGGTCGTGGGGTGGAGATTTTCCCCCATCATTTTCTCCTGTTCGCGTTGAATTTGCTGCGTCGAAGTTGATTTTTCCGGAATCCCGTGGCCGCTTCCGGATCTTTTTATTTTCGCCAGCTAGATCCGCAATCACTAGCGAGTCCCATTTTTTGGCTTCTAATTGGCCGAAGGATACCCGCCACTGTTGCGTGCCTGATACTCTGCGCGTGCGGCTTTCATTTTGTTGCAGTCGAAGATTCGATGGCCCGGCACCCCGCAAAAATCACACGTGCAGTTGGTGTTTTTCGGACGTGGCCGCCCTTCGAACCTGTCGACTTCCATCGGGTCGGCGAACGTGGTGTGAGCCGAGCGGTCGCCCTGTCGCGTACTACCGACGTGCGTCCGTCGTGTCCTGGCGTTGACCATGTTGAAGCGCTCCGCTGCCGAAACGACGTCACTGTAGCTCGCGTAGTTTGACGCTGCTACCTGGCGTTTGACTTCGGTCTTCAGCCCGGCGAGGTAGGACTGTACTTTTTCCCTTTCGGTCAGGTCGGGAATACGGTTATAAAATTCTTCCATCTAGTGTGTGTACTGTGCTACACTCCTGAACTGTCGATGTCGATGATTTTTTCCCGGGCAAGGAAACCGGAATTTATCGGCTCGTAGCGTTTCAGCAGGTCGGCGCGGAACTGCTGCCACGTGGCTTCATCGTGGATAAAGGTGCTGTTGCCGCCAATCCACTCGAGTGCCGTCCCTCGCATCAGCGTCGCCGCGAGTCGTACGCGTTGACCGTCCCAGACTGGCGAGCTCCATCCGACGGCTGCGAAGTAGATCTCCATCCCGGCGATCCATCTTCGGGCGTCGGAGTTTCGATCACTCGGATCGAACGGCTCAGGTGGGCGTGGTTTCGGAGCCTTGAGAAATTGCTGCGACTGTTGCGTCGTCGCCGTTGTCGAGTCGTGCTGCGCTCCAGCGAGTCGAGTTACTCGCTCGAATTCGTTTCGCCACGCTTCGCGGTCCGCTCGCATCTCCTCCTGAAGAGTGGCGATGCTCGCGAAGAGCTGCTGGGTAACCTCGGCGTTGACGAGGGTTGCCATACTGTTCAAAACACGCGCGAGGGGGGGGGGGGGGGGGTAATTCACAAAACGCGGAGCTGGTGCTTACCAGAATCGGCGCTGAATTCGTCGCCCCCGGCGGTTTTTCGAGGCAGGATCCCCCGCTGCTGCTGCTTAGCTGAGCGCGGCTGAGTGAGAAAAGCTCTGATTCCCAAGTGTCACAGGATCGATTGTACCGAGGAAAGATTGCACTATCAATTGATACAAGGCGCTTTTATACTTCTAAAGTACATCAGGTAACCAGGTTTATCCTATCCAAGGGAATAGACCCTCCTAGAATATAGAATCACCCTGCGTATAGCCACTCGAGGCTATTGGCTTTAAGGAATTATGGCAAGATTACGCTAGATATAGCGCGCCTGTACATCCCAAGCCTGGTCGGTGATATAATTATAATAGCAGGATAAACCAAAGGATAAAGGAAAATGGAGAATAGGAAATCAAATGAGATGGGATAAAAAGGGAAATGAAATAGAAAGGAAACAAGGAAAGGGACAAGTGGTGTAACGGTGTCGTACTCTCACAACGGGGAGGGAGGGGAGCAGGGGCTACCAGAGGAGTGGGTACAAGAAACAGGGGCAGGGATATTGGGAGTCCTCGGTGGGGAACGCTGTGGTAGAAGGAGACGAACTCGTCGAAAGTGACGTCCCGCAACTGAAAGAAGCGGTGAGATGGCGGTGATAAAAGTGCCAGTGTGACGAGTCAAGAGGGAAACCAAGGAAGACGCAGGGGACCGTGTGGGTAGTGGGCTTGTCCGTGCCAGAGGCACAAATGTGAGCGAGGCAGCCCCAAACGTGGAACGCGGACGCGTCACCAGGGAACCCGGTCCCGAGAAGGGTCGGCGAAACCTGCGGCCGCTGGGAGTGCAGCCACAAGTTAAGCTGGTGAGCGGCGTAGCGAACAGCCAACGGCCAGAGAAATTGGGGTCACCGGCATGGATCATGGAGGTACGAGCCACATCTATGACCAAACCGATGCGTCGCTCAGCGACCCCAATCTGCTGCGGGGAGTCCACGGTGGCATAGCTCCACGGTAGAAAGGACAGCGACCTCGACCGAGGCACGCGGGGCGCGCCGACCGATGGGGGCGCGTAAGGCCGGGCGGGGCTCACAGGGCCAGCGGCGCGTAGAAGGGCCGACGGGGCGCAATGGGCCAGCAGGGGCGCGAGGAGGCTGGCGGGGCGCGAAGGGCCAGTGCAGCGCGATGGGCCGGCGGGGCACAAAACGGCCAGCGGAGCGCGAAAGGGCTGGCGGGGCGCGAAACGGCCAGCGGGGCGTGAGGGGCCGGCGGGTCACAAAAGGGCTGGCGGAGCGCGAAACGGAGAGCGAGGGGCGAGGGGCCGGCGGGGCGCATAAGGGCTGGCGGGGCGCGAAGGGCCTGGCGGAGCTCGAAGAGCCTGGCGGGGCGCGAAAGGGGGGCCCGCAGGGCGCGAAGGGCCGGCGGGGTGCGAGGGCCTGGCGGGGCGCGTAAGGGATCAGCAGGGCGCAAGGGCCTGGCGGGGCGCGTAAGGGATCAGCAGGGCATGAGGGCCTGGGAGGGAGCGAAGGGGGGCCAGTGGGGCGCGAGGGGCCGACGGGGCGCGAAGGGCCTGGCGAGGGCGTGAAGGGGGGCCAGCGGGGCGCAAGGGACCAGTAGGGCGCATAGGGGATGGCCAGCAGGGTACTAAGGCCAGCGGGGCGCTAAGGCCAGCGGGGCTCTAAGGACAGTGGAGCGCTAAGGCTAGGGCTAGGGCGGAAGCTGGTGGGCGGACCTAACCTAAGCTGATACCATCTTAGAGTAGCAGAATAAACTAGAATGAAGGGTACACGGTTTTTTTGACCTAATGTTTTGTACTCTCTAAGGCATGCCCCTATCTAGGCTATAGCAACATACTTAAATCAGCTTGACACATGTGTGCTTATAGGGATTAAGATTAAAATATAACAAGCGCTTGAAATCGAATAAAAAACATAAGCCCATCTCCGAATAGGAGTCGAGTAACACAATAAAGAGGTAGTGATTAAAGTATGTCGAGTACAAATGAAGCACATGGCTAAATACAAGCACAGCTAGCCTAGCAAGGGAGCCTTGAGAAGGGCCACGAAACACACGCGAGGTGGTTTGGGCACCTCGAGGCTCGGATGTGTCGGACGCGATGCAGCGTGGAGGCTTGGAGGTCTTGAACGTAGTTCAGACCTGAGTTGTCAGGCCGAGCGTCCTATCTGAGGCCCTGCTCGGTAGTTGGCTCGGGGACGTGTCTGATCGAAGGATACAGTTGTTGACTATCGAGATCAGCCGTGTTCGCGACAAACTGTCGAAAGAGGAAGACATGGAATGAGTCGTGGATACGCAGTCGTCCGATAACAGTAACTTGGTAGTAACAGGTGTCACCATCCAAACAATTTGGAAGGGCCCACAGAATCTCGGGTGGAGTTTATGTGGTAAACTCAACCCTAAATTCTTGGTGTCAAGCAGGACTAGTTGCCTAGGAGGCAGGGATAAATCCCGTCTATGCTTGTCAGCGTACCGTTTAGCCGTAAGGTTGGCTTTTGTAATAGCCTCTGTAGCGCTTTTTTGTGCAGTCTGTAAGTCCTTGACATACCATTGGAACCGTGGGGCTGGAATCTCAACTAAAGGTGGAGTGGGAGTCGTGGGGTTTAGACAGTAATTCAGGTAGAACGGTGATTGGACAGTCGTGGACAAAGGGGCCTTGTTATAAGCGAACTCGATCAAGAGGAGGGAATCTTCCCATTGGGTCGAGTTGGTACAAGTTGTCCGTATCAGTTGCTCCATGGTCTGGTTTGTCCGTTCAGTCTGGCTGTTGGTCTGTGGATGGTAAGCCGTAGACTAATGGAGATGTGTACCAAACTGTTCCCATATTTTTGTCCATAATTATGCCGGAAATTTGTGGTCACGATCGCTCACGATCGCCTTCGGGATTCCGTGCAGGCGAACGACGGTTGAGATAAATAGCTTGACGGTTTGCTCGACTGTGAACGACCACGAGGACAACATCATTTTGGGATGCACCGGTTGGCAGTCCTGTCATGAAGTCCATGGACGAGTGGGTCTAGGGCTTTGTGGGTGGTTCTAACGGTTGCAGTAATCCACCGGGTCGTTGGCGAGATGACTTCATGAGTTGGCAGATGGGGCATAAGACCACGTATTGATGTACGTCATGGCTCGCATTCGGCCAGTAATAATGACATTGGAGCATTTTCAAGGTTTTAACAACCCCGAAATGTTCCGAGCAGTTAGCATCATGAACCTCATATATCAGTAATTCCTGTAAGAGTCGGTAGGATGGGACCCAAATTCGGTCAGTACCAGCTTTAAGGTGGTAGTGGCCTCGTTGAGTGGTCAGGGCCTGGTGACCGTTAGAGGTGAAGTGGGGGTCAGTATTATAGCTGTGGTTAAATAGTCTAGTTAGTAGCGGATTAGCTTGGGCAATTAGTACGGCGGCTGTAACAGCAGTAGGGCGGGAAAGGGTGTCGGCAATGTTATTTGTCCCCTTTTTTTTAGGTGATGCGGTAGTGGAAATTGGACTCGAGATATTCGAGCCAACGAATCTGACGTGGGTTGAGGGTCGGTTGGGCTCGGAGGAATAGTAAGGAATTGTGGTATGTTCGAACAGTAACGTCGGCACCTGATAGGTAGCAGCGCCAGGTCTTGAAAGCTTTGACGATCGCGAGCATCTCCTTGTCGTGAAATAGGTAATTCCGTTCAGCACTTTGAAGTTTCCGTGAGTCGTAGGCGATTGGCTGCATGCCTTCGCAAAAGTCCTGTAACAGCATCGCACCAACGACGATGTCGCTGGCGTCCGTAACCAGTTTGTACAGGCGGTCAGGGTCGGCAATACGAAGAACGGGTGGCGTCATGAGGAAAGTTTTCAGTTGGTCAAACGCAGCTTGCTGCCTCTCCCCCCACTTATAAAAAAAACCCTTCTATAGCAAGCCGGTTAGTGGGGCAGATGACTCCGCCATTTTAGGGATACAATGGCGCACGTAATTGACGAACCCCATAAAACTCTGCAACTATTTGACGTTGGTAGGCGGCTCATAGTTTCGAATGGTGTCGATTTTCTTCGGGTCAATTTTAACACCTTCGGTGGAGATGATGTGGCCCAGGAACTCCAACTCCTCCTTTAAGAACTCGCACTTAGAGCCTTTGGTGATGAGGCGGTGTTGATCGCAGAGGGTGAAAAATGCTTCCAAGTCCTTCAAATGCTGCTCCCGAGTTTTGCTGTACATTAGGATATCATCCAGGTAGACGATGATGCACTTGTCCAGTAGCGAGCGGAAGACTTCGTTCATGGTCATTTGAAAAGTTGAGGGTGCATTAATTGACCCAAATGGCATCACTAAATACTCGTAATTTCCGTAAGGGGTTCGAAATGCAGTCTTCATAATATCAGCTTTGGCGGCGCGAATCTTGTGGTAACCCCCTCGCATATTGATCTTGGAGAAAATCCTGGCTCCGCGAAGCTGGTCGATGAGATCGTCGGCTCGTAGGACTGGGTAACGCGGCTTGATGGTGATGTTGTTGAGAGCGCAGAAGTCTGTACACATACGAAGCCCTCCGTCCTTTTTGGGGGTGAGGAGAACCGACGCGGCATAGGGTGACGTGGATGGGCGGATGATTTTTTTCTCCAACAGATAATCCAGTTGGGTACGCAACTCGAGCAGCTCCGGTTGACTCAGCCTCCATTGCGATCGGACGGCCGGTTGCACTCCAGGTTCCAGCTCAATCGTGTGATCGTGTGGTCGTTCGGGTGGTAGGCCGGGTGGTAGGTCATTTGGAAATATTTTTTCGTACTTGCTCATGATCTTCGCCAGGTCCTCAGGTACAGCGTCGCACAGCTTCTCAAAGTCAGTTTGTTCAGCCACCTCCGTCGATGCAATCCATTGGACGGCATAGACGTCCACGCCGCATGCCATTTCCTTGATCGTGACGTTGTTCACCGGTGTTGACTGTGGTTCGGGTGGTTTCCACTTCAGCAGTCGTCGCCACTCGCCACCCCACTTCAAACGAATGTCGCTATTCCTCCAATCAATGCTCGAATTGTACGTGCAAAGCCAATCGCGCCCCAGGAGCACATCGCAACCGTCGAATGTAGTCACCAGCATTTCCATGACGAAGCTGACTAGGCTGTCGCAATCAATGCGAATGTGTTTTATCGCTCCCGAATTACAAGTAGCGTGCCGTCGACCAACCGCACGTCAATTTCGGGCATGCACCGCTCCATTTGCAGCTGCAATTTCTTCGCTCTTGTCACATCGAACAGACTGTGTGATGCTCCACCATCCACGAATATTTTTGATATGGTTTTGCCAACGTGCCCTTCCACTAGCATGGGGCAGTCAATAGGTTCACTCCCCTTTAGCCGGGTGTGGTCGATCGCATAGATCGGCATTACTACTCGGTGGGAATGGTGATCTTCGGGCGACGAATCCTCATCAGTAGGGGGCCCGACTGCTACTGATGCTGTCCATTTTCCGGCTTCCTTCCGTCGTTAGCTCCCGATTTCCCTCCCGGAAATTCGCTCTCGGCCATACACTGTTCTCGTCCCACGCCTCTACGATCTGCTTCACCTCCAAGAACGCCGTCAGGCGGCGCATGCGAATTTCTCCCTGGACCTCCGTCTTTAGCCCTAGGATGAATCGACTCATTTTTTCCGTCTCGTGTAGATCGTCGATTTTGTCGCGGATGGCGAGGAAGGATGACATGTACTCTAGAACAGAGCCCCATTTGACGCTACCCGTGCGGTTTCACACGAACGTTTTCGCATGTGGATACATGCTCGAAGCGCTTGCGAAGCAGTGCACCCCATTGTTGCCAGGTAAGGATCTCGGCCACACCAAATAAGGATCCTGTAGAAGTTGAAGCCAATCGTTGCTCCCCGTCCATTGCCTGTTGCCGGTCTGTCACCACCAACTTAATGCACGCCCCCGTGATAAAGACACCGCCAACTTGACGCGTGTCTCATCGTCGTTGACATCGGTAGCATGGAAGAACAGCTCCATGGCGAACAGCCACCCACTTAGTGTGGTGTGCTTCTCCATCGGGTTGAACGGCGGGTGCATTGCAGACTTTATCTTCACAACTTCCCGTCGCTCGCTCGTGCTGTCGTCACGTATCGCTGATGTCGACTGCGAATGGTGCGTGCTAGCACGATCTTCGTCCATGATAATAGGCGACTCATGACGCGTCCCACCACGCGCCTGGCGAAGGCTCTGTTAGAGTAGCGGGAAAAGCGTGCTAAGGGAAAATGTCGAGGGATACAAAACTAGGGTTGTACTTGCTAAGAACTAAGCTAGCTAGGCTATAAACAATATGACCTAGCTAATCTATATAAATATATTTGTTGACACACTTCCTAGCCTAGATAGTGGCAGTTCATAACAAGGCACAATACACCAGGGCAGCACTACTAGTCTGACCTCTGGTGAAGGCAACAAGGCAACTAAGGGCAGCACTACTAGTCTGACCACTGAGACAAGGCATGCAAGTATAGAACAACAAGTACAAGCAGGTATAGTATGACTCAGGATACACGGAATGGTACTGCTACAGAGACGAGACCAAGCTAAGTACAGAATCGCTGATGGTCACGAGGCGCAAGTGCCTTGGTGAAGATATCAGCGGTGTTGGCCTCTGATGCCAACTGTGGGGGCAGCCAGCGTGAGGGTGTGGACTTCTTCCAGACCTTCTCCCCTCACACCCTCAGTGGGGGCAGCAGCTGCGGCAGTGGAAGCGGCGGTAGCGCAACCGGCCACAGCGCAAGCAGCAGCAGTGGCTGCGGCAGCGGCACTGGCTGCAACGATTGCGGCTGTGGCTGCAGTGGTTGCGGTAGTAGCCGTGGGCTGCAGCGGTAGTTGCAGCAGTAGCGGCGGCAGCTGCAGCAGCAGTGGTTTCAGCGGTAGTGTCGGCTAAAGTGGCGGCGGCTGTCTGGCTACTAGCTGGCAGCAGCTGCTGGCGGCAAGCTGGCGGACGCTGCTGGCAGCTAGGTGGCCGGCGCTGCTGGCGGCGAGCTGGCAGACGCTGCTGGCAGCTAGCTGGCCGGCACTGCTGGCGAGAAGTTGGCAGCAGCTGCTGGCGGCGAGCTGGCGGACGCTGCTGGCGGCTAGCTGGCTGGCGGTGCTGGCAAGTGGCTGGCAGTAGCTGCTGGCGGCGAGCTGGCGGACGTTGCTGGCGGCGAGCTGGTTGGCGCTGCTGGCGATTAGCTGGCAGAAATTGCTGGTGGCGCGCTGGCTAACGCGGCTGGCGAGCTAGCTGGCTAATATGCTAGCTAGCTGGCTGGCGCGAAGGTTGGCGTGCTGTCCAGCGCGCTGGCTAGCAGGTTGGCTAGCGTGCTGGCTAGGACACTGGCTAGCACACTGGCTAGCACACTGGCAGGCATGTTGGCTAGTGTGTTGGCCTGTTGGCTGCTGTATGAAACAGTGCAAACGCTTTTGGGGTGGGGGGGGAGTCGAGGCTACGAAGCGCGAAATTGGAGGGCAGGAGGTGCGCGAAATTGAGAGGGGCACACGCGCAAAAAAAAAAAAAAAAAAAAAAAAAAAAAAAAAAACAACAACAACAACAAAAACACTACAGTAACGCGGAAGCGTGAGTAACGGTGGAAAACCCTAACCTAGCTCAATACCGTATTAGAGTAGCGGGAAAAGCGTGCTAAGGGAAAATGTCGAGGGATACAAAACTAGGGTTGTACTCACTAAGAACTAAACCTAGCTAGGCTATACACAAATATGACCTAGCTCATATATATAAATATATTTGTTGACAGGCTCACATTCTCCTCTTTCAATGCGGCGAGCTCCAGGGACATGGCCTCCATCGTCGCCATCGCTTCGCCGAACCTCGTCGTCAGCACCGACGCACTCGCTACCACCTCCGACTGCTCAGCGATCTTTTCACGAGACATTTTTCTAATGCTACAGCGAGGAGGATTATATACCATGAATAACCCTTATTAGCTAACGCTACTAACAGACACTACGGGCACCTGCAGCGTTATACACGTGGAGCGCACACGACAAAGTCGGCGGAACTGAAGAAGTTCCTGTTGTCAAACATATGTGTATATGTTACTATAGGCTAGATAGGTGCGTACTCTTAGAGAGTACAACACCTTAGGTTGTATTCCCTTGTACCCCATCATTCTAGTCAATCTTTCTACTCTGAGATGGTATCACGCTAGGTTAGGATCCCGCCCACCCGCGCTTCCGCCCTAGTCCTAGCCCTAGCTCGAGCCGCCCGTCGCTAGCCGCCCGTTCCTAGCCAACCGTCGCTAGCCGCCGCTGCTAGCTGCTTGCTGCTCACTGCCGTTGGCCGCCTGTCGCCCGTAGCCGCCAGCTGCCTGCCGCCCGTCACCCGTAGCCTGTCGCCGCTGGTCGCCTGTCGCCGCTGGCCGCCCGTAGCCGCCAGCCTGCTGGCCGCCCTTAGCCGCCAGCTGCTCGCCGCCTGTTGTTGCCGCCCGTAGCCGCCAGCTGCCCGTAGCCCGCTCGCCCCCTGTCGTCACCCGTAGCCGCTGGCGGCCTGTCGCCGCTGGCCGCCTGTAGCCGCCCGCCGTTAGTAGCCGCCGGCTGCCCGTAGCCCGCTGGCCGCCTGCCGCCGCCCGTCGTCGCTGGCCGCCTGTTGCCACTGGCCGCCTGTAGCCGCCAGCCGTCCGTAGCCGCCAGCCTGTTGGCCGCCCTTAGCCGCCAGCTGCCCGCCGCCCATCGCTGCCGCCCGTAGCCGCCAGCTGCCCGTAGCCCACTGGCCGCCTGTCGCCGCCCGTAGCCGCCAGCCACCCGTCGCCGCTGGCCACCTGTCGCCGCCAGCCCGCCTGTAGCCGCTAGCCGCATGTCGCCGCTGGTTACCCGTCACTGCCAGCCCGCCTGTAGCCGCTGGCCGCCCGTCGCCGCCAGCCCGCCCGTAGCCGCTGGCCGCCCATTGCCGCTGGTCGCCCGTTGCCGCCAGCTGCCCATCCCCACTGGCTGCCCGCTACCGCCAGCCGCCCGTTCCCAATGGCCGCCCGCTACCGCCAGCCGCCCATCGCCCCTAGCCGCCTGCAGCCGCCAGCTGCCCGTAGCCGCTAGCCGCGCATTCCCGTTGACTGCCCGTTGTTGCTAGCCTGCCCGTAGCCATTGGCCCGCTTGTAGCCGCCCGCCCGTAGTCACCTTCGCTGCCCCCACACCGCCGGCCGCAGCTCCGTCGGTCCTAGCCCGCCCCCGCCCTTCCCACCCCTGAGCCGAGCTGACCTGCCTGCCTTGGTTTCCCCTCTAAGCCGGCGCTCCCGCCAGCAGTCTCCACCGCTCTCCACCGCACACGACCGCACTTCACCGCACTCCACCGTACTCCACCGCTCTCCACTCCTCTCCACCCCTCTCCATTGCCCTCCTCCGCTTTCCCCCCTCCCCTTGTCAGCGGCAGTCAGCTGTTGCAGCCGTGGTGATGGCGGACTCTCTACTCCGCCTGGAGGCGGAGGGTCGGGCGGTTGAGTTTGAGGCATGGCTCGTCGACCTCCGCCGCCAGCTAACCGGGCACCACCAGGACGGCCACTCCCTGGCCGTCCATGTTGACGGTAAGCTCCCTCGCCCCGCCCCGCCTGCTGCCCTCCCTGACGCCCCCACGTTTGCTGAACAGGAGGCTTTTGTCACTGCTGAGCTTGCCTGCGCTGTCTGGGATTCGCACGACGCCGTTGCACAACTTGTCATTAGTCACGCCCTCCCCCTGTCTGAGCGTCCCCACTGTACCGCTATAACAAACGCCAAGGAATACTTAGATGCCGTCATCGCGCGCTATTCCACCCCCGCCTTAGCCTCTGGTGGCCGTCTGATCCTCCCCATGCTGTTCCCTAACCTTGCGTCCTTCCCCACTGTCGCTGACCTTGCCACTCACCTCCGCGCATTGGAGACTACCTATCGTGCCGCTAGCACTAAGGCACAGCTCACTTCATTCCCACCGTCGCTTTGCGCTACCCTTTACCTCATTGCCACGTGCCTTTCTGACCGCCTAGCCACTGCCTGCGGCCACTTCATTAGTCAGCACCCAGGTGACCTCACTCTCACTGTCTTTGTCATCGCCCTGTCCGCGATAGAGACCCGCCAGTGCACTATCGCTTAGTCTAGCGGTAATGCGACGGTCCCTATCTTCCAGGGTTGTACTCCCTCCCAGTGCACCTACTCTGATGTTTCTGCCGTTGTCGCTGAGACAGCCCCTGCTGGTGAGACCGCTGTCGCGGCCTCAGCGCAGCAGCGTCAGGGTAAGGGCCGCCGCCCCAAGTGGGGGCGTGGCAGAGGGAAGGGTGGTGGGGGTGGTGGTGCAGACGAGGGGACCGGGGCTGGTGCCTCGGAGCAACAGCAAACTCAGCAGCAGTAGCAGCAGTCGCAGCAGCAGCAGCAGCCGCCGTGGGGTCCCCCGCCGCCGTGGTGGCCTGGTGGCGCTAGTGGTGGTGGTCGTGGTGGTGGGTCGCGCAGCTCGGTATCGGGTAGCAGCTCTTATGTGGCCACCTGCCAGTACCAGCTTCAGTCCGGCCCCCGCCGCGGCACCGTCTGCGACCGTCCCAGTCACAGCGTCGCCCGCTGCTACCGCCGCCTCGACGACCTCTTCCGTCTCCATTTTGGTCCCACGTCGGATCCTCCTGACTGGTACGCCCTGGTGCGTCGTCGTCTGCCTGTCGTTAAGCTTGACATGGATCAGATTAAGACTGCTATGTATATCATGTATGCTGATAACTATAGTGTGATTGGTCCCTATTACCCAGTGTTGCCTATTGTAGGTGTGTCCATTGAGTGTAGTCTAGTTTCCCCTGCTGCATCATGCGTAGGACCACCTGCCTTGTTTAGCCTCGGCTCCACACTGGCTCCTCCGCCTGCGGCCGCTACCGCCGCGCTCTCGTTCACGCTAGACTCTGGTGCGTCCGCTGCTTCTTTCGCGACCACACTGCGCTGACGTCGCTTGTTGCCCCTAACGATGTAGTGCTTGCTGACCCCTCCTCAGGTCCGGTAGTTGCACGTAGTTCTACTACCCTTCCCTGTCCGGCGGTTCCCTCCGGCTCCCTTACAGGCTTGCACATCCCCTCGTTCTCCAGGAACCTAGTTGGTGTCGGCTGTCTTTAGGACCTCGGCATCACCACTACGTTCCCTGGACACGAGCGGTACGCGGTCTGTACCGAGGCCGCCACTGGTTCCCCCCTCACCACGTTCCCCCGGGACCCCGTGTCTGGCCTGTTCATGTTGGACACCGTGTCCCCCCCGGTCGCAGCGTCCTCCCAGGTAGCTGCAGCTTGCTCGTGTCGGTCGCTCACCCACCTATATTTGGGATCCAATACAACTGTCTTCAAAAGGGAACGCGCAGATATTGTTCAAATTATACAAGTTATAATTTAATATAAACTTGGTAGGTTGTTACTGAACCTTTCTGTAGGGGGTACAAACCCCTCCTTGTACTCCTCTCTCTTCCTAATCCATCCTCTTCTTTCTCGTCACTTTTGCCTACTCCTAGATCTACTTGCCTCACGCCATTCCATGGCGTCCTTCCTTCCTTCCTAGCTAAGCTAGGTTCCTAAGTTTAGTTAGTGTCCTAAGCTTCTTTGAGAGATATATCGCGCGGAATATCTGGCAAAAGTTTCGCCAACACAACCAAGCTGGCAAGGCATGTTATTAGCCAATCACAGGCACGATATTAGGTTGTGGACAACACGAATATGGCTTGGGAGAGCTGCGTGAGGTTTGGCACAGAGGTTCGATATGGAAGTTTTGTAACTCAATGCGCCTTTAGGGAATAGATTTTTAAAAAGTGGGTGCGAGTATAATGAAATCACTGGTCTACGGGCATCTGTGTTGAGTGACCCGTTGGGGTTGCCCTTGAGATCCTCGGAGAAGGGCCACAGGTGCAGAGCCTGGGGGGCTATGGGCGCACTTACCCGCTATTCAACAAGCCCTTTTAACCCAGTGGTTAGTGACTGGGTTTCTGACAATCTGCACACTATAAGCCCACTGGGCTTAGTAAATGGTCGCGCCTATATGCGGTCCGGGTGATTACGGTATTTCAAGCTGGGGTTGGGTCTGGCATTGAACGATTCGCTACAAGTACACCCATGGTCATAATCCCACCATGAGTGGAATATGCACCAGCAATATACGGTACATACACACCCATTACTATTTGGTACATAACTAGCTACGCACGACCTAATTAGAATGCGGCGTTGCGCAGTCCCTGGTCATCTCATTCACCAGCTCCCTCCGCCTCCCTATAATATGATCCGTCCACTCGTTAGTGCGCGCTTCAGCCACCTTCCCATACATGCATGCAAGCTCCCGCTTATACAAATCATACACAAATGTCGCATTCTTCCTCTTGTGCTTGATCGCGGGCCAGTCATACCAGTCCATGACATACTGCCAGATCTGCCGCTGCTCGAATTTCAGCACGTCTTTGCAGCGGTCGAGCTCCCCCGGAGGGAAGGCGTGGCAGACTGCTTCGTGCGAGTAGTAGCCGGCCAGGGCAACGTAGGTCTTGACGACGCGCGGGGCTTGGTCGTTGTTGTTGGTGGCGTCGCGGAAGGGCTGGGAGTACGGCATGTGCACGCCAATGCGCGGGATGGGCATGTGGTCCGTCCATTCTAGCGCCCAGTGCACCTGAGAAGGTGGGGAGAGGGAGTGACGATGGGATGAGGGAGAAGGTGAGAGGCGCACGAGGGAATGAGTGAGATGATGCAGAGTGCGGAGGCACCAGGGTATGGTTAAGGATGACATGGCGTGGGATGGCGTGCCATGGCATGGGATGGCATGGCATGGGATGGCGTGCCATGGCATGGCATGGGATGGCATGGCATGGGATGGGATGGCATGGGATGGCATGGCATGGGATGGCGTGCCATGGCATGGGATGGGATGGCGAGATGCAGTGCGCGCACTTCTCACGTCACCGGACAAATGCTCTTATCATGCCACCAGAATCACCACACGGCCCCTCCCCCTCTCCCACAGACCCCTCCCCCTCTCACATCAGGCCCCTCCCCCTCTCACATCAGGCCCCTCCCCCTCTCACACCTCTCTCCTCACCTCGTCCTGGGTGAACGCCCACATGAAATTGCCCAGCGTGGTGTGGGCGATCTGCGTCCTGCGCAGCAGAAGAGAGGCGAGGCGAGGGAGGAATGGGGGAGAAGAGTGATGAGAAACGAGCATCAAGTGCAGCAAGCACGACAAACAAGAGTGAACGTCCACATCAAGTTGCCCAGAGTGCCGTACGCGATCTGCGTCCTGCGCAGCACAAGAAGCGCGCCCGGGGGGAGAAACACAACGCACGAAGCACGAGGGAGGGGAGGGAAGGAAAGAGTGGTGAGAGGGGCACAGGGGCTCAGATCAGAGCTTTTCAGGGGCTCCAGGGATTCCGCTCTAATATTCAGAGCTTTTCGCCGACTCCAGAGAGCCGTTGGGCTCTGATGCACCCTTCCCTGATTCATTCCGCTCTGATATTCCAGCGCGTCAGACCTGCTTTCAGACAACAAGCACATCCCAGCATCATTGAATCTGCCAAGCCACCCCGCCCCTCACCTTTCATATCTGGGTCCACGCTGTTTGCGCAACGCTTTGAGATGCGGAATCAAGCCCCTGACCCCCTTACTCCGAGACCAACCCACCCAGCCAATAGCCTCACCCCCCTCACCTCTCAAACTTTGACCCGTGCTGAGCGAAGTTCTGAAACGCCTCAAAAGGGCTTGCCAACCTCCCTGGGTAACCTCAGAAACGCGCTCCTCACACCCCTCACCTCTCAAACTTGGGCCCGTGCTGAGCAAAATTCTGAAACGCCTCAGAAGGGCTTGCCGGTTGGCAGCTTCTCACCTCTCAAACTTGGGCCCGTGCTGAGCGAAGTTCTGAAACGCGGCGTCGAAGCTCTTGAACTTGCCTCCCCGGGTCCCCACCACGTGGTCCCTGAACTTGGGCAGCACGTCCCGGGGGAAGACGAAGGGCAGCTGCACCATGAAGTTGGCGAAGTAGTACGGCTTGCCCACGAAGTAGTGCGTCGACGGCACCCAGTGGTTCATCTGCTTCTGCCGGCTCCCGATCACGTAGGGCTTTCCGTCCGTCAGGTTGAACAGGAGGCCCGGAGTCACCTGATGCGACAGATAAAAGGGGGAGGGGGGGTTGTTGGGGTCATGTAGTGCGTGGACAGCACCCGGTGGTTCATCTGCTTCTGCCGGCTGCCGATCACATAGGGCTTGCCGTCCGTGAGATTGAACAGGAGGCCTGGGGTCACCTGGAGAATGAGGGTGGCGAGATCTGACGAAGTGGGATTGAGCGGGGTGTGTCACATGGTGCGTGGGCTGGGCGGCATTCAATGGTTCACCTGCTTCTGCGTGCTGCTTATAACGTACGGCTTGCCGTCCGATAGGGTTGAATGAATATGACATACTCCGTGGTATCAACATGCCATGCTATAGTCTTGAGCGTTGGTTTATGAGAGATCCTCAAAAGCCAACTCGGCGTCAAGCATGATGACGACGACAACCATGATGGGCGCACCTTGAGGTTGAAGATGACGTCATCGTCAATGATGGCGATGTACGGCGCTGTGGTGTAGTTGTCCGCCCACAGGTAGCTCCACTGCTGGAGGATCTTTCCAGGAAGCTTCAGGTAGTTCTTCTCGTAGTACACCTGGCAATTGAGGCGAGATTCGGGCAGGGAAGCAGCAAGGGTTACACGGCGGGATTGTGGTAACCAGGCAGGCAGCACATGTAATCAATACTTTTGGTCAATACTTTTGGCAGGATTCCACACGTGCTTGGCCCGAAATCTCGGTGTCTTTCGCGCTAAGGGATTGTCTACCTCTTCTTTTTTTGGTCAGAGCCCCTAAAATCAAAATGGCCTATTCTCTGTAGTGCCGTAAATTACTCGGCTTGACCCTGCGTTGACCTGCGTTGACTCGCGGTGACTCACCTTGATCCACGTGGGCACGATGTCCTCCACGATCTGGTTGTCTTCGTCCAGCACCAGGATGACGTCACCAATGCCACGTGGCCACAGCTGCTCGATGCTGTCGAACAGCATCTCCAGCAGGAAGAACGTGTCCGACACGTAGCTGCGGATTAACAGGTCCACTCGAGCCGGCCATAAGGGCCTGGTAGTGGTGGAAGGGGGGGGGTGGGGGTGGGGGGGGGAGGAGGGGGGAGGACGGGAAGACGGGAGGGTGGGGGAGATTGCTCGATGCTGTCGAACAGCATCTCCAGCAGGAAGGACGCGTCCGACACGTGGCTGCGGATTAACAGGTCCACGCGCGCGGGCCATAGGGGACTGTTGGGAGGAGTTACGGGAAGGGGGAAACTGGGGGATTGAGGAGGGATGGGGGGATTGAGGAGGGACGGGGGATGAAAGGGGGATGACCGGAGGACAAAGCGGAGAGATTGCCACCTTTCTTAATCTCTGGGGCAGACGGAGATAGGAGAAACACGACTTACTTTACGCAGTGACCAACCCTGGTGCTCTACAGTAAAATATGGTACAATCTTTCACACAAATAGCCAACTCACTCGTATGCGTCGTCCAAGAGCTTGAACCAACTTGTACTTGTACAGAGGAACAGAACTCTCTCATTTTTTTACAGAAACAGCAGACTCACTTGTACGCGTCGTCGTACAGCCTGAACAGCTCCTTCACGCAGTGACCAATCCTAGTGCCTGTACTGACAGTAAATCACGGTTCATTTGTTAACAGAAACATCAGACTCACTTGTAAGCGTCGTCGTATAACTTGAACAGCTCCTTCACGCAGTGGCCCGACTTGGTCCGGCGCTTGCACGACCCGAAGCAGTTATCGTTCCCCGGGCTCAGCCCGATCCCCCCGCACGGGTCGACCTGCGCCTCAATCCCCACGCGCATCCCCCCCGAGCTCTTCTCCGACGACCCTTGCACGTCCGAAAAGCCGTCCGCGGACCCCTCCCTCCCCGCGCGCACGTCCGCGTCGGCGTAGTCACGATCTGTTAAGAGCGAGTTGAACGGCCGGACTAATAACGAGGCGCTGCGTCCGACGGAGGTGTTCCGGCCGAGAGAGTTGGCGATGGCGAGGAGAAGGACGAGCGTGATCCCCGACATGAGGCCGAGGCATAGGGCTTGCCGACGGGTTAGGATGAGGAACGGGGATGCGTGGGAGGCGTGGGATTTATGGTGGGTGTCCTTTTGTTGTCTCGGAGAAGCTATGGCGGCGAAGTCCGTTTTTCTTATGGTGTCGAACGCCATCTGAAACGAGTCGGCTCGCGACGGCTCGTTTGAAATGCAAGAAACTGGTGAAGTGGATCGGATGAAAGTCGTGTCAGCTGGTCTGCTGCTGAATGCACGATCGATCTTTCGTCTTCGATATTTGTACTCCTTTTCTTTAGACGAAATAAATATGCTGGCAGCGGTTATGTCGCCGGCCTAGCGAACCGTCTTCCTGATACAATATCTTTGCTGGAGGTTTTGATGTCACTACCGCGTACAGTCATGCTGTCATTGCGTCGGAGAAGCCATAGGGAATTAAAAATAAGGAATATGCGGAGTTGTCAAGGTATCTCAGTATCTTGACTTGTAATACGCCCTTCAGAACTGTAACCACTATGCTGTGTGAGACGAACGATTGCTTCAAGTGTTGGACGTTGAAGAATGATCGCTGGGAATGACAATGAGAAGGAAATCGCATCAACTGATGAGTAAACGATGGCACGAGAGCGAGAGGTCCTGAAAGCAAGGAACCGACCGACTCGATGCAAAACTGAATACCACCTGCGGTTGCTTGGGCGGTGGCCAAGCGGTTCTATTCTATGGCTCTCTGTGTGCCTGCCTCTCCTACGCAAATCAAGGAATGATGAAACCGAGAAGCCAGGAAACTGGAATCTAGGGAATGGATCCAGCAATTGGCCCTGGCGAGTTTATGGCGCGGATGTTCTTGATGGAGAACAGTAGCCTTTCCCCATCCGTTGCTTCGCTCATACCCTCCCTGTGCCTCTGCTGCACCCATCCATCATGGCATGGGTCATTCGGTTGTTGGGGAAGGTGGGCTGTTGAAATAAAATGGTTGGTTCTGGTCGAATTTGGGGCTGATGGGCTCATGGCGAAAAAAGAATGTACTGTATGCTCTGCCGAGTGAGATAATGACGCATTCGTAAGGTTCAGAAAGTACCGGTGAGGGTTACAGTTCTGCTGTTTCTTGTCAGGGTAGAAAAATCTTGTACCAGTTCCTCGACTTCGTGAAATACAGCTGACCAAATCTTTCCATTCCTGTCCATGGTGAAGGTGTCGGTCAGCCCTTCCCTTCAGTTGGGACTCCTGCACCACCTGCGGTGGACTCAACCCCAGGAAGGCACCTGAAAGTTCCCCAGACCCGAAATCTGTGGCTCCTCCTGATCGCTTGAAGAGCCAAAATGTTGCCACCATGCCGTTCTCTGTTGACAAATTTCTCTGTTGGACCACGCTTCAGCCGGCGTTGACAGGGTCAACAGTCAACGGGTAACCTGCGAGCAGCTTGGAAAACGGCGAGCATGACGGTGACAGCATACCTGCGGCTAGAGCCCAGGTGATCCTGAAAGCGCATCTGGGGAAGGTTAGAGGCGAGCAATGTGAGACGTGATAAGCTGTGCGAAGGGGTGCAGAAAATGTTACATTTGCCATCCAAATGCTGTACCGTGGAAAAACAAGAATTGGTTCAATAAACTAAGAATTTATGAGATGAGAAACTCCGCAAAGGGAGCCCAAAATGTTTTTGTACCACATAATAATATCACACAATAGAATTGTTGACAACACAGCTTCTTCTCAACTCCTCAACAAAAACCTTCCGCTTCTCCTGCACCCTATCCGTCCACTCCTGGGTTCTCGCAACCACAACCCGATTATACATGCACTGCAATTCCCACTTATAGCGGTCATACAAGACTGTTCCTCCCCTTATGTGCTTTCGAATCATAGGCCAATCATTCCAATCCATAACGTACCTCCATATATGGGTCTGGGGCCACCTCATCACATCGTCGCAATTCCTCAGTTCCCCTTTGGGAAAAGCGTGGCACATTGCTTCATGCGCATACCACCCTGTAACATCAACATACGCTTTCACTAGGCGGTACTCCGGCGCTGAATTGTTCAGTGTAGCGTCCCGAAACTTCTGGGTGTATGGGACGTGTACACCCACCCGAGGTATGGGCGTGACATCCTGCTTCCACTCTAGAGCCCAGTGCACCTTGAGCGATGCAATCGAAGGGAACAATGAGAAGGGACGAGTCAAAATGGGAAGATACGAGGGAAGGGGTGTGAGTTTGGGAGGAATATTTGAGGAGGCAGGCAATGATGGCAATGATGGCAATGATGGCAATGATGGCAATGCTGGGGCTCAGAGGACGAAAAAACCGGCGGGATACAGGGGCGAAGGAGGATGAGGGAATGTGGCGCATGGAGAAAGCGAGAGTCTGGCGTGGGAGTAACTTGAGGAGCATGTTAAGGGCAATGTGTGTATGTGCACATTTGTGTGCCAACATGCATGTCTATGTGCGCATAGTTGTGTGCCAGCGCATGTGTATGCGCGCAATAGCGTGACAACAGCACGCATGTGTATGTGCATGTTCATGTGTCAGCGCCTGTGTATGTGTATGTGCATATTTGCGTGTCAGCGCATGTGTATGCGCACAATAGCGTGACAGCATGCATGTGTATGTGCATGTTCATGTGTCAGCGCATGTGTATTTGCACGTTCATGTGTCAGCGCATGTGTATGTGCATGTTTGCGTGTCAGCGCATGTGTATTTGCATGTTCGTGTGTCAGCGCATGTGTATGTGCATGTTCATGTGTCAGCGCATGTGTATGTGCATGTTCATGTGTCAGCGCATGTGTATGTGCGCATCTGTGGGACAGCATGCATGTGTTAGTGCATATTCGTGCGTCAAAATGTATGCCTTGGTTTTGACATGTTTATTCCCTTTCAACCAGGAATCAGCGAGTCAGTTCTCACAGAATCATTGGCGAAGAACCACATGTAGTTTCCCAGTGTCGTGTGCGCTATCTGGGTCCTGCAATAAAGAGGATAAGCAGAGAGGAGAAGCCGACCGGGGGGTGGGCGGGCGGGGGGGGGAAGAGGGAGGGGCGAACAGCAAAAGGGACAAGAAGATTAAGGCATCCAGGTGGTCAAGTAGTAGGAGAGCCAAAGGAAAACAGGGATGGCAAGAGAAAAATCACACGCTCACTCACTTTTCAAAGGACGGCCCATGCTGCGCATAGTTTTTGACAGCAGTATCAAAACTCTTCTGAACCATGGCAACACACTTCTGGGGAAGACGGAGGGCAGCTGCTGCACCACGAAGTTACCTGAACCCTACATTTGCTACTGTGCCTCAAAGCCACACTCACTTCTCAAAGGACGGACCGTGCTCCGCATAGTTCTTGACAGCGGCGTCAAAAGGCCCTTCCTGTGCCTTCTGACCGTCCAGGTGCATCTTGAGTCGGCTCAAACAACACCAAAAACACACGCACTCACTTTTCAAAGGACAGCCCGTGCTCCGCATAGTTCTTGACAGCGGCGTCAAAAGGCCCTTCCTGTGCCTTCTGGCCGTCAAGGTGCATCTTGAGTCGGCTCAAACAACACCAAAAACACACGCACTCACTTTTCAAAGGACGGCCCGTGCTCCGCATAGTTCTTGACAGCGGCGTCAAAGCTCTTCTTGTGTCGCCTGGCCGTGTGCTGCCTGAACCTCGGCAGCACGCTTCGGGGGAAGACGAAGGGCAGCTGCACCATGAAGTTGGCGAAGTAGTGGTGCACGAAGTACCACGAGGACGGCTTCCAGTGGTGGTTCTGCAGCTGCTTGCTGCCAATCACGTACGGCTTGCCATTGGTAAGATTAAAGAGGAGGCCAGGAGTGACCTGGAGTGTGGGGAGAGAGGAACACGAAGGGCAGCAACACTTGGGCTCCGGGGAGTACCACGAGGACGGCTTCCAGTGGTGGCCCTGCCGATCACGTATGGCTTGCCGCTGGTAAGGTTGAACAGGAGTCACCTGGAGTGGGGGGGGAGAGGGGAACACGAAGCGCCGATGCACCATGAGTTGGGTGGGTATCACGTGGTTCCCACGAAGTACCAGGAGGACAGTGCTGGCCCTGCAGTTGGTTGTTGCTGATCCCATCACGTACGGCTTGCCGTCCGTAAGGTTGAACAGGAGGCCTGGGGTCACCTGGTGTGAGGAGAGGGGAACAAAAACGGCAGCTGAATCACCATTAAGCTTGGAAAATCCAGCCTGGGACATGGATAGAGCCTGGCGCATTGAGCCCGGAAAGTTTAGGCGGAGAGATCGAGGCGGGGAAATCGAGGCTGGGACAATGTGCCTGGAAAATGGAGTCTGACACGTTGAGCAGCTCACTTTGAGGTTGAAGATGACGTCATCGTCAATGATGGCGATGTACGGCGCTGTGGTGTAGTTGTCGGCCCACAGGTAGCTCCACTGCTGGAGGATCTTCCCGGGCAGGTCCAAATAGTTCTTTTCGTAGTACACCTGCCCGGGGTGGGGTGGGGGGGGGGGGGGTTGGGGAGGTGCAGCAAAGCAGTTGCAGTGCCCTTTTCTTTTTTTTCGTAGCAGACCTGACCGGCCACATGCAGAAGAGGAAGGAGGACAGAGATCTGAGGTCTTTCTGTTGTGCTTGCTTGCAGCCATATTGCTCTAAAATTTCTCGATTGCAACACGGCAAATCCCCCTGACCAGCGTGGCACCCACCCTGAGCTGCGCGGCAATTTCTCGCTCAGTGAGTTCTTGAGCCAGGGCGGCACCCACCTGGACCCGCGTTGACTCACCTTGGCCCGCGTTGACTCAACTTGACCTGCGTTGACTCACCTTGACCCAGGTCGGCACAATGTCTTCCACATGGCGATCATTCTCATCCAGCACCAGGATGACGTCACCAATGCCAGCTGGCCACATCTGCTCTATGCTTGCAAAGAGGAACGCTATAAGGAAGAAATTGTCCGACACATAGCTCCGGATCAGCAGGTCAACGCGTGCCGGCCACAGGGGGCTGCGTTTGGGGGGAGGAGGGGGGGAGAGGGGAGCATTGTTGAGGCGACCGTAGGAGGGAGGTGGCAGGGGCCGACTTTTGAGCCGACTCGCTGCGTTGGGGGAGAAAAGAAGGGGGGAGGGGGGCATTGTTGAGGCGACCGCAAGGGAGGTGTCCAAGACCCCAGGGTCACCTGGATTTGCAATGAAAGCTCACCTGAAGGCATGGAAACAGTACGAAGGCCTGCTGGACTCACCTGTATGCCTCATCATGTCATCTCACCTGTACGCCTCATCATGTCATGTCATGTCATCTCACCTGTACGCATCATCATAGAGCGTTAACAACTCCTTCACGCAGTACCCCGACTTGGTCCGTCTGTGGCATCGATTGTAGCACCTGCGATTGTAGCTGCCTCGTTTGTAGCTGATGCTGCCTCCAATGCCCCCACACGGGTCCTGCAGCCGCTCCACCCCGTCCGCGGTATAGTAACCCTCGCTACTGTCACCCGAGCCACTACCATCGACCCCCTCCGAACCTCCATCCGTTAATTTCTTTATCAGGTTCGAACCTTGCGCGCTCAGGTTCGAAGCTTGAGCATCTTTTTCGTCAGCTGCATTCGCATCCCAAAACTCGATTTCCTCAGAATCTTTCACTGCTGACGTGTCCGTTGGAGAAGCGTCTCCATCTGTGCGAGCCGCTGACGGCTGCGATTCATTCGCTACAGCTGGGAGGCTTCCTGCTGACGTGGAAATCGATTCTCCGTCAGAGACAAGAATGCGACGACGAGACGAGTTGACGGAAATCGTCAGTGCGTTTAGTCCGTTCCTGACAGAATTCGGGAAGCCTGACGGAAAATTATGTCCGCCTGCGTTCAGTCGGAGCAGTTGACGCGAGGACGATTGTCGACCGAAGTGGAAGGCGAGAGCGAGAAGAATCGCGAGAAGCAGGGCCGAACTGACGACCAGACGCGCTGCTTGGGAGTGCGAGATCACGACCTGGGGAGACCAGTCACCGCCACCGTCAACGTCAGCGTCAGCATCGGCATCAATTCGTCGCTCTCGCGTGTAACGTTTGTAGGGATCGGAAGGATCGGAAGGATCGGAAGGCTGAGAAGGCCTGACGCACGCAGACTGCAACGACGAGAAGGCGACGAGAGGAGCAGCGCTAGCGTGATCGTCGTTTGATTTCTTCATTCTCTGAGGGGGGGAGCGAAGCAAAAATAAAGAGCAGCGGCAGGAAATGGAGCTCTGCCTAGCGCTCTCTATCCTCTCGACAAGTTCTAGGCTAGGGCGCGACGGCCGGCATCGTCTGCGCGCTTAATGCTACATGCGGTGCCTGCTACATGCGGTGTCTGCTACATGCGTTGCCAGCCCCGCGATAACAGCAAGTTGAAAACGTGATGGTCTAGATGCTGGTGCGTGCAGCAGTAGAAATGGTTCCGCTGCTGCTGCGTGCAGTAGCAGTAGATGCTGCTGCGTGCTGCTGCCTTCCAGAAAAAATGGTTCTTCAGTACAGGGGAGAAATGCTCGCCCGCTGTATGGTCCTGTACTGGACTGGAGTCAAGCTTTCACCCGTCGGTCATTTGTTAGAAGCCCGGGTCTAGAAAGGTACAGTAAAAACCAACTTTCCTGACCATGAAAACAGTGCCAAAACATTCCAGCGAAGAATTTTTCGGCAAAGCACCTCTGACGAAAAACAGTGCGCAAACAGTGACAATCAGTACTGTGATGGTCCCTAGTCTCGAGTCTCCCAAACAGAATGGTTGCGGGCGTTTTCATGTTCAGTATGAGTGAACAGTGCGTTCGTGGTTTGTCGTTTCTAGCAGTTTTCGCAAACAACCCCATTTCCCCGAGGGTTGCGAACTTGATGGTATCAAGCTCAGGATTCCTGAACTTGATAGCGTGCCATTCTAGACTCGGGCTTTGAGTGGCTGGTGTTGTCAAGCTTCGGGATTGACAGAGAAATGCTCCCGCTGTAGAGGCTGGACTAACTCACCCCGAGGAGACCGCGTACAGTGTATGATATTTTTTACGTGAAATGTGTAAATGGTTTGGCTGTATATTTGCTCTCAACCATGCATGCAGCATGACTAACTGATCTTATGATCTCCATCATTGGACTACCTAGAATGTGAGAAAACATGTTACAATGTTCCCAACAGAGAATATGAAGGGAAACTCCGGCCTGGCCACTGAACAACCAGTAGAACCAATTAAGTGATGGAAACTTCCACACTGAACCCAAGTACTACATCCCTCTTGCTCCTCACTACTTGTTAGAATGCGGAACAATGCAGTGCCGAGTCAGTTCCTTCACCAACGCCCTCCGCTTCCCCTCCACATCCTCCTTCCACTCCCCAGTCTTCGCCTCGACCACGCGCTTATACATGCACCCCAACTCCCACATATAATCATCATGCATTACCGTCCCGTTCACAGTCCCGCTTTGGAAAATCGCCCAGTCACTCCCGCTCAACGAATACCTCCAAATTTGGCTCTGTGCCCGGGAGGCGTCCTCGCAGTGCGCCAACTCACCCTCGGGGAAAGCGTTGCAGAGCCCCTCGTGGGCGTAGGTTCCCGTCAAGTCAACGTAGGTCTTCACCAGCCGTTGGGCGGCCCTGGACGAGCCAGTGGCGTTGCGGAACTCGTGTGTGTGCGGGATGTGCACGCCCACGCGAGGAATGGGCGTGCGCGACTCCCACTCAAACGCCCAGTGCGCCTGAGATGGGGTGTGCAGAAGGGGGGGGGATGGGGGGGAGGAGAGGAGAGAATGGAGAGAGTATTGGAAAGAGCATGGTGGGAGTGCTGGTCCGCCAAGGGCCCCCCTACCAGAGGCCACCCAATTACCCACCCACCAACCGTCCCAACCACCAACCCAGCACAGTCAGCAGTCAGCGGGTTAGCGGCTTAGCGGGTTAGCGGCTTAGCGGGTCAGGAAGTTCGCAGGTCAGCGAGCCTGCAGGTCAGCGGGTCAGCGGGTCAGCGGGTCAGCAGGTCAGCGGGTCAGCGGGTCAGCGGGTCAGCAGGTCAGCGGGTCAGCGGGTCAGCGGGTCAGCGGGTCAGCGGGACTGCGGGTGAGCGGGTGAGCGGGTGAGCGGGTCAGTGGGTGAGCTGGTCAGCGGTTGAGCGGGTCAGCGGGTCAGCGGGTCCTTGGCAAAGAACAGCCCAGTACTTAAGGCCAACCAGCCACTCACCCATTTCACCCTCCCACTTACGCACCCACCACGAGCCAGGAACCCTCAAGGATCGTTTGCAAAGAACCAAATGCAGTTCCCACGAGTGATGTGCGCAATCTGAGTCCGATCCGCCACCAGCCCCGGCTCCGCCCAGCAGTAACTCAAGGCCACCCGCCTACCAACGCATTCGCCCATGCACCCACCCAGACAGCATAACCATGTAGCCATCGAGCAGCCCTTACCGAATCGTTTGCAAAGAACCACATGTAGTTCCCAAGAGTGGTGTGCGCTATCTGCGACCGGTCCGCCACCGGCCCGCGCTCCGCCCAGAACTTGAACGCCGCGTCGAAGCTCGGGCCAAACCTCCGCCGGTGCAGTGCCCCGACGTGGTCCCTGAACTTGGGCAGCACGGCCCGCGGGAAGACGAAGGGCAGCTGCACCATGAAGTTGGCGAAGTAGTTCATGGGGCCCACGAAGTAGCGGCTGGCCTTGCGCCAGTTCTTGCCCTGCATGTTCTGGCTGCCGATGATGAAGGGCTTGCCATCCGTCAGGTTGAAGAGGAGGCCGGGGGTCACCTGGAGGGAGGGGGGAAGTGGTGAGAAGCGGTGGGAAGCGGTGGGAAGGGGGGGAAGGGGGAATGGCGTGTTCTGGCTGCCGATGATGAAGGGCTTGCCATCCGTAAGGTTGAACAGCAGGCCGGGGGTCACCTGGGGAGGGGGGGGGGGGGGGAGAGGGGAGGAATTGGGGAAAGAGGGTGTGAAGGGATGAGCAGAAGTAGCCTGGGGGGATGGTGGGAGAGACATGGCATGCACATGCATGGGAGAGTCATGGCATGCACATGCATGGGAGAGACATGGCACGCACATGCATGGGAGAGACATGGCATGCACGTGCATGGGAGAGACATGGCACGCACATGCATGGGAGAGACATGGCATGCACGTGCATGGAAGGAGACACGGCATTACATGCGTGGCACACACATACATGTGCATGCCTTCCCACGTGCGGCTAGAGGGAAACAAACAGACACACATACCTTGCACTCACCTTGAGGTTAAAGATGACGTCATCATCAATGATGGCCACGTAGGGCGCCCGTGTGTAGTTGTCGGCCCACAGGTAGCTCCACTGCTGCACCAGCTTGGGCACCAGGCCCAGATAGTTCTTCTCGTAGTAGATCTGCCAGGGGGGGGGGGGGAGGCAGCAGTGTGGAAAAAATAGATGAGTCCACCTAGGGTGGATGAGTTTACCTCCACTGCTGCACCAGTTTGAGCGCCAGACCCTATAGTTGTTCGTTCGTGGAGTGGAAGAGCTGACTCGCGCTTTTCCTTCGCGTGAGCCTAACTTCACGACTGCTGCTCTCTCTGACAATAATGCCTAACGACCAAGAGTGTCCAACACCATCAATATTGCCCAACACCCAAGAAAACTGTATACTTGATGCATTCTAAATTACAATAGAATTCCTTTTTACTCATGAATGTCAACGATTCTTGAACATAGATTAGCGTGACAGTATACAATATAGTTATTGTACATCCCAATTTTATGTCAAAGGGAGGAGATATGGGATGGGGATAGGGTAGGTTGGCACCCACCTTGACCTGCGTTGACTCACCTTGACCCAGGGCGGCACAATGTCTTCCACGTGGCGATCATTCTCATCCAGCACCAGGATGACGTCACCAATGCCAGCTGGCCACATCTGCTCTATGCTTGCAAAGAGGAACGCTGTAAGGAAGAAATTGTCCGACACGTAGCTGCGGATCAGCAGGTCCACCCGTGTCGGCCACAGGGGGCTGTTTTGCAGAGGGAAGGGGGGGATGATAGGAAAGACTAGAGGAGGAGATATGGAAGCGACCACAAGACACTGTCCGCCACATAGCTGCTGATCAACAGGTCAACGCGCACTAGCTACAGGGTGCTGGGAGGAGAAGGGAGGGTGGGAGGTATGGGAGAAGTGTCAACTGGTAGTATGCGGTAGAAATGGCTTTGTTGTATTTCAGATGGCCCAACTTCAAAAGAAAAGGACACTGCATCTGAATGACCTGGCTGGAAAACGTGAACACTCAACTGAAGGCCTGAGAGACACGTGGACTTTCAACGACAGCTCACTTAAGGGCATGGGAATGACCTCAGGAATGACCTGAAGGCATGGAAACGACCTGAAATCCTGTTGGATTTCACCTGCACGCTTCATCATGTCATCTCACCTGTACGCCACATCATATCATATCAACTCACCTGTACGCCTCATCATATCATCTCAACTGTACGCTTCATCATGTCATCTCACCTGTACGCCTCGTCATAGAGCCTCAGCAGCTCTTTGACGCAGTACCCCGACCTCGTTCGCCTGTGGCAGCGATTGTAGCACCAGTGATCGCCGCTGCTGCTACCGTCGCTGCTGCCTCCAATGCCTCCAATGCCCCCACACGGATCTCGCAGCCTCTCCAACCCCTCTGCAGAGTAATAGGTCGTGGGGTCAATTGTCCTTGCAGGGGCCGCTGCTGCGTCGGACGGCGAGGACGTGGACTCGGCTGGCGCTGAGGTGGCGGCTGCTGACGTGGAGCTCGAGGTGTCTGACGCAGCAGCAGGGGTAGCCTCAGCCGTAGCAGCAGGAGAGCCCTCCGAAGCACCAGACGCATTACTTTCGCCATTACCAGCACCAGCAGCAGCAGTAAGGGTAGGTTCAGCAGCAGAGTCAGTAGCAGCAGCAGCGGCAGCAGCAGCAGCAGCGCCAGAGTCACCAGCTGCAGCGGCGCTAGCACCTCCTCCCCCTTCCCCAGCACCATTCGCAGCAGCAGCTGCTGCAGCAGCCGCTGCTTCCGCCGCTTTAGCAGCGTCTTCAGTCGCTGCAGCCTGATCAGCAGGTACTACCACCACCTCCTTCTCATCACCGCCGCTCTTACTCTCCTCCTTCACCTCTGCCTTCACCTCTGCCTTTACCTTTGCCTGCGGTTTTTTCTTGGCAGGAGCACGCGACTTGGCAGGAGCGGGCTTCTTGGCGGGTTTGGACGGCCTGGGGCGACCTCGAGATCGCAGCACGCGACGGCGAGGGGTGTCAGGAGGAATTGTTGCTGTGACAATGCCGTTTACCGGGACTGCATCTAATGGAGGAGGCTCGTCTAGGGGGTACCCATCGACGGCTGCGATCTTTCCGACGCTGCCTGAATCTGCTGCACTGGAATCAGCGATGTTCATGAATGCAGGCTTTTGAACGGCCGAAGCAGGCTTTTGAACGGCCGAAGCAGGCTGTTGAAAGGCCGAAGCAGGCTTTTGAGCGGCCGAAGCAGGCTTTTGAACGGCGACGGGATCGAATCTGATCGACATCCGGCCGAGCTGGAAGGTGGCTGCGAGCAGCAGCACGAGAGCCATGGCCGATATGGCGACGAGACGCGCCGCCTGACGGTACGAGAGCACGACGAACGGAGAGCCGTTGAAGCCGGTCGAGACATTTGAGTCATTTAAATCATTCGAGCCATTGCAATCGGCTTCTTGCTTGTCTTGAGGCCTGGAGGTTTTAGCCGCTGTTGTCTCATCAGGAGATAAGCTATGCTGCGAAGCCATTGTTTTCATGCACGAGAAACTTCCGCCGAGACGACAATGCGAGGTACCCCGTCAATTACTAAGCGGCTTGAATTATTAGATGGGGAAATATGGTATGTGCTTTCGGAAATAAATACTGCGGAGCCAATGTGAGGCTGGTAACTTCTCGCTGTGAGGCTGGACACTAGACGCTGTGCAACGACTGATCTAACATGACAGCGAGGCGCGAAAAAAAGGCAGAAACAGGCGGATCGGTCAGTCCGAAGCTGGCCCTGATCTTGCCGAAGCTTGACTGACGACGAACATGCCTGGTGAAATCAGCAGCAAACCGAGTCGTCTGGTGATGAAAAACAAGGGGACTCAATGTTTGAAGTTGGTGCAGGATGGAGATTCTCCCCCTCAAAAACTCTGTGAACTGGAGATGATGGTATCAAGCGAGCAGCCACTCAACAACTTCAGGAATTCCTCGATATGGACACCTCGGGAGTTCCCAGAATGATTGTTATCCCGGAAGTTGTCAACACGGACCATAACATCTCTCATCAATCATTTTCAACTTCTCCATTTCCATGATGCAAGCCAACAATATGATAAATAAATACAAAAATTCACACCACGAATGCTGCTGCTGTGGACGTCGCACGAGGCAACTTGGGCCAAAGCCAAAAACACACCAAACGCGTTGCTTTCGAAGCACATGAGAGTTGACTGCAACATTGAAGTTCTAGGAACCTCCCATGTGACAAATCCAAGCTTGGCAAATGGCAGCATCACTCAAGCAGCTCTCTATTTCGAAATGACCAGGTTGTCGAGCCCTTGAGTGACCTTCATACTCGAGATCACATCCCCAACTTTAAGGTCGGCAAGGAAGTCGGCGTTCTCCACAATGTAACCAAAGACTGCGTAACGGCCATCCAGGATGTTGGCACTGCTGGGCGTCAGCTCACTCTCCTTCAGCAGCCAAAAGATCTGGCTCGAGGCACTGTCATTGTCAAACTCCTGTTGCCATTCGTAGGGACCATCAGACAAGGAGCAGACTGACAATCAGTACCAGACAAGGCCAAAGTTAAGGGCTAGGCTTGCAAGGATAGAAACAACAGAGTAGACGCTCCATCCAGGTTTCTGGTATCAGACACTGCAAGGGCTGCCACTGGCGGGGTGAGCATATGCAGGGTACATGTGTGGGACGTACCTCTCGGGCCATAGCCATGGTGCCGAAGGCGTTGAATGGCAGCCTGGGGAGAGCACGGTACCTGCCCAAGTCCTGAAGCAGATCAGGCAGACCAGGCAGATCAGGTAGATCAGGGAGAAGGATAACCATGAGTGAGCGATAGTGGCCGTGCCAGTGGTGGAGCAAGGCCCATGGGGTGTATATCTGGAGAGATGTCCTGACAGCAGAGCTTGGAGCACAGGCTGAGAGGTACAACTTCGATAACCAACCTTGAGGTGTGCATAGCTGCATTGTTTGAAATTGAATGATGCATTGACGACAGTACAACCCAGAGATGATAGATCCCATGCCTCAAGCTTGCCAGTCCAAGGCAAAATTTTATGCGTTCCAGCCTGCTCCTTGTTCCACAGCCCCTCTCACCTCCAGAGTGTCATGGTAGACGGGCGTCTTGTCCCCCTCGGCATAGATCTCCAGGGGAATCTTGCGCTCCTTGCCCGTGGCCGGGTCCACAAAGCCCTCTGCAGGGCCCTCGGGATCTCCAGTCTGCACGACAAAGCCGTCGGCTGGAGGGTGCAACGAGTATGCGAGGGAGCAGGGGGTATTGGGGGGGGGGGGGGGGGGGAAGTGAGGGAAGGCTGGGAAACAGGAACTACCTGTGCACAGGACACCACTGGCGCAATGCAGGTCAAAATTGCTTTTCCAGAGATAATGCACCCTCACGCACCTCTTTGGATTTCCATGCCGTCGTAGAAGCCCCTCTGCACCAGGTCCACGAAGTTGCCACTGGTAACTGGTGCGTTGTAACCGTCCACTACGACCTCGAAGACGACCTCGGGCAGGTTGGGGTTGTTGAGCGGGCGCACCACCATCTCTACGTTCGCGCGCCCCTTGAGCACCGGGTACCCCTTGAACTCCGCCGGGATCTCGTAGGGGAACGCGCCCACCATCGCCTCCTCGATGCTGCAGGTGGCGGATGGAGGGAGGGAGGGAACAGGAGATAGGAAGCATTATACCCCTGAACACCACCATGTCGCGCGGCCCTTGAAGCACGGGGAAGCCCTTTACTCAGCAGGGATCTCGTAGGGGAACGCGCTCACCATCGCCTCCTCGATGCTGTGTTGAGTGAATGGGAGGAGAGGGAGGGCAGAGGGAGGGAGGGAGATGACGGACGAAAATGTGGGGGAATGCGACCACCATCGCCTCCTCGATGCTGCAGGTGGTGCGCGGGTGGAGGGAGAGACAGTCTGAAGAAGTTGAGAAAGGGACGCATGTAGGGTTGGGGGAGCAAGGGAAACGGGGGGAGTAGGGAGGAGGGGGGGGGATAGCATTCGCTATGAAAATTCCAACCCATAATCAGAAGCTCGTTCTGTGTGGCAACCACTGCCTTTCGGATTCCTCCCTCTTCTTCCCTTGCCCCGACCGCAACTCCCAGAACCATCTCCGCCTAGCCGTTACCTCCCCTGCAAGCCACCCGCCACTCACTCACCGACAGAGCCAGCAGCTCCTTCTGCTTCGGCTGGATGGCGCCCCTGCCCTCTTCCCACTCTCCCCCCACACCATTCCTCCGCGCTACCATTCCCCACCAGTCCCGTCACTCACTCGCCCACGATCGCCAGCAGCTCCTTCTGCTTCGGCTGGATGGCGCCCCGGTCGCGGCGCTCGACGATCTTCTGAAACTCCTGCAGCCCGTCCTGCAGCTTCTCCACCAGCGCGCGCCCCTCCGCCTGGTTCGCCGCCGCCACGTCCGCCAGGATCTTGTCCTTGCTCTGGTTCAGCACGCGGTTGGCCTGCCGGATGTTCTGCGCACGCGGGGGGGAGGGGGGGGTAGAGGAAAGCGGGAGGCGATGATGGAGAGGATGGTTAACTAGCTGCGAGAGGGCAAGGACAAGAAAGAGAGGCATTTGACTTGCCGTATCTCCAATGTCCGCGTGGCGCTGAGGTCGCTACGTTGTTTTTACAGTGATTGGAAGCCAAAGCGAATCTCAAAGCAGCATTTGCGCGTCAAGACGAGAGGGATTTCGAACACGGACTCCCGCCCTTGACACCGACCACTTATAATCCTTTCAACCAGTTCCCCTCCCGGGGCTTACCCTCTCGACTGGGTCAAAGGCCTTCACACCAGGCAGCCTGAGATCCTCAGTGATGGCCTCCAGCGGCTGCTGCACCTCCTTGATCGGCTGGTTGCTAATCGGCAGAGCATACCGCAGCAGCGCGCGGGCGTCCTTGATTGGCTGGCCCTTGATGAGCACGCTGACGTCAGGGATGGCCGGGTTGATGGCGGGAGAGCCGGCGGCGAGAGCGGCGGCGTCCATCGGAGCGGCGGTGAGGGAGATGGCCGTCGCTGCTGCCGCGAGGCCCGTGGCCAGCTTAGAGAAGAGGTTGTTGGAGGGAGTCGGCTGTACAGGAAGGGGGAAAGAACATTGGAAACATGTCCAGCGGGAAATTAACATCGGATTCGAAACAGAAAATGACAGAAACAATGTGCGAAACGAAAAGACGACAGGCGGACAAGAGGGAAGGAGGGAAATTTGGACGTCATACTGAAAGACCAACGTGGCATTCCTTGTGATGGCACGGACTGACGCGACGAATATACGAAACAAATACCTCATTATCCTTAGTAGATGCCGACGCGGACACGGACAGCCGGGTCTGGTTCAGCTTCTTGGAGACAGCGGCCTGCTTCTGCACTCCCTTGCCTACAGCAGGCGCGACGAGAGCACTAGCTCCGCAAAGAGCGGCTGCTTGAGTCGCCATAGGTCACAAATTTATCGCTGGCAATAGTATGACGGGAGAAATCAAGAAGGGCCTAGAAGCATCAACAAGTCCAGGAGCACTGACTGAACTGAACCAATTTCTTGAATATCCGTTTATGAAATGTGCCTGCTTGCTGCTTCGTGAAATGCTAGGTGCTTGTGTGATGCTGGCAAGCACGCATTTCTGCTGGGTGGTGTGGGAATGGAATGGGATGGGATGCACTGGGATGTGATGGGGCGAGATGGGATTCCTGGTCACCTTTCATGCTCTGGTCACGGTTCAGGCAGATGCCGTGAATTGTGATGCGCTTTTCATCGGCGAACTTTGAATTCCCCCCCGTGCCAGCCCAGAATCAAGGGACGAAAATTGAGGGACTTGCTGACAAGGACACTGATGCACTCGTGCCAACTGATCCCTCGTGATGCTGATATCAGCAGAATGGGACCTGCCTCGTCACCGCAGCGTGGAATGTCCTTGGTGGCAGCACCAGAGCGTTGCGCCAAGGATTCGGTGGGGCGGAGGCAGACGCCACGTAAACGATTCAAATCCACGCCCATCGCAGAACTTTCGAGCGAAATATCGCGTCTCAAGCTTTGGTTCGTCAAGTGTACAAGTTCACTTATCTTACGAAGTTTTTTACCTTACGCAAATGCATGTGTCCCGGAGGGGCGTTCGCGTTTTCGTGATTATTAAAGGTTATAGAACCGATCGGGCATTCAAAATATAAAGCATGTAAGTGCCTAAATTTGTTCCACGTTGACGCATGCGAAGATAGTGGCATCCTTGATAGTGATTTGGAATGATGAAACAGTACAGAAAACAGGCAACCTTCGTGCTAAAGTCGCATCAGTGTATGAATCATCACCTGCTTTTCGCCTCTCATAGCACGCTCCTCTTATTGTCACGTAGCTTGCTGTCCCATGGCTGTCACAAGCAGAATACGGTTTCCTGCGCTCCAGCGCTCGATCCCCGCGCTCACTGTTCTATCCTCGCGATGGACCACATCCGATTTTGTTCATAGAGACCGATTCTTTTCCTCATCGGCGTCGCCGGCAGCTGACCCACCGCCAGGATCGACGGCTGGCGTGAATCCAGCAGTAGAATCCACGGCAGCGGCGGAGGAGACGGGAAGCTGGCGAAGCCACGCGGAGGCTTGCAGTCGATCGCTTCGGCTGCACGTAGCGCCGGCGAAGAAGAACCTTCTGGGCATTTTCCGAGAGTGCCAGACGGCGGAGGAGGCCGAAGCTTCCTTGCAGATTCTGGCACGAATCAGGCTTGAGGTGTGCAGGAACGAGGGGAAGGAGGAAGCGCAGGGAGTGTTTTTTCAGAGGAAGCGAGCACTTGTGAACCTTTTGGGCCTAGTCAGCAGAAGGGTTGAGAGGAGACTGGGGGGGAGGAGGGGGGTGTTGGGGGTGTGGGGGTGGTGGGATTGAGTGCGAAGATTCACAACTTCACAGTTCTTCCGCGCATTGGCTTATTCCTGCCGTCCTTATGCCCCCTGTCCGCTACACATGGCTTCAGAACGCGGCATATCGCAAGCAGACAGCGAACTTCAATGACGAGGTCTCCCTGGATGTCGTGCGAGCATGCATCCGAGCAGGCGTTCCGCAGAAAGGTGAGCCAAACTCTACAACTGATTGACCATTTCGATACTGCCTTTGATATTAATATGTTCCCCCCCTAGCTATCACGTTAGCTGTTGGGAAAAGCATAGCCAGTTCATTGATATGCTCATTCTCTACACCTTTACATGTATGCTGCATATACAGACCCGTATCTCTCAACGGACAAGCCTTCGACGGGCTTCGACGCCCGTCGCACCCCGTCGTGCTGCCCCGGGCAAGAAAAAGCATTAACCCCTAGGGCCCCGGCATGCCCTTCCGGGTGGCATCAACCCTAATCTCGCGGCAGGCATCCGCGAGATTAGGGTTGATGCCTCCCCTCGTCGCATGCCAGGGCCTCTAGGGGTTTATTTTTTCTGGCCCCAGGCAGACACCGTTTCTTGGGCGGAGTCGGTTGTCCGTTGAGATATATTAACCCATGCAACCTCCCTCCGTCTCACAGCTGCCTATGGTGCTTGAGTTGACAAATATTCGAGATTTTCTTCTCCTGACACAACCTTCCTTGTTTTTTTCCAATGCCGTCTATACATTTCCTCGTAGGCTTTACATCTCCGCTCCTTTCTCCTCTGCCTGACAGCTTTGGTTGCCATTTCCCCGACCAATCCGTTTGGCTTGACTCCGCTGCTAGGCGCTGCTCATCTGATCATGGTAGGGAACCCAACCAATTGTTTTTTTTCAAATGCACACTCCAAGGCAAGTCATACTCACGAAAAGGCCATCAGAGTCTGAAGGGTTTGTGCAATATAAGTGCTTGATATCCGCATCAGGAGTTAATGACAGGACAACAGCGTGTTCATGCAAGCTGTCCGACAGATGGCAGAAGCTTATTTCATCCCTCTTGTTTCCGCTTCAGAGACATGCTACAATGGCCAAGGATAAGTCCCTGTTGCTCTCGGCTTATAGTCGGATGGAGAAGGCCAACATTCAGCCATCAGCCACCACTGCAGACATCGTCATCAGGTAAACTTTCAAGTGTTGTTGCAGTCAGTGTTAGTAAATGTAGCAGTGCCATGCGTTTAGTGCATATCTACGACTACCTCATCCATTTATGCTTCATTGTTTCTGTGCCACCAATTTGTTCTCCATTTTTTCACACCACATGTTTCAATTGCATTCGTGATTGACTCTTTGCAGCACGCTGATTGCCCAAGAAGAATCTGCCTTGGCGTCTCAATTGGCTGACAGCCTTCAACAAGACGGGGTTACTTTGAAGAAGGAAGTTACGAGGAAGCTCCAAGAGGCTGTATCTTCGTTGTGACGAGCCAAGACATGCTGAGATAAACCTGATTATATTGGCAGAAAGCTCATTGAGAATGCGAAGATGGCAAATGATGCTGAAGGGTGGTTGTTGATGCTCTTGTCGGATTCTGAGATACATAGTAAAAATAAAACCTATAAAGCACATATGTAACGTTCCTGGATTTTAGGTGAGGGAGGAGCTCGTGTCAGTTTCGTCAGTTTTCCGTTCCTGGTCAACTTCCACTGCCCACGCCACCCACCCAACCGTTTTTCTGTTGTCGGTCTACAAATCTTATCCCTCACCATCCGCGCTTGTTACAGCACCTGTTATTGCTCCCACAAGGCGCTCCGTACAATCCCAACCGCACCAGCCAGTAGGTCTTGCTCCAAGGAGGAAGCGAGGCCATGGCCTTGGGGATCTCTAAACAGTGCTCCAACCAATCTCGAGGCATTCAAAGAACCAAGCCAGTCAGACATACGACGACGAGCCATGGTGGTGGGTGGGGTGGGGTGGTGCTGGCGAGTCAAGGGGTGTCACTTACGTTACTGCACCACACCATACTCGACCGTTCTTTGTAAATATTTGACCGCGTCAAAACGCAAAGTAACTTATGGAACCGCAATCGCAGGTCCTTGTGACATCCCTCAGGGACTCCAACTCGACTCTCGACTTCCCTCTTGCTCTGCTCCCAAACCAACCAAACCAACCAACATGATAAGTTGGTCCTCTTCGTTTCATGCTCCATTCTGTAGTCTTGTCCCTGGTTGCTTGTTTGCAGCCACTGTTTGCAGCTGCTGTTCCTTCACGTTTCAAGCACCACGTCTTATGCCATGACGTATGCGTCCGAGACTAGACCGTACTACACGCAGCCACCATAGAATATAGCCCAGCCTCTATTTAACCGGATTTAGGGTTTCCAAAGAAATTACCACACGGGGATCGGTCGCTGATAGCTCTCGCGGTTTCGACAGCATTCGTAGTATTCTGAGTTGTACTGCTTGTAGCGAAAGTAATATTTCTGCGTTAACACTACCCACAGCACAATGAAGTGGAAGAAGCTTATAGGGGGGAAGGGGAAGGCTCCGGAAGGCGGAGGGGAGAGTGGCAGAGGCCCGCCTTACATGGAGGTTAATATTAATATTCCCGGGCGGTCAGAGAGGCTTGGTAAGTCGCTCGATAGCGACTCGCTCGACGGCGATTCGTTCGGCCCGCCGCTGACGCCGCAGACGGCGTCGATTGAGGACGAGTTTCGCCGCGGCATGCAGGTTAGTCGCGTCGACGCGTGCAGGCTAGTCGCGTTGTAGTTGCCTTCAGACGCGTTTCCTTAATGGCAGCAGCGTCTAGACTTCCTCGCGTTTCATCATGGGTCGTCATCTTGCGTCTTCAATCGCCTAAGACACACCGTTTCGCGGCATCTACGCTTTCCTGTTTCGCGTCACGCCTTTACTCACCTTTACTCACTTCCACACAGCGTTTCGGCCAGGAACAGAGCCCGATTTCCGCACTCATTCTCCTCTGCCGGCGTTTCACCCGTGCTAAGAGCCTGGTTCTCATAGTCGCTTTCGACTTCCGTCTGTCACCTGCCGGCTGTCGCACTGGCAGGAGGTGCGCGAGATGCGCGAGAAGTACGAGGGCCTGCTGTGCATCGTCATCAACGCGCAGCAGCGAGCGGCAGGTGGGGGGATGGGGGGATGGGTGGGTGTGTGGATGGGTGGATGTGTGGCTGGATTGTACGAGGGCCTGCTGTCCCTTGTCAACAACGCGCAGCAGCGAGCGGCAGGTGGGTGGGTGTGTGGCTTGGATTGCCTTCGCAGCAGCGAAGAGCGAAAGGTGAGAAGTACGAGGGCCAGCTGTCCCTTGACATCAACGCGCAGCAGCGAGCGGCAGGTGGGGGGATGGGGGGATGGGGGGAATGTGTGGATGGGTGGGTGTGTGGATGTGTGGGTGTGGCTTGGATTGTACGAGGGGCTGCTGTGCCTGGGCATCAATGCGCAGCAGCGAGCAGCAGGTGGGGGGATGGGGGGACGGGGGGAATGTGTGGATGGGTGGGTGTGTGGGTGTGGCTTGGATAGTACGAGGGGCTGCTGTGCCTGGGCATCAATGCGCAGCAGCGAGCAGCAGGTGGGGGGATGGGGGGACGGGGGGAATGTGTGGATGGGTGGGTGTGTGGGTGTGGCTTGGATAGTACGAGGGGCTGCTGTGCCTGGGCATCAATGCGCAGCAGCGAGCAGCAGCGGGTGAGTGCGAGGTTTCACTTGGATGGCTGGGGATGTGTGGCTTGGATGGCTGGGGGTGTGTGGCTTGGATTGTCCCTAGCAGCAGAGAAGAGCGAGCGTATCTCTTCCGCTCATCCGCCCCTCTCTCGCTCGTTTTTCCTCCAGAGTTCGCCGACGCGTTTCGGGAGCTGTCCTCGTTTGTGGCCGACGCGTTTGGCGCGATAGAGGACGGCAACGTGGGCGAGGTGTTTCAGCACGTGGCTGCTGTGGAGGACCGCATCGGGCAGCTTTTTCACTACTATGTGCGCACACTCCATTGTAGACCTCCGCATAGTGGCTTCTTTCTCAGCCACGTATACACATAGCTCTTCCACTTCTACGTGATCCCACCTTCCACCTCCCCAACCGTCCGCCTCTCCCGCTGCCCGCCTCTCCCCCTGCTGTCTGCCGCCCCCCCTGCGCCCGTCCGCCATGATGCGGTCTCTAATTCGTTTCCGTGTAAGTCGCTCAAGCATCAGACGTTACAACCATGCTCGGACTTGTGTTGCTGGGCACGTGTGTGTGTGTGTGTGTGTGTGTGTGTGTGTGTGTGTGTGTGTGTGTGTGTGTGTGTGTGTGTGTGTGTGTGGTGCGTGCGCGCGCGCGCGCGTGAGTGCGTGTGTGTGTGTGTGCTTGTGTGTGTGTGTGTGTGCGTGCGTGTCTGTGTGTGTGTGTGTGTGCGTGCGTGTGTGTGTGTGTGTGTGCGTGCGTGCGTGCGTGTGTGTGTGCGTGCGTGCATGTGTGTGTGTGTGTGTGCGTGCGTGCGTGCGTGTGTGTGTGTGCGTGCGTGTGTGTGTGCGTGCGTGCGTGCGTGTGTGTGTGTGTGTGCTTGTCTATGTACATACATGCATGTGCGCCCACCAGGCCATGCACCTAGCGCAGACCGTAGCGGAGCCAACCGAGTCTCTGCTCGTCGAAATCAACCAGGTGGAGGTGCGTGCGAGGCAGGGGTTTGGTATGTATGCTCTCTGTGTGTGCTGGCGGGGAAGGGGGGGAGGGGGGGGGGGGGGGGGGGGAAGGGTATCTGGATGCGTCTGCCCCTACCAGGCACAGACCAACCGAGTTTCTGCTGGTGGAAATCAACCAGGTGGAGGTGCGTGCTAGGCAACGGGGGGCGCGCTCCACTGTACCAGGCCTGCTCTGCATGCGACTTGGCCCTCACTGTGCCTCTCCTTCGCCCTCTCTGTGTCTGTGTGCATGTGCTCTCTGTGTGTGGGTCATCAGGAGACAAGGAAACTGTATGAGGAAAAGAGGTGAGCCGCTCATTGCTCTGCCCGTGCGTCTGTTGCTCCCCACTCCCCCCCCACCCCCCACCCCCTCTCCCGTCCTTTTTTTTAGAACACTTAAAAATGACTCCAACTGTCGCCTGCTCTCTCCCTCCTTCTCCCTCCGTTCCTACCCTTGCATGCGTCAGCTCTTCAGTCCCCTGTCGCAGCTGGGCAGATTCCCTCGCCCCCCCTCCCCCCACCCGTCTTGGTCCCTGCTTGCTCCCCTGCTTTCTCCCCTTTTCTCCTTCTCTCACGTGCACGCACTCACTCACTCACCCACCCACTCACCCACTCACACTCCCCTCCCATCTCTCTCCCCGCTCCCCCTCCTGTCTTCTCCCTTGTTCCGCGTATCCCCAGGCGCACTTACGCAGAGGCAAGGGCAGCAGCGCGAGCGGAGCTACCATCCCCCGCTCCCAGCCGCATTGGGTGCACTGGAGGCGTGGGAGGGGGAGGGGGAGGGGGAGGGGTTGGAGCCAGCTCTGGAGCAGCAGCAGCAGCAGGAGCAGCAGCAGCAGGAGGAGCAGCAGCAGCAGGAGGAGCAGCAGCAGCAGCAGCAGCAGCTGCAGCAGGAGAGGTAGAGAGGGAGGGAGGGGTTGGGCGTGGCAGGGGGAGGCGGGAGTCGGAGGTGGGGGAGAGGGACGAGGAGGAGGAAGAGGAGGAGATGGGGGAGGAGGAGCGAGCAGCGAAGGAGGAATTCGACGAAGTGGCGATGACTCTAGGGTGCAGGATACTGGCTCTAGAGCAGAGGCGACCTAGGGCGTTACTGTCCCAGTTGCTAAGGCACCACGTGGCCAAGAGTAGACTCTTGAAACGGTCGCAGCTGCAGCTGCAGCAGCTGGATGGGATCATGTTGTATCTGCTTGAAGAGCTGGGGATGGGGGGTGCGGCGCTGGTTTGTGCTGTTGACGAGGACGACTATGATGAGGATGACATGGGGGACTTCGCAGCAGGGACCGTGGACCAGGTGCGTGACCTCGGTCAGGTTTTGTCATGTCATGTATGTCATGTATGTCATGTCATGTGTGTCATGTATGTCATGTATGTCATGTCATGTATGTCATGTATGTCATGTATGTCATGTCATGTATGTCATGTATGTCATGTATGTCATGTCATGTATGTCATGTATGTCATGTCATTGTCATTCGGTGGTTGTCACCTCTTGTCACCGTGCCTTGTGCGTTGTCACTTCTCGCATTCACTTGGATACCTTCTCGCTCGCATTTGGCCTGCCTGCCTAAACTCTGTGGAGACCATCCGTTCAACCGTGCATGCGTCCGTCCGTCTATGTCCATTCGTGCTGGCAGGACACCTCCCAGACCACTTTCAGCACACTCCCCTCGCCCCCCACCTCCGCCCCCTTGCCTTCGCCTCCAGCTGCTCCTCCTTTAGTCACTGGACCCGCCTCTGCTGCTGCTCCAACAGCAGCACCAGCAGCAGCACCAGCAGCACCGGCAGCGGCAGCAGAAATTGCAGCAGCAGCAGCAGCAGCAGGGGTGCAGAGTGCGTCGAGAGGAAGGGGAAGGAGCAGCTATTCGGCTCCCCTGAGGCCCGTTGTGCGCCCCGACGGGTCTGTTGCCTCGCGGCCCCTCCTGCCCCGTCACAGATCAGCTGAAAGCGAGACCTTGGCGCCTCTCCCTGCTGCCCCCGCGGCTGCTGCTGCATCTGCGCCTGCTGCTGCTTCTGCAGCTGCTGCTGTATCTGCGCCTGCTGCTGCCACGGCTCTCGGCTCTGCAAGGCTGGTGCATCAGGTGGGTCAGCATTCAGGCCAGGGCCAGCAGCTGCAGCAGCAGCAGCAGCAGCAGCAACAGCAGCAGCAGCAGCAGCAGCAGCAACAGCAGCAGCAGCAGCAGCAGCAGCAGCAACAGCAGCAACAGCAGCAGCAGCAACAACAGCAGCAGCAGCAACAGCAGCAGCAGCAGAAAGTGCAACAGCAGGGGCAACAGCAATCAGGACACCAACCAGGGCAGCAGCAAAGGATGGGTCCCAGGCAGCAGCAGCTACGGCAGACGGTGCACCGATCGCACCCTGGGTTTCCCCGTAGCAAGTCCACAGATAGCCCCCGCAGCAGCAGCAGCAGCACTGTAACTGCTACTGCTGGTAACCAGACCTTGAGTGTGCCTCCCCAGCAGCAGCAGCTGCAACGGCCGATGGTGCAGCAACAACAACAGGCGAAGCCGCAGCAGCAGCAACAGCAGCAGCGACCCCAGTCAATAGGGTTCCTGCAGCAGCAGCAGCAGCAGCAGCAGCAGCGGCAGCAACACCCTCAGGGTCAGCAGCAGAGGAAACAGCAGATGCAAGGCAGTAGAGGGGGAATGTACCCTCAGAGTGGGTCTGTGGGTTCTTCCACCGTAGTCGTTGCCTCCTCCTCCAACCCCCCGCCCCACTCTCGCTCCAAGTCTGGGCCCATCCCCTCACCATCCGCGCTCCCTTTCGCCTCTTCTGCCACACCTCCTGCTCCCGCACCTGCTGCTCCTGGAACAGCAACAGCAGCAGCTGTGGCAGCAGCAGCGGCAGCAGCGAAAGCACCTCTTGCTACCCCTCCCGTTGTCAGAGGTCCAGGCAACGCCCCAGGCGTCCCAGGCGCCCCTGGTCCTGCCGCCGCCCCCGGATCCACTCCCTCCCCTGCAATAGTCAGCGGTTCTGCAGTGCCTGCTCCCACTCACGCTGCCCTAATAGGTGGCCCTTCAGGTGCCGCACCTGCACCTGCTGCTCCTGCTGCTCCTGCTGCTCCTGCGCTGGCTGCTGCTGCTGCTGTAGCAGCAGGCGGGCTGAGGGGGAGGGCGGCGCATGTTGGCCCCTTTGCCATGCAGATGTCCGGCCCTCTGCCCCGCCCCTCTGCTGTGGAACAGGCTGCAGCAGGAGCGGCTGCCTCTAACGCCAGTGCCATTGCTGCTTCTGCTGCTGCTGCTGGCACCAACCCTGCAGGTACTGCTGGTGGTTTGGCAGGTGCATCTGGGGGAGGGTGGTTCAGCATTGGTTCTGGCAGCAGAGAAGGGCCGGCAGGTGGACTGGCGTCAGGTGCAGCAGGGGTAGCAACAGGAGCAGGCCCAGCAGCAGCGGCATGGCATCATGCCCAGGGGAAGAGGGTGAGCCATTCGGGTCCCATTCTTCGAGGCAGTGCTGGCACGGGGGGGTCAGCCATAGGACCACGAGGAGCAACAGGAGCAGGGGGAGGAGTAGGAGTAGGAGGAGGAGTAGGAGGAGGAGGAGGAGCAACAGGAACAGGAGCAGGAGCCTCTATTCCCTTGTACGATCCCTCTGCTTCCTACCCGCCGTCGTCTGGAACCAGCTTCGCATCCAGCTTCACATCCCACCTCCAGGAGGCATACGTGCAAACAGGCCCGCCCTCTCAAGCGCCTATGCTCATAAATCCCTACCAAACCGGCCCAAGCCAAGGCTCAGCCGCAGGAGCACCGATTCCTGCTACTGCCGCTGCCGCTGCAGGTGCACCAGTTGCAGGGTACGCCTACGCTGGCACTGTAGCAGGGCCCGCAGTGCCAGGGGGACCAGGGTATGGTGTGGAGCCTAACTGGCAAACTGGTGTTACAGGAGGTTTTACTAGGGTAACTGTGGCAACCGGACCAGCAGTTTCAACCGGGGGGCTGGGTATTGGCCAAGGCTATCCCTCCCACCCAGCTTACGGTTTCAACACCACCAGTAGCGGCGGATTAGGGTTTGGCACCAGCAGCAGCGGATTAGGGTTTGGCTCCACTAGCAGCGGAGTCGGGTTTGGCGGGTCGCCCGTTTTTCAAGGCAACTTACCCAGCAAGGCCCTCAGCGGCCCCATAGCCCGTGGCTCTCTCTACGGGGGCGGGGGGCTGATATCTGCTACCAGTGGCCCCGGTCTTACCGGTGCTGGTGGCAGCGGTAGCAGCAGCGGCAGTGGGGGTGGCGGCAGCGGTGGCTTCAGCAGCAGCAGCACAGGGCACATGCGGGGCGAGAGGCTGATCAAGTCGGGCCCCATCGGGCCCAGCAACAGCTACTATGCGTCCATGGCTGCTCCCGCCCTCTCCCCTCCCAAGGTCACTGAGCTGTATGCCCTTCCGCCCCCTCCTCTGGAGCTGAACTCGTCTCCTAGTAGAGCGGGCCAAGGGGGGGGTGGTGCTGGTGGCGTGGTTAGTGGGGGGAATGAGGGGAAGGTGCAGCGGTCCCCTGGGGCCAAGGAGGGTTCAGGGGCATCAGCGGTTGTGGGGAGTAGTGGTGGAAGTAGTAGTGGTGGTGGCGGGGTGGATGGAGCGTCATCAGATGTGAAAGCAGAGAGGCAGGATCGGGATCTTATTTCATCATCTTCATCATCATCATCATCATCATCCCAGCTACAGCAGAAGCAGCAATTACACCAGCAGGGGGCTAAGGCCCAGCAGTCCCAGCAGAGCCAGCAGCATCAGCAACAACCACCTTTGCAACCATCCCTGCAGCAACAACCCCAGCAGCAGCAGCAGCAACAACAGCCGACACGGCCGCAGCTCCCCCCTTTACAGCCGCAGCCGCGGGTGCTGCCAGCATGGCCGGTGCAGGCGAGGGGGGCGGGCAGGGGGGCAGCAATCCTGCGCAGGCCCATGTTTCCCACCATCATGTCGGAGGGCAGCGAGGAGGGCGAGTCCGGCACCAGCAGCTTCACTGGCTCTCCAGTAAGTGGGCGGGCCTGTTTGTCTGATTGAAGGGGCAGGCCTGTTTGTGTGGTTGAAGGGGCGGGCCTGTTTGTGTGGTTGAAGGGGCTTGTCTTGCCTGCTTGTGTGGCTAGTTTGGGCCCATGTTCCCCATCATCATGTCGAGGAGTCTATTTTTTAGGCACCTCAAAAATAGACTCATCATCATGTCGAGGCGCCTCAAAAATAGACTCATCATCATGTCGAGGCCCCTCAAAAATAGACTCATCATCATGATGAGGCGCCTAAAAAATAGACTCATCATCATGTCGGAGGGCAGTGAGGAGGGCGAATCCGGCACAAGCAGCTTCACTGGCTCGCCGGTAAGGGGGAGGGCGGGTGGCTGGTTGAAGGGGCATGCATGTTTGTCTGGTTTGGTCGATTCAGCCTGTGCTCCAGTCCTCCCCTTGTGCTCTGGTCCCCCCTGTGCTCCAGTCCTCCCCTTGTGCTCTGGTCCCCCCTGTGCTCCAGCTCCCCCCCCGTGCTCCAGTCCCTGTGCGCCATTGACAGCCCTTGAGCTGCTCCTATGTCCGATGACCTCCTTGCCCTTCCCCGCACCCACGCATTGCCAGGTTCTTCTCATCAGACCTCGTATGCCCGTTTTTCTTGTGTGCCCAACTTTCTCTTTCCTACTCACCTCGCATCCCCCCCTGTGCTGTGCAGTCCCTCTGCTCCATCGACAGCCCTCGAGCTGCTGCACTGCCTGACGACCTCGCCCTTCCCCGCTCACACACACACGCCGCCGCGTCCTCTTCCTCCGCTCCCACTTCCACTCTTCAGCCCAGGCAACATCATACGGTTCCGATCGAGCGATCTCAACCGTCAGATACGCCGAGCAGTGGAAATCCGCCGCAGTCTCCGAATTCAAGGCGGCTTGCGATTCAGCTGAGGCAGGCGCTGTCGGTGCCACGTCAGCACCACTTTTTGTCGCCTGGTGATGGCATGTGCAGCCCACATTCGTCCATGACGTCATCCTCATCTTCACCTGTGCATTCACCATTGTTGCCAGCAGCTGCACAGTGAGATGTATGTAACCTGTGCTATTAATTTGTTGCGATTGTTTTTCATGTCATCTATACACGTGAGTGTAAATGTTTCCTTGGTTCTTCGTTTTAGGCGAATTCGGAAATTTCATGTATGTTACTGGATGAACGGCTCGCGCTGAAGCGGGTACGTCGTGGTGTCAGAGAGTGCTCGGGCGCAATTGTCGAATCAGCCAACCGGAAATCAGGCGGGAAAGTAAACTCGATGGAGGCCCCTCATTCTTGTCAGCAATCCCAAGGTCCCGCAGAATCCCAATTCCTGAGGTGATCCAACCCAAACCAACCCAACCCAACCCAGCTCAAACCAAACGGAGGTCATCCCCAAGAGGAGGCAAGACGGCAACCTGGCAACCTGGCTTATCAGGGGCATTACCCAGCCACTCTGTCTGTCTGCCTCCAGCTTTTTATTCTCTGTAGACTCTCTCCATAAATTATCTTTTAGCTGTTTGAGAGTCGGCCTCTCGCACTTCTGGTCAGCATCTTCTCGCACTGCCAGATATGTTTCTGGATCCAACAAGCTTACAGCTTGCACACGGCTTTGTGGGAGTTCGCTTTTGAGGCGCCTCAAGAGCAGGCTTTTTGGGAGATCTCCACGTCGAGGCGACTCTCACAATCCCCCGCCAGTAGGATGCAGCGTGTACCAGTAGTAAGTTCTTCGAGCGCTGGCTGAGTGATCGCTGGGCCCTGGGTGTGGAATAAGTCGTGAGAATAGTAAGTCGTGATATTAGTAAGGCGTGAGAATAGTTAGTCGTGAACGTAGTAAGACGTGAAACTAGAAACCCGTGAAAGGAAGATCGCTTAGAGGCTAGATCCTCCCTTTGATTCTCAAATCCTAGACGGTGCTTCCGCAAGGTCTTAACATCCGCGGTTCAGCATGTAGCGGCGAATTCCCTATGCTGCATCTCCTCCTTGCGTGTCATTCCCAGCAGATACTGCACAGCCGTGCGTTGCCTTACCTCTAGTTTAGTTTTGAGGCGCCTAAAAATAGGCTCCTTGCGTGTCGTTCCCAGAGGATACTACACAGCCGTGCGTTGCTGTACCTCTAGTTTCCCCCTAGCTTACCCCTGGCATCGCGCGCCTCACATTTAAAACCGTCATCATGACTTTCCTCTTCTCGAAAGCCCTCGCGGAGATCGCTCAACGGTCAGGATCGCTCAATCAAGCGCCGAAGCGGAGCGAGTCGTGCAACTCCTTCTTCAGAGGAGACGAATCTCTAGAACCAGCGAGTCCCTTTTCCGGGTCGCTCCTTCAGCGGACCAAGTCCCGGAGAGAGGACGGTCCTAGTCGCGTGTTTAGCTGGATTATCCTGGCGTTCCAGTCGAAACTCATTCTTTCCTTCCTCGTGCTGCCGCTGCTGGCGTGCCTCCTCGTGTGGAGCCTGCTCAGCCGAAGCGGAGCGGAGAACCCGAGGTGGTCCGTGGGGAGGCAGCCGTGGCCAGAGGAGATCGTCGTCGAGTCGTCGCCATCGTCGTCGCCATTGTCGCAAGCGTCGCACGGCGGCGTGGCCGTAGCGACTGCGCGCATTCAAACAGACTCCTTTAAAGAGACCGACTCACGTTTAACGACCAGCGCTGGAGAGTTACCAGTATCCAGTGTGGATGAGCAGGGGCCGAAGGAGCGAGAGAAAGCGGTTGAAAGAGGGAGTGAGGCGATCGGCGGCGGTGAGGAGGGGTCGCGCGTCAGTGGGAGAGGTAGGGGTGAAGCGACAGGTGAGGTGGACGGCTCTGATGGGAGGAAAGAGGAGGAAAGCACCGGAGGGAAGGAGAAGAGCAGGAGAGAGGGTAAAGGGGAGGGGAGAGGTAGGTCGAAAGAGGAAAGTGGTGCGAGGGAGGAGGAGAAGCGCGATGGAGGGGATGGAGATCGTAAGGCGGAGGCGAGACAGGGTGAGAAGGCGGAGGTTGAGAGCGAAATGAAGAGCCAAGGCGTCGGGGAGAAAGAGGAGGAGGAGCGGGAAAGGGAGAAAAGGGGGAGTGAAGTGGAAATGAAGGAGAAGAAGGAGGCGGAAAAGAGGACGAAGAAGAAGAAGGGGAAGAAGCGACGCAAGCACGAGGAGGACAAGCCGGAGGTGAAGCTGGATGGTACGTGTCCGAGCAGAGTGATAGTAATTTCGTTTGGAGTCGATTCAAAAGAAGCGGCACAAGCACGAGGAGGACAAGCCGGAGGTGAAGCTCGATGGTACGTTTCTGAAAAGGAGCTCAGACCCCCCGCCGTTTCTCTGTCTCGTCTTTCCGCTCTCTCTCTCCCAATCCATTTTTGAGGCGCCTCAAAAATGGTCTCTCTCCCAATCCATTTTTGAGGCGCCCCAAAAATGGTCTCTCTCCCAATCTATTTTTGAGGCGCCTCAAAAATGGTCTCTCTCCCAATCACCTCCTCCCATACATTCTCCCGTGAGGTGAGCATCCCCTTATAATGCTGGGGGATGCAATTTTTTTAGGCGCCTAAAATTAGACCCCTCCCTCCCTGCGGATTTACGAGCAGCCATAGATTCTGCAGCAGCAATAGCACGTTGAATAGCAGCGACTGTGACGTCGATATGAGATTTACCATCCTCCAACCCTCCCCTCCCCTTCCTCCCCCAGTCCCTGCGGACTGCGCCCTGTACCGTGGCACATGGGAGCCGGACGCAGACCCCCCTCGATCGCCACCCCTCACCCCCCAAAACCCCCCTTCTCACCCATCCCTCCTCTCCTCCCCCCCCCATTCGCCCCCCCTCTTTCAGTCCCTGCGGACTGCGACCTGTACCACGGCACATGGGAGCCGGACACAGAGCCCCCTCTCTACACCAACAACACCTGCGCCGCCATCTCGCGCCACCAGAACTGCCAGGGCAACGGGCGGCCCGACAGCGCGTACGAGCGGTGGCGCTGGCGGCCGGGGGGGAGAGGGGAGTGCCGCGGGCTGCCGAGGTTCGACGCGGTGGAGTTCATGCACGTGATGCGGGGCCGGTCTGTGCTCTTTGTGGGTGACTCTGTGGCGAGGAACCACATGGAGTCGCTGATCTGCCTGCTTAGTCAGGTGAGCATCTGGGAACTGCGCCAGGTGTGGACGGGTGAGCGGAGCGCGGGGCACTGCCGAGATTCAACGCGGTGGAGTCGATGCACGTGACGAAGGGGAGGAGCGTGCTGGTCGTGGGGGACTCAGTGGCGCGGAACCACATGGAGTCTTTGATACGTCTCTTGAGCCAGGTGAGCTACTGGGAACTGAGCCAGGGGGGAGGGAGGCAGGGGAGTGCCGGGGGCTGCCTGGGTTCGACGCGGTGGAGAGGGGCAGAGGGTAAGAGGCGAGTCATGATTGCGATGAGGGTCAGGCCTGTGCTGCTCGTGGGTGACTTGGGGCGAGATACCACGTGGGGTAGCTCATCTGCTCGCTCAGCCAGGTGAGAGGAGGCAACGTTTGAGTCCACTCAACGAGGTGAGTTTTGAGTCTACTGAAAAACGAGGTGACTTTTGAGCCGACTGAAAAACCACGTGGGGTCGCTCATCTGCTCACTGAGCCAGGCGAGAGGAGGCGGGGGGAGTGGGAGAACCATGGTGTCACTGCAACCGCTATGGTCCACATGGCTTGTGCACATGTCCCCCCATCTCGCATGGCTTGTGCACACGTCCCCCTATCTCGGTGAGTCTATTCTCACCCAACAGTCACTCGTTCCTTTCCTTCCCTTGCCCCGATTGCCAGGTGGAGACCCCCAATCTCCGTGGCAGCAAGAGCATGGTCCGCATGGTGTTTCCCCGCGCCAAGCTCACCATCGCCCGCATCTGGTCAGCCTGGCTCGTGCACGAGTCCCCCCTCCCGGACCCCTCCGCCCTCCCCTCCGCCCCGGCGACCCTCCCGCGCCTGCACCTGGACAAGACAGGGGAGAAGTGGTGGCGCGAGGTGGCGCGGTACGACGTGGTGGTGCTGTGCACCGGGCACTGGTTTGTCAAGCCTGCTCTGTTCGTGGCGGGGGGGCGCGTGGTGGGGTCGCAGGGGGGGTGGTGGGAGGCGCATCATCAGGCGCTGGAGGGAGGGGGAGAAGGGGGGGGAGGAGGAGGCGGAGGAGGAGGGAAGGGGGAAGAGAGGGGTTTTGAAACGGGGCAGAGAGTGGTCCAGCAGGAGAAGGGTGGAGGTGAGGGGGGCAGTCAGGGGCAGCAGGGAGCGCAGCGGAGAAGGCTGGAGGGGAGTCAAGGGGTCATTGGTGGCAATTTAGAGCCTCCATTGAACAACACTGCTGCCTTCTCAATCGGCATTCGTACGGTCTTCAGAGACGTGGCTGCGGCTGCCAAGGCCAACCCGAACCGGCTGTTTGTCTTCCGAACCTACTCTCCGGACCACTACGAGGGCGGGCAGTGGAACACCGGAGGCTCGTGCGCAGGCCTGGCCGAGCCTCGGGGCAGCGACTACACCTACGAGAACTCCTTCGGAAACACGATCTACAGCGAGCAGAAGGAAGCTTATAACGAGGCTATGGCTGGGCTGGGAGACGGGGACAAGTGGCGATTCGGCCTGATGGATATTATGCCGAGTGCGGGGGTGAGGGTGGATGGGCACCCAGGGCCGTATAGAGGTCTGGACAGTGTGGCTGAGCTGGAGAAGCGGCGGGAGGAGGAGAGGGAGAAGGGGAAGGAGTCGAAGTTCCCCCCACCCCAGGACTGCCTGCACTGGTGCCTGCCCGGGCCGGTGGACTCGTGGAATGTGTTTCTGTTTCAGCTCATCAAGCGGCATAGGGTCATGGGTCAGACACCTTCTTAGTGCGCCAGGGGACCTTTCATGAGCTGGACAGTGTTGCTGAGCTGGACAGTGTTGCTGAGCTGGACATGAGCTGGAGAAGCATGAGGAGAGGGAGCGGGTGAAGGGGAGGTAGAAGGGGAAGGGGAAAGAGGCCCGGTTCCCTGCACTGGCACCTGCCCGGCCCCGTGGACTGGTGGGATGTGTTTCTCTTCCACCTGATCAAACCGCATAGGGCCACGGTCCAGGCAAGGCAGTAGAGTTGATGGGGCAGGCATGATCAGCCAGGGTCAGCCAGGGTCAGACAGGGTCAGCCAGGGTCAGACAGGGTCAGACAGGGTCACGGAGTTATTTCAGGCACGGCAGGTCTGCCTGGGCTGGTGAACTGGTGGGGTGTGTTTCTCTTCCAGCCGATCAAGCCGCACAGGGCCATGGTCCAGGCAGGGCAATCGAGTTGATGGACAGATGGACAGACCATCTGGTCAGATGGACAGACCATCTGGTCAGATGGACAGATGATCAGACGAACAGGCCAGGCAGTAGGGACATGGCATGGGCCATGCATTGCCGTAGCAGGGATGTCCTGGGGCAGGCATGTTCTTAGAGCAGTATGAGCCAGACACGGCCACAGGAACAAGAGTTACGACACTTAGGGATATAGATGCATAGAGTTGTGAAGTGTACCTGTGCCATTGGATGGAGTATGGAATGGCTGCATGACTTGCTATCCAAACTCATCCAAATGTACCACCAAGTGCAACGAGGTGTCACAAGGCCCTCCTCCCCATTTGAGACACCAGTTTTGACACACCGCGGGCCCAAAACTGTGAGACAGAAGGGTGTTCAGGCATCCAAAGGTACCACCTGCCACTCTAGCTGCTCTCCAGCCAGCATGGGAATCAGGGAGCCCCCATCGCTGTATGGGTACGAGGCGGGCACGGTCCATGGGCGCCGCACGAGAGTGATGCGGCGGGAGTTGCGCGGCAGGCGGTAGAAGTCCGGCCCGTTGAAACTGGCGAACGCCTCCAGCTTGTCCAAGGCGCCTGCCTGGGAGAGGGGAGAGAGGGGGTAGAAGGGAGGGAAAGTGGGGGGAGGAGGATGGAAGAGTGTGAGGGGGAGTATGGAGTTGTGTGGCAGGCGGTAGAGGGCCGTTGAAACTGGCAAACGCCTCGAGCTTGCCTGAGGCGCTTGTCTGGAGGGGAGAGAAGGAGTGCGTATGGGAGATGAGGGAGACAGGACTGAGAAGACCACAAACATACACCTTGCTGGATAACGTCAAGGATACTATTTTTTAGGCACCTCAAAAATAGACTCGTCACTATTTTTGAGGTGCCTCAAAAATAGACGCCTCACTATTTTTGAGGCGCCTCAAAAATAGACTCCTCTAACGTCAAGGAGAAAGAGGACGGAACAAGGACACGGTGGACGTGTGGAAGAAGTGGGCATTAGGACGGGCGGGGTCATATCCCGTCAAGGGCGGCCACTGGCCTGCTCAAATGCCCGCGCGTAGAGTGGCAGGGCGGCGTGTGCAGAAAAGGTCCCCGCACAGCCACATGGCGCCTCCTTAGAAGCTGGTGAAGGCAACCATCGCACTCTCTTCACCTCACGTTGCACTGAACTGACCTGCTCGAATGCCCGCGCGTAGAGCGGCAGCGCAGCGTGCGCTGAGAAGATTCCTGCACAGCCACATGGCGCCTCCTTAGTGGCCCGCTCGTGCGGCGCGCTGTCCGTGCCCAGAAAGAAACGAGTGCTGCCACCCGTCACTGCGGCCACTATGGCCTGGCCTGGTAAGGCGAAAGGAGATGGGGGGGGGCGGGGGTGTCGCATGCGACGAGGAGGTTGAGTTGACGGGTAATTACCCTAAACCCGAAACCCTGGATTCAGTTAAATGGAGGCCCTGCCGCCCCTCACTGCTGCCACAACAGCTTGGCCTGGTATGGAGAAAGGAGATGCGGGGTGGGGATACGGGGGAGAACGTGGAGAAGAGAGACAATAAATCACGGGGAGAAACACATGCTGCTTGAGGAGTCTTTGAGGCGCCTCAAAAATAGACTCCTCATGCTTGCAGTCACTGCTGCCACTATGGCCTGGCTTGGAAACACAGGTGAGATGGGGGTGTAATGAGTCCATTCAAAAATTGACTCATTACACAGGTAAGAAGGGGGTGTGATGAGTAGAATAAAAAATCAACTCATTACCCAGGTGGGAAGGGGGTGTAATGAGTCGACTCAAAAATCGACTCATTACACAGGTGAGATGGGGGTTGGGAGGGAGGGAGAGGGGAACCAGCAAAGGGGGCAAGGAGCCAAAGGGCCAAGGGGGCAACCGAGAAATTGCTGACCAGAAGGGTCCCGTGGAAGGGGAGGAGGGAATTATGCAAGGTAAGCAGGTGGGAAGCAAGTGGCCTACTCGTCTCACTAGGGCACGCCCATCTCACTAGGGCACACTCGTCTCACTAGGGCACACTCGTCTCACTAGGGCACAGTCGTCTCACTAGGGCACACTCGTCTCAATAGGGCACGCGCGTCTCATTAGGGCACGCTCGTCTCACTAGAGGGCCCGCATTTCACTAGAGTGCTCTCGTCTCACTAGAGTGCTCTCGTCTCACTAGAGTGCCCTCGTCTCACTCGACCGCACTTAAGAACACTTACGATGCGTCTCTCTTTTTCGAACAGGCAGGCAGGAGTGGTGTGGCCGAATGCCCCTAGCAAACAGCGCATTGCAGTTCCAAAGCAGGTGCTGCAAGGCGTCCTCCCCTGACAGGCACAGTCAACTTACGGTGTGTTTCTCTCTTTAGCACGGGCAGGCAGAAGTGGTGCGGTCGGATGCCCCCAGTGAACAGAGCATTGCGGTTCCACAGCAGGTGCTGCGGCGTCACTGTAGCGGCCACCCGGCCCTCAGGTGCTTTCAACACAAACTCGACCGCATCTGCGGTGGTGACATGCTCCAGAACCACTCTGAGCGCCGGCAGCCTCTCTAGCAGCGGAGAGAGCACACGGTGAATAAACTCCTTCTCGCGGTCGAACATGTCGACTGATGGGTCCACCACTTCTCCGTGTAACTGGGTACACAAGGGCATCGGGAGGTGGGCAAAACAGCATCGGTTGCGGTGCCGGGCTGGAAGACCATGAGGAGAGAGCACGCGGTGAATGCACTCCTTCTCGCGGTCCAACATGTCGACTGATGGGTCCACCACCTCCCGTGTAGCTGCATGGGAACGGGGTAGGGTGGGGAGAGGCATAGAGAAGGGAGGGGGTGTCTAGTAAAGGCGAGAGCACCTGGTGAATGAATATTCTTCCCGGTCGAACATGTCGAGTGTGGGATCTACCACCTCCCCATGTAGCCGAGGGGAAGGGAGGGGTGGGGAGAGGAATAGAGAAGGGAGGGCCTGTCTAGTAAAGGCGAGAGCATGTCTAGCAGCGGAGGGAGCACCCGGCGGATGAACTCCTTTTCCCTGTCGAGCCTGTCGACTATGGGATCTACCACCTCCCCATGGAGCCGAGGGGAAGGGAGGGGGAGAAGTGAGAAGTGAGACGAGGTAGGGAAGGGGGGGTTGGGTAAGGTAACTGCAGTGGTGACGTGCTCCAGAACCACTCTTGGGAAGAAGTGGGAAGGAGTGGAAAGGAGTGGGAAGGAGTGGCGGAGGGTAAGGAAGGAAACTCGATTGCATCTGCTGTGGAACCACTCTGAGAGCAGCGGTGGGGGCGCTTGATGATTGAACTTCCTGGTGGTCCTTCTCCCCCTCACCATCGAACATGTTGACTGGTGGGCTCACTGCCTCCCCGTGCAATTGGTTACAAAGGTAGGCAAGACAGGTTTTGAAAGGCACCTCCATGCGCACGCACCTCCATGCGTACGCACCCATGCACCCATGCGTACGCACCCATGCACCCATGCGCATGCACCCCCATGTGTACGCACCCATGCCTATGCACTCATGCACCCATGTGTACGCACCCTTTAGTATGCAACCCCATGCGTACGCACCCTTTATTATGCACCCCCATGCGTACGCACCCCCATGGGTGCGCACCCCAATGGGTACACATCCCCATGGGTATGCACCACTATGTGTACGCACCCTTTTTTATGCAACCCCAGGCGTACGCACCCTTTATTATGCACCCCCATGCGTACGCACCCCCATGGGTACGCACCGCAATGGGTACACATCCCCATGGGTATGCACCACTATGTGTACGCACCCCTATGTGTAGGCACCCCTATGTGTACGCACTCCCATGGGTAACCATCCCCATGCGTACACACCCATTCACCCATGCGTATGCACCCCCATGTGTGTTCGCAACCATGCGTACGCACCCCTGCATACACCCCCATGCAGATCCACCCATGCGTGCACACCCATGCAGACACACCCATGCAGACACACCCATGCAGACACACCCATGCGTGCACACCCATGCGTGCACACCCATGCAGACACACCCACACGCACGCGTATGCACCCATGTGTATGCACCCATGCAGACACACCCACACGCACGCCTATGTACCCATGTGTACGCACCCATGCAGACACACCCATGCAGACACACCCATGCAGACACACCCATGCAGACACACCCATGCAGACACACCCACACGCACGCCTATGCACCCATGTGTACGCACCCATGCTGCAGACACACCCACACGCACGCGTATGCACCCATGTGTATGCACCCATGCAGACACACCCACACGCACGCCTATGTACCCATGTGTACGCACCCATGCAGACACACCGACACGTACACACCCATCCATGCCAAAAGAGGTCTGCCATTCCCACACCTGAAGCAGGTACGCTAGGCACTAACACATGCGAGAAGCCATCCCCGTTACAACACATGCGAGAAGCCATCCCCGTTACAAGCAGACTCACCAACAAGGGCATGCCGACGTGCGCCATGTGCTGTATAGCAGGGAAGCAGCGGCCAAACAGGTCCGTCACCCCCGCTGCAGAGTTGGTGGTGGCTCCCGCGGGGTACAGCTTGAACGCCACCACTATCCCTCCGTCCTCTGGGTGGGGGTGGTGCATGGGTGACAATACATAGTGTGACAGTAGTGGAGGGTGACAATAGTGAGCGGTTGCATCTACTGGGGATGAGAGTTGGTGGTGGCGCCTGCGGGGAACAGGTTGAACGCCACGACTATCCCTCCGTCCTCTGGATTGTGCCAAGAAGTGGGAGAGGCGGTGGATAGAATGGTGAAGTGGGATGGAGCGCTGCCAAGTGTCGAGTGTGGAGTGAAGGTTTATCAAGGCTCCTGCGGGGTACGGCGTGAAAAAATATATTCTTGAGTCGACTCAAAAAGAGCTGCGAATTGTGGAGTGGATAGCACGAAGGTTGGTCAAGGCTCCAGCACGGTACAGCGTGAACGCCGCGACCAGCCCCCCGTCCTCTGCGTGGCTGAAGCGAGGGGGGAAGGGCAACGGGCGGGAAGAACAAGTGTTGTGGCAGCAATTGGGGATGGGAGTTGGTTGTGGCTCCTGCGGGGTACAGCTGGAACTGCGGGGTGGAAGTCTAGTTTTGAGGCGCCTCAAAACTGCGGGGTTGGTTGTGGCTCCACAACTATCCGTCCGTCCTCCGGTTAGAGTTGGGAGGGGGGGGGAAGGGGGGGGGGGGGATTCCTGGGGGTGTACAACACAGCAGGGGATTCCTGGGGGTGTACAATACAGCAGGGGATTCCTGGGGGTGTACAACACAGCAGGGGATTCCTGGGGGTGTGCAATACAGCAGGGGATTCCTGGGGGTGTACAATACAGCAGGGGATTCCTGGGGGTGTACAATACAGCAGGGGATTCCTGGGGGTGTACAATACAGCAGGGGATTCCTGGGGGTGTACAATACAGCATGGGATGGGGACATTGACTCTCCTTTCCTCTGCCACGGCTGCCAGCACCCACTCCCGGTACTCGGCTGCACCCAATGCTGTCATGTGAAGCCATACTCACTTGCTATCTGCACCTCTTCTGGTGGCATCTGTGAGGTATTGCTCAGCCAACGCCTTGCAAGGCGAACTCACTCGCTTTCTGCACCTCTTCTGGCGTGGTGTCGTCAGTGAGGTAGAGCGTCATGAGCGGCTTAAAGCCATCCTCGCCTCTCCTCGCCTCTGGCACGGCTGCCAGCACCCGCTCCCGGTACTCTGCTGCGCCCAATGCGGTGGTGACCGGTGGGCGCAGGTTGGGCATGATGACTGCTCGGTGGAAGACAGAGGCGCTGAAGGAGAAGGGAGGGGATGGCGGGGGGAGGGGGGGGGGCAAGGTGAGTGAGGGGGAGGGGGGAAGGGAAGTGGGGAGGAGAGAGGGGACGTGGGGGGGGGAGGGGGAAGAGACGGGAGGAGGAGAAATGGGAAGGGCAAGAGGCGCAGGATGGGCAAGACAGACGCTGCTACCTGTGCTCTTACCTGACCTCTCACCTGAATCTCACCTGAAGCTCACCTGAACGGCACGACCGATTGCAGCGCGGCGCCGTCCCGCACGTGCAGGTGCCAGTCGTCGGGCTGCGTGATTTCCAGCCGCTCGATCCCCGCAGACTCCGCCGCCGATTGCGCTCGCACCGCCGCCATAGACGGCTTACGGCCTAGCGAGGAGCTTTCTTGGTTTCTGCTTCTGCGGCTAAACGCATTGGTGTGCGACGGGCTGTGCGACGGAACGCGAGAAGAAACCAGGCGAGGCGAAGTTAATCTGCCGTTTCCAGAAACGAGGCGAGGCGACGACGGAAACTGGGGGTTCGGGGTTTGAGGGTGGAGCTTGATGGCGGGATGCGCGGAGATTGCATGCGCCATAGGAGCGGCCCGAGATACGGCTACGGTTATTATTCGCCCCACACACCAGTTCTCTGCGGGCGAATGGTTCTTCGCAATCCGTCCTTAGGCTTGGCTGGCTGACGAATCTGCGATCCGTTCTCATGTTACAGGCATGATAGGTGTGATCGGCGTGAATTTGCTATCAACTTTTACATGAACTACATATGCATTGTTTGTGAAGTGTCTGAAAGGGAAACAATTCGCGGTTTGGGATTGCGAAGTTGGGCTTTTGTATCGCGTATCATCCGAAATTCACCTGCGCTTCGCATAGAGGAAGCACCCACCTGCTTCAGTTGCACCTGCTGACGTAGGAACTACACCCGAAGTCTGTCTGCTGTTTTACCTGCCTCCGTTTCCCCCCCCCCCTCTCCAGGGCCAGAATCGCGAAAGCAAAAAAGCGTCCGTTACAGCGTCGCGAGCGTCGTCAGGAAACACAGACGTGGGTTCTCTGCTTTCGCCACAATCATTCAAGAGCCGCCACACGCCCCTCCTCCAGCCAATCAGGGCCTGTGTCTCAGTTGGCAAACAGTGCAGCCGTTCGACATGCCTCTTCGAATCGCATCTGGTGGGGTTCAATCAAAATGCTGCGCTGGTGACGTTCTCTGTGGTGAAACGCGTTTTCTATAGCTAAATGATCGTTTCTATGCGTTTGAATGAGGTTGAAAGGGTTCTTTCGTTACCTCCCACTATCACACACTGTATCCCATTATCCGCCACTCCAGAAGCCCACAGCACAATTCAGAGGGCAATGAGGGACTCGAGAGAAATGTGAGACTGCGGCTTTTCCTTCTAGCCATGATTCTAGCCGTGACCGCCGCCCTAGCTCTCCCTCCCCGGCCCGTTCATTCCTCTTCTCGTCGCTTTCTCCCTCGTCCGTCGATCCCGTTTTCCGGACTCCCCTGCGCCTTACCATCGAACGTGCTGGCTAGCTCAACTCTGGTTCTCGAAAACGCCGTGACTCTCGACACAGCGACCTCGCAGCTATGAATGACGGGGCGTCCGACGAAGATTAGCCTGTCTCGTAGATTTGACTCAGTAGGAGTTCACACGATTGGCGTTTACAGCACGCGTAACTGCACCGCAGCCCTGCAAGCTCGACATTTTAGCTTCAGACTGTAGTACTACTACAGGCGGGCTGCGTAGTAGTAGTATCGGACTCGAAGGGCCACAATGGGGCCGCGTCGAGGATCTTCAGGGCTCGCGCGGCTAGCGTCAGTCTCGGCGCTGCTATCAATGCTCGCGGTGCTCTCCATGATAGCTGCCGTCGGCGCGCTGGACGTGTGTCCGGACGACGACTCGCTGGTGAGTCCGCCGCAGCCAACGATGAGGGTTAAAGCACAAGCACAATCCTCCCCCTTCTCCCCCCCCCCCCCCCCCCCCCCATCCTCTCCAGCCCCCACTCCTCTTCTCTCCATGGTAGCCGGATTCGGCGCGATGGACGTGCGTCCCGACGACGAAAATCTCGTGAGGCTGCCTCGCCCAGCAATGCGGGCCATGCTGGCACGACCTCTTTGCGCCTCATCGCCACTTGGCACATGCGACGCTCAATGACGTACAAGCACAGCCCCTTCCCCCCTTCCGCCCCACTTTTTCCCCCACTTGCTCTCCCGCTGACCCTCCCCGCACGATCCCACTTCATTGTGCACAATGACGGACGAGTGCGTCAGCGACACGCGGATCTGCGGTGTCGACTGAAAGCCATATCTTTCCCACCCGCTAATCCTCCCCTGCTCGCCTCCCTCCCGCCCGTCCGTCCCCTTGTCCCAGTTCGTGTGCGCGACGACAGACGAGTGCATCAGCGACACGCGGATCTGCGGTGTCGACTGAAAGCCATATCTTTCCCACCCGCTAATCCTCCCCCCTGCGCGACGACAGACGAGTGCAGTTCGTGTGCGCGACGACAGACGAGCGCGCGACAACAGACGAGTGCATCAGCGACACGCATATCTGAAGTGACGTTTGAGTCGATTGTGAAGCCACCTATTCACTCCCCTGCGCACCCTTCCCTCCCTCCCGTGTCATCCTGACGATCCCAGTTCGTGTGCGCGACGACGGACGAGTGCATCAGCGACACGCAGATCTGCGACGGCACGCCAAACTGCAGCGACGAGTCGGACCCGCCGTCCGACGAGGACCCCGCGCTCTGCGAGACGTACGAGTGCCCCAGCGGGTGGCAGAAGTGCAACGACTTCCTGCAGTGCTACGAAGTGAGCCGCCTGTGCGACGGCACGAGTGACTGTAACGATGGGAGCGACGAGGAGGGGTGTGACGACGCGGCAGTAGAGGATCCACCTGTTGAAGGTACACCTGATGCAGGGACACCTGATGCAGGGACACCTGATGCGGGAACACCTGATGCAGGGACACCTGGTGCAGGGACACCTGATGCAGGGACGCCTGATCCTGATGCTCCAACTGATTTCGGATCAACCTCACCAAGCGCAGATGACACGACCGCTCCACCTGCAGATGACACGACGACCCCTCCAGCAGTTGAAACGCCTCCAGCTGACGAGGGTACAGCACCGGGCGATGAAACCGAAGATGAAGCACCGCCGTCGGAAGAGGCACCGCCACCAGAAGAGGAAACGGCTGCACCAGTAGAAGGGACTGGGACTGATGATGGAACATCTGCGGATGAGAGTGTTCCGCCAGATGAAACGCCTCCTGGAGATGAAACGCCACCACCGCCACTTCCTCCTCCTGAAGAGCAGCCAACGTCACCTCCAGAAGATGAAACTGCCCCTCCACCTGACAATGAAACCCCAAATACAGGAGATGAAACCCCTTCATCCGGAGATGAAACTGCGCCACCTGAAGATGATACGACCCCGTCAGAGGATAATGCAGCTCCACCACCCGCAGGTGACGTGGACCAGCCAGGTGGGGATGACACGCCTGATGCGCCACCAGGTGATTCGTCAGGGTCGGGCGAAGGTTCTGAGGAACCTTCAGAAGGAGCAGGGGAAGGGGGAAGTGGGGAGGAGGGAAGTGGAGAGGAGGGTGGAGAGGAGGGAAGTGGAGAGGAGGAGGGTGAGGGAGGAGGAGCTGAGGAGGGAGAGAAGGGAGGGGAAGGAGATGCAGACGAAGGGGAGGGGGATGAATCGGAAGGGAATGAGTCAGGTGATGATTCAGGTGATGATTCAGGTGATGATTCAGGTCGTGATGATGCAGGTGATGATTCGGCTGATGATTCGGGTGATGATTCAGGTGATGATTCAGGTGCTGACTCAGGTGATGATTCAGGCGATTCCGAAAAGGAACCTGAGACACCACCTCCCCCACCTCCATCTGGGCCTCCCCTTTCTCCTCTAGAGCAGAAGAAGCAGGAGTACCACAAGGCAGCTCGTGCTGCCGAGGCTGCTAAGGCCGATGCTGAGAGGGCAGATGGGATGGCCACGCAGAGGGAGAAAGAAGCAGAGGCAGCAGAAGCTCGGGCAGAAAAAAAGGCAAGAGAAGCCCAAAGTGCCAAGGGCGGGGCGAGTGTGAAGAAGAAGAGGGAAGAGGCGAAGCAGGCACAGAAAGAGGCAGAGGCTGCGAGGGCGAGAGCGGATAAAGCGAGAGAGGAGGCGGATGGGAAGGAGGAGGCAGCAGTGGAAGCCACAGGTGTGGTGGAGGAGAAGAGGCAGGAGCTGGTGGATGAGGCTGAGAGGAGGAAGCCGGAACTGGAGGAGAAGAAGCGGCAAGGGTCGGCCCGGCGGGACGCGGCTAGAGCCGAGAGAGACGCAGCGAAAGAGAAGAAGAAAGAGTCTATGAAGTCGTTTAGAGAGAGGTTGATGGCTGCTCGGAAAGCAAAAATGGCTGAGAAGGCAAGTTCTGTTTCGGCTGTTGCGGCGGAGAGACAGGCGGAGGCGGATAAAGCACTGGAGGCTAAGCAGCAGGCGGATGCTGAGGTGGCCCGGCTGGTCTTAGCTAAAAGTAAGGCGGAAGGAGAGGCAAAAGAGGCTGTGGAAGCACAGGCAGCGGCAGAGGAAGCAGCAAGGGAGGCGGTGAAGGACGGTGATAAAGCGCTGGCTTCAGCGAAGCGGGAGGAAGCCGCAGCAGCGCTGGGGCTGAAGTGGGAGAAGCAGGAGGAGATTGCGCGGGTGAAGGAGCAGGTGGTTGCTGCCAAGGCCGCAGCCAAGCTTGCTGCCAAGGAGGCGGCTGTGCGACAGCTGGTGGCCGCCCGGGCAGCGAGCGAGGCGCAGAAAGTGGGCGGTACAGTGGGTGGAGGGAGTGAGGGCGGTGGTACTGGTGATGGTGCAGGCGCTGGTGGTGGTGGTGATGGTGGTGGTGCTGTTGGTGGTGATGCTGGAAGTGGCGATGGTGCTGCTGGTGATGCAAAAGGGGGTGATGAGGCTGGTAACAACGATAGTCCTGGAACTGGGACTTGGGAAAAAGAGAGTGATAGTAATGTGGGTGATGGCCATACGGACAGTAGTCCAGGTGACACAAACGTGAGTGGTTCAAGTGAAGGAACTGATAAAGTGGCAGTCGGGCTTTCGTTCGCTGATGGCTTTGCTACGAGTGGCGGCGGCAAGAGAAAGGGTAGCTCACGATCCAGGAAGGTAAATGTCGGGGTTTGACAACGTGCTGTGTAATGCGTGCCTGGTTTTTTCCATTATGTATTTTCATTGTGAAGTGTACGACATGATTTCTTTTTTGCATGCTCATGCACGTCTAGATTCCTGGCTAAGTGTAAGGAATTATTATTCAGTTATAAAGGAATAACTATTACACCGAGCCGCACCTCTCTCTGGGGTCGAGCCTTGGGCGACTGGCTTGAAACGCTTTGACTCGAGCGAAGAGGGAGGGCCCAACTCCGCCAATCGCCAAACCCGCCCGCTCCACGCCCCCACGTGCGGTTGCGATGCGGTGCATTCTTCCCCCGCCGTGACCCCCCCAATGCTCCGTGACTCCCCCTCTTTTCTCTCCTTCCCTCCCGGTTCCCCCGCTTCACCGTGATATGCCGCGACTCGACACGACTCCATTTCTCCAGCGCGGCGAATCACCATCTGCTCCAAGCCCACATCAACCCTTCCCCGACCACCCAACCACCACCCAGCGCAGCCTGAACCATGCAAACCACCACCCGACCAAGTTAACCTACTATTAACAAGCAAAACCGAACCCAACCACAGTCATTCTCAGCACAGCACAACTCAAATCACTAACCAACCCAACTCAAATCTACATTTTTTCGCTCTTTCTTCTTCCAAGCTCAATTCTGCAGTTTCCAATCCCCGAACTGTACCTTCGCCGTGGCTCTTCTTCTACATGCGTTAGCTACTAGCGTAGTAAGCTAATTATTTTGGGTTCTATAGCATAGCAAGTTGTTCCTCCACAGTTCTGCTTCCGTTGCTCGCCTCCTAGCCCGACTCGAGCCGTTCGATGATGGCGAGGGCTAGCTGGCATCAACGGCCCAGCGTGGGCATTTTATGTGTCACGGCGCTGCTGCTCGCGTTCCTCTTCCATATCCCTCCAGTACGCGAAGTTTCACTGGTGTGCGTCATTGCACCGTGCAACCCCCCCCCGCGCTATGTCCTGGTGCTGGTAACTACATTCGCGCGCCGCGGCTTAGGAATCATCTCTCCCTGCATCGCTAGCATTACAGCCCTTCCTGCGAGCATCGATCGTCATTTCTTCATATCCCAGCTCAGCCTCCCTCCTTTATTTCTCCTGTTTTTTCGTTCAACGAAATGGGCCATTTTCCCTCATCCCTCGATGGCAGGTTGCAGCCCAAATGGATTGCAGGGACCTGGTAAGCCCCTCTTCTCCCTTCCCTTCCCCCCAATCTTCCGATCTCTCTACCCACCTCTCCTATTTAATCCTTCCCAAGCGGTTTTTGGACTGATAAACCCTGGGTATAAGTTAGGCGAGGTACGTGGGGCCGCCTGTGATAAATCCGTCTCTCTCCATCTCTTCGTCCTTCCCTCTCCCCGCTTCCACAACTTCTCTCTTCCCTCTCCCCGCTTCCACAACTTCTCTCTTCCCTCTCCCCGCTTCCACAACTTCTCTCTTCCCTCTCCCCGCTTCCACAACTTCTCTTTTCCCTCTCCCCGCTTCCACAACTTCTCTCTTCCCTCCGTCCCAAAAATCCGCCCCCCTCAACCTATGCATACGCAACGAACAATTGGAAAACCGCTATGCATATACAAAGTCACCAGCCGCATAGTGCAAACGTGTTCATCAGTGAACAATATACATAGTCTCCGAAGCCTAAGCTAATACAAAGCATATTCTAAGTTGCAGCATACTACCTTGCCTTAGTAAGTGCATACTACGCGCTTTGCATACGCAAAGCACTGGCAGCCTAAGTGGAACCAATGTCCACGAGCCTTAGCGTACACTATGCATTTGCATGGTGAATTTCCGTTAAATCTTCATTGATGCTATGCAGAAGCTATGCAGGAGCTATGCAGAAGCTATGTATTCAGTAAAAAAAAAGCAGGTGCGTGCTGTATGTCCCACAAGTAACTGCTACTAGTTTGATGGTCAGATAACCTCTATTCCAATATTATGCTTACAAATACATTAGAAGTCACGTATATCGAATCAACCATAACAATTTAGGTCAACATCATGGGCTAGCTAGATTACGCAAGGCTTCAGATCTGCGTCGCCAATGGTCCGTCGAGAAATCATATCAGGTGCTTTTCCTGCAAACTCAAGGCAGACCACGAAACGCAATTAGGAGTAGCGACCGGTGCCAACGCCATGGAATTTCATCGTTGGTACATGACTGAACCGCGCAAATAGCTCACATTTTTTCGCATGACGCATTGGAAGAACAACAAGCATCCACGTAAGCGTGACAGGTCCATTCTGCCGGCGCTTGACGGTCTTCGACAGGAATTAATTACTTCCGACGTAACGAATCTGCAGCAAGCGCACAGGAAAAGGAAAAGGACGTTGTCAGCATGCTGATACTACGCAGCTAACACGTGACTCATGAATCCCCTAGACAATGCAACATCGCACAGCTGCTACGAGGTGAACTACAAGACAGATCTAGGAGAAGGAAACCTGCAACGACGCCAAGCTCGAGTGATGAGATGCCTGAGATGGAAATGATTGGGTGAGTTGGAACTTCCCGTAGTTATCGTTGGCGTGGCTTGAGGATAAGGGTTTGTTCTGGTGGTTGGGGATTGGCGTGAAGTTGCCATGTCGCTGTGCTATTGGCTGAAAGTTTTGTACTTGTTAGAGAGTTCTTCGATGTCAAATTGAGTCTGGTACATTGCTGAGCTCTCTATATCTAAAACTGTGGAAACCCTTTTTCACGAAGGGTGTTGGCGAAATGTCAAGTGTTCGTGAATCGCAGATGTCGGAATGACCTCGCATGTTTCGACGCACCGCTACTATCGTTCTCGACCAATCACATGTGAGTTGAATTTGCTTGGTGTACTACATTGTAATTGGTTGCAGCAAACTGTATCCCCTTCTCTGATTCGTGATTTGTTTTGGGCCAATCAGATCTCGCCACACAGTTTCAGCTGGGCAAAGCACTTGGTATGGTGGCTGGGACGTGGCGAGCATGTTGCGGAAACCAACGCAACTGTTCGGATCTGCGTCGTATCCACTAAGGTTCAGCTTCACGCCCTCAGATGATGGGCTGTCATAGCACCTGAGCACGATGGCTTCGTCGTAGGCAAACAAGCTATTACGATGTCGTTGTCCCAACTTCACTCTCACTTCGTCGCAACCTCATTGACTGGGACTTAGTAAACACAACGTGGCGCGGGTCCAACCCCAACCGGTTTCACATTTTTGGGATGACTCTCCCCGCTTCCATCTCTTCTCCTTTCTCTTTCCTCCCAATCTTCCCTTCACTCTAATAAATCCCTTTCCTTCCCTCTCCAACTGCAAGGACAAGAGCGACAAGGCTTCAACTCCCAAACTCACCCCCCCCCCCCCCCCCTCCCTCCCTCTCTTTTCAACGTCACATCTGCTCCCTTTATTGCTCAATTCGTTCACCAGGTGGAGTGCCCGGGCCTGGGGCAGTGTGTGGCTCCGGAGAAGCTGTGCGACGGGAGGGTGGACTGCAAGGACAAGAGCGACGAGGCCGCATGGTACTGCATCCCGCTCGACTGCTCCGACCCCGACAACAGCGTACGTGGCTGGAAGTGTCCCTTACGTACGTGCTTTAACATATCTCCGTTCTAAGGCGCCTTAATATACGTGGTAATGCAACGCGCGCGACTGCTCCGACCCGGACACCACCATACGTTTCGGCCCAGTCTCTGACTGTTAGTCGACTCAAAAGACACCTCGTCGCCGGCTCTGCTCCTTCCTCCCCCCCCCTCCCCCCGCCGCTTCCCCTGCGTTTCCTACGCTTCCCCTCGCCCTCTACACGCCCTCTCCTCACCCTTGACCCTCATTCTGCTAAATAGTCTTTCCTTGTCCCCCGCTTGTCTTCCCTCCCTCCCCCTTTCCCCCCCTCCTCCCCTCCCTCCCTCCCTCCCTCCCTCCCTCTCTCCCCCCTTCCCTCCTCCCCTTTTCCTAACATCCACGCATGCCAGGTGGAGTGCGTGGGCACGGAGTACTGTGTGAAGCCCTCGCAGGTGTGCGACGGCATCAAGCAATGCCCGGGCGCCATCGACGAGTCCCCTGGCTTCTGCCTCGACTACCGCAGCTCCGAATGCACGTGGGACCAACTCAAGTGCACGGCCACGTCCGCGTGCGTCAAGGGGCTGATGTGCGACGGCGTGGCCAACTGCGCCAAGGTGAAGAACGCGAGTGGTGTGCTGATAGCGCCGGACGAGGACCCCAAGTACTGCATGGCGTACGAGTGCCTGGAGAACTATCAAAAGTGCGCGGACGAGCGGCAGTGCGTGCTGTATGAGGCCATGTGCGACGGCAAGAAGGACTGCCTCGGTGAGCCTGCCGCCCTCTCTTGAGCCTCAACTGCATGCCTGTGCGCCAGGTACTGTAGTGTGTGTGCCGTAGTGCGTGCCGTAGTGCGGGCCGTAGTGCGTACCGTAGTGCGTTCCGTAGTGCGTGCCGTAGTGGGTGCCGTAGTGGGTGCCGTAGTGCGTGCCGTAGTGCGTGCCGTAGTGCGTACCGTAGTGCGTTCCGTAGTGCGTGCCGTAGTGGGTGCCGTAGTGGGTGCCGTAGTGCGTACCGTAGTGCGTGCCGTAGTGGGTGCCGTAGTGCGTGCCGTAGTGCGTGCCATAGTGCGTGCCGTAGTGCGGGCCGTAGTGCGTGCTGTAGTGCATGTTGTTTGATGCCGTGTGCGATGGCAACAGGGACCGCTTTGGTGAGCGTATCTCTTGGCCTCTGCTTGACCCTGTAAGTTTGGATTCCCTCCTGTCCTTATCTCTCCTCTAATCATCCCCCCGTCGTCTCCTCCATCATGCTCTCCCTCTTCGAGATGACTTTTGAGTCGACTCAAACGTCTCCTCCATCATGCTCTCCCTCTTCGAGATGACTTATGAGTCGACTCAAACGTCTCCTCCATCATGCTCTCCCTCTTCCTTTCCTCCCCCTCATCTCCTTTCCTCTCCCCTCCTCTCCTTTTCTCTCTCCTCCTCTCCTTTCCTCTCCCCTCCTCTCCTTTCCTCTCCCCTCCTCTCCTTTCCTCTCCCCTCATCTCCTTTCCTCTCCCCTCCTCTCCTTTCCTCTCCCCTCCTCTCCTTTCCTCTCCCCTCCTCTCCTTTCCTCTCCCCTCCTCTCCTTTCCTCTCCCCTCCTCTCCTTTCCTCTCCCCTCCTCTCCTTTCCTCTCCCCTCTTCTCCTTTCCTCTCCCCTCCTCTCCTTTCCTCTCCCCTCCTCTCCTTTCCTCTCCCCTCATCTCCTTTCCTCTCCCCTCCTTTCCTTTCCTCTCCCCTCCTCTCCTTTCCTCTCCCCTCCTTTCCTTTCCTCTCCCCTCCTCTCCTTTCCTCTCCCCTCCTCTCCTTTCCTCTCCCCTCCTCTCCTCTCCCCTCCTCTCCTTTCCTCTCCCCTCCTCTCCTTTCCTCTCCCCTCCTCTCCTTTCCTCTCCCCACCTCTCCCTTCCTCTCCCCTCATCTCCCTTCCTCTCCCCTCATCTCCCCTCCTCTCCCCTCCTCTCCCCTCCTCTCAACAGATGGGAGCGATGAGGTTGACTGTGCTTACCCAGACACAGGCAACACTGGAACAACCGGGAGCACTGGCACAACTGGCAGCATAGGCAGCAGCAGCAACACGGGCACAACCGGCAGCAGCAGCATCACTGGATCCACAGGAAGCACTAGTAGCAGCAGCAGCACTGGGAGCACCGGTACCACTGGCAGCAGCAGCAACACCGACAATCAGGGCAGCACCGGCACTACAGACAGTTTCGGCAGTTGGACGGTGCCTGCCCCGCTGGATTGCGGCGACTTGGTGCGTAACAACTCTTCTTCCTCCTTCTCTACCCACCCCTAACACCTCCCGTCTTTCTATCTCTGTACCTCACCACCTTCGTGACATATCGTAGTCCACCCTCTTCTTAGTTGCCTTACACCCTTCATGAGATTCGTCACCAGTTGTTCAGCCGTAGTTTGTGTCTAGACTCCCTAACCCCCTCAATGTCTCACTCAATCAACCCTTCCCCTCTGTTCATCATAACCTGTAGGTGGAGTGCCCGGGCCTGGGTCAGTGCGTGGCTCCAAATAAGCTCTGCGACGGGACGGTCGACTGCAAGGACAAGAGCGATGAGGCCGCGTGGTACTGTAACCCGATCGACTGCTCCGACCCCACCTTCACCGTGCGTTTTTTCCCCTCCCGAGTATGATAGTTGATGCTCCCATCTGCGTTGCCCGACACTTTTCCCTACAACGTCCCCCTCGTCCTCTTCGCAACTCCATTCGCCCTCAGTATTCCCCCTCGTTCTCGTGCTCTTCACGCCCCCTGGTCCCCTATTGTCGCCTGTGCCCTTTCCTCATTTCTTTACGCCGGGCCTTGTCCCCTGTTCCTTCTTCGCTGCTGTCATCCCCATTCCTTCACGCTCTAGCCTTGTCTCCCCTTCTTCCCCACTCACATCCTCCCCTCCTCCTCTCACATCAGGTGGCGTGCACCGGAACGGAGTATTGCGTGAAGCCCTCGCAGGTGTGCGACGACATCAAGCAGTGCCCGGGCGCCATCGACGAGTCCCCCGGATTTTGCCTTGACTACCGCAGCTCCGATTGCGAGCCGGACCAAGTCAAGTGCACGCCCACCTCTCAGTGCATTAAGGGCTACATGTGCGACGGTGTAGCGAATTGTCCCCAAGTGAGGGACAACACGAGCGGTGTTCTTATAGTGCCGGATGAGGACCCCATATACTGCATCGCGTACGAGTGCTTTGACGGGTTCCAGAAGTGCGCGGACGAGCGGCAATGCGTGCGGCATGGGGCCATATGCGACGGCAAGAAGGACTGCCTAGGTATGTCTCCTTCGCTTTCCTCTCCTCCTCCCTTCTTCGCTTGGCCGGCTGTGTGCTAGGTCCAAGGAGCCGTTCAAAGTAGCCTGATGCCAATATTTTTCCAACGTGGGTTTTTCCTTCCACCCCTTTTCCTCTGAAAACATGCTCAAATTTCCGAGACACAGGCGCTGAACTGAACAGTTTATTTGACCCCAATTTTGCCGACGCAGATAAAGTGGTCTTAATTATTACCCGACATCTCCTTCCTCTCTTCCCCTCTCCCCAGATGGAAGCGACGAGCTTGATTGTGGTTCCCCGGACACGGGTAGCACAGACACACCTGGCAGCACGGGCACACCTGGAAGCAATGGCAAAAACGGTGGCAACAGCGGGGGGAAGGGGGGAGGAGGGAAGTGGACAGGAGGGAAGTGGACAGGAGGGAAGTCGAAAGGAGGAAAGTGGAAAGGAGGAAAGTGGACAGGAGGGAAGTGGACAGGAGGAAAGTGGCAAGGAGGGAAGTGGAAAGGATGGGGGAATTGGAGAGGATGGGGAAAGTGAAGGGGAATAGGGCAAGAGTGGAAGGGCTGAACGTCAGTTGGAGGGAGTGTAGGAATGAAGTGTAAGAGAAGGGGTCGAGGATGAATAACGGGTAAATCACTGGGGAGGAACTTGAAACATCGCCGCCCCCACCTCCACCTAAGAAGCCCCTTTTTGCCTCTAAAGAAGGATAAGAGTCCAAAACAACATAAGGATGAGAGGACGCTTGGAGGGCTGATGGGATCGTTAACGCTGGTTCTTGTCCTGGCGTGATTTTGCTGTTCATTTCGTGGGATTTATTATTTAAATTGCTTTAAATAAATCTCGTCAATAGATTGTATTATGTATTATATTGTGGTAATTTTGGTTTGACATCATATATGGTAAAGCTGACGGAATGACAAGTAACATGTACTGCCGCTATGATCCCGGCATCCTTGCTATGAGTGGTCCATTTACATAATTGGTTGAGTAACTGTCATCTGGTTGTTCGCATGCGCTTCGGCAACCCTAACCTGGAAATGGGGATCAATATGGGCCCCGAGACGCACCTGGTGCAGTGACACTGTACAAACACCACAAAACAGTACAGTACAGAACATGCACAAACTGTGGCTTCTCTCACGGGTTCCCCGAGCTCCGCTGTCTTTTGTGCGGGGGCAGGTATTCAGGTGATATGCCAGCCAGCCACCTATACGCGTCGCGATTATCAGAGGGCCTGCCTGTCAGGAGAGCGTTTGTTTCGATTCAAGACGAACATGTCCCCCGAGTGGAATCCTGGCGGAAATTCGGGTTCCCGCCACTCGTGTCGGAGAGTGTGGGAGAAACTGCGCCAATCTCCAGATCCACGCCCCCGTGCGCCCGCCCCTTGACCGCTGCACTACCCTCTCGCGCGCCCGTCCCCCGTGGACTGTCACATGCGCCCCCGGCCTTGCCTTGCCCCTCTCCTCCTCCTTCCTCCCTCTATTTCCTCCCTTTTCCTCCCGCTTTCCCGTTTTCCCGTCTCCCGCGTTCGCCCGCTTTCCCGTCACTGCAACTGGCCCATCTCACTCCTGCTCCCTCTGCGCCACCACGCCCAGCTCCTTAGCTTCTCTACCAGTATCTTCAGTGGTTAGCTTGGGTTTCCCTGTGCCAGTGCCCAGAGTTCGGTCAAGCTTCGCGTACAAGTGGACTGATAAGCGCATCTAAGCTGTCGAAGTAGGTTATCGAGCGAAAGAGATTCAGTTGGACCTACACACACGCCCCTCGTTCCGTAGACATCTATCCCCTACCGTTTCGCATAGTTGGTTCGTCTCCTAGCCGTCCAATGGCGAGGGCCAGCTGGCATCAACGGCACGGCGCGCATGTCCTATGTGTGGCGGCGCTGCTGCTATCGTTCCTCTCCCACGCCCGCCTGGTACGCTCCGCGCTGCTCACCCACGTCTACTTTAGAGCCGTCTCAAACTTACGCTCCCCAACCCCCCCCTTCCTTCCGGAACTCCCCTGGTACGCTCCGCGCTGCTCTTGCCTGGGTGAACGGGAGTGTAGTTCCCCCGTCTAGCTTAGAGCTCCCCTGGAACGCTCCGCGCTGCTCTCGCCCGCTGGCGAACAGTAGAGTACGTCTCGTGCGCGTGTTATAGGAAGGTCGATACGCGCGTCGAGATAGGAGGGCTCCATTCGGCGATGCACGCCTCGTGTGCGAGTAACCGTCGCAGGAAGGTCTTTATTCGCACAGCGTGGGCAGGCGATGTGCTCTCGTGCTGGTAACCCCATGACTGCAAGCGGCGCATAGCACGCCATGTTTGTTCTACAGCGCTAGTAACCCCATGGCTGCCGTCTTAGGGAGCAGCGCACAGCACGCAGCCGCCTCGCCATGTTCTTCAGTTGTCGCATCTCCATAGCTGCGCGTTTTCGGAAGGTCCTTCTCCCGTACCACGCTAGCTCTACATGGTAACGCAAGCAGCGCAAGCAATCAGCGCAAGCAAGCAGCGCAAGCAAGCAGCGCAAGCGTCTATATACGCGAACGTCCGTCAAGCGACGCGCGTCATTTCCCGTGCATGCGAAGCAGCCAATCAACCTCTCTCTATTTCCTCTCCCCTGTTTCTCCTCCTCGTCCGTGGAACGCTCTCCCCTCTATCGTCCTGTCGGCAGGTGTCGGCCCAGATGGACTGCGGCGACCTGGTAAGACCCTCTACTGCCTCCTCTGCCCTTTCCCACGTCGTCCACTCTCCCCTCTCTCTCGCCCCCTCTCCCCCCCTCTCCCCCCTCTCCCCCCCCCCCCCCCCCCCTCTCCTTCCCCTCTCTACTGCTCAAATGGACTTCTCCCTCTCGCCTCCCCCCCATCTCCGCTCCCCTCTATTAATCCCTCTATCACCTGTTGCACCAGATAGCCTCACACTCACCCCCCTTTACTGTCACATCCGCTCCCTGTACTGTCACCTTCGCGTGTATTCCTCTTCGCCAGACGGAGTGCCCGGGCCTGGGCCAGTGCGTGGACCCCGACAAGCTGTGCGACAAGACGGCCAACTGCAAGGACAAGAGCGACGAGGCTGCGTGGTACTGCAACCCGCTCGACTGCTCCGACCCCGACCTCATCGTACGTTCCGCGCCCCGCATCCCTCGAATTCACTTTCCCGCTCCCCCCCTTCCCCCGCGCCCCCGGAGTCCCCTTTGCAGCCCCCCTGCCGTTCCTGTCTCCCCGTCGCCTTTCCCTTCCGCTCCCTCTTCCGCACCCCTTGCGATCTCCCCACTCTGCTGCGTCGCCCTTCCGCCGCCCTTGCCTCCAATGCGTCCCTTTCTGCCGATACCAGGTGGAGTGTGTGGGGACCGAGTACTGTGTGAAGCCGACGCAAGTCTGCGACGGCATCATGCAGTGCCCCGGCGCCATCGACGAGACCCCCGGCTTCTGCCTCGACTACAGGAGCTCGGACTGCGAGCTGGACGAGGTCAAGTGCACCACCACATCCGCGTGCATCAAGGGCCTCATGTGCGACGGCGTGGCCAACTGCGCCAAGGTGAAGAACGGGAGTGGCGTGCTGATAGCGCCGGACGAGGACCCCAAGTACTGCATGGCGTACGAGTGCCTGGAGAACTACCAGAAGTGCGCGGACGAGCGGCAGTGCGTGCCGTATGACGCCATGTGCGACGGCAAGAAGGACTGCCTCGGTGAGTCTGCTCGTCCCTCCTGCCCTCCTGCCCTCCTGCCGTCCTGCCCTCCTGACCTGCGGTGTAGTGGTGGGTGGTTTGTGCCTGGGTAAGTCTCCTCCGCTCTCCTCTCCTCCTCTACTCTTCTCTCCTCTCCTCTCCACCTCTCCTCTCTCCTGCTGCTTGTCTCAAGCTCTGCCTCTCTTTCCCGCGTTCCCCCCCCAGATGGGAGCGACGAGGTCGACTGTGCTTACCCGGATCCCCCCAGCACGGGCAGCACGGGCAGCACCGGAACAACCGGCAGCACAGGCACGACGGGCAGCACGGGCAGTACTAGCAACACGGGCACAACCGGCAGCAGCAGCACCACTGGTACCACTGGCAGCACGGGCAGCAGCAGCAGCACTGGCACCAAGGCCAGCACGGGTAGCACTGGCAGCACCGGCAGCACAGGGACAACTGGCAGCAGCAGCAGCACCGGCACCAAGGCCAGCACAGGCAGCACCGGCACCACTGGCAGCAGCAGCAGCACAGGCACTAAGGCCAGCACAGGCAGCACCGGCACCACTGGCAGCAGCAGCAGCACAGGCACTAAGGCCAGCACAGGCAGCACCGGCACCACTGGCAGCAGCAGCAGCACAGGAACCAAAGCCAGCACGGGCAGCACGGGCAGCACGGGCAGCAGCAGCAGCACCGGGACCAAGGCCAGCACTGGCAGCACCGGCAGCACCAGCAGCAGCAGCAGCACCGGAACCAAAGCCAGCACCGGCAGCACTGGCAGCACCGGTAGCACCGGTAGCACAGGGTCTACCGGCTCCACTGGGGGCTCGTCCAGTGTGCAGCAGCTGACGGCTCAGTACCAGGCGGCGATCATTGCTCAAGACAAGGCGCTGACGGCCTCGGACGCCGCCACCAAGAAGGCCCAGCAGCTCAAAGCCGACGCGAACACAGCGGGGCTGGCAGCAGACAAGCTGCAGAGGGACGCGAATAACGCCGTGGGGAACACGCCCCAGGCGAAGGCCAAGAGAGCCGCGGCGAAGCAGGCCAGGGCGGACGTGGGTGCCAAGCAGGCGGTGGCTGCTGCTGCTCAGGAGGATGCTGACAGCAAGGAGAAGGCGTATGAGGACGCGAAGACCACCGCGGATAAGCTGAGGGAGAAGCTCAAGAAGGAGATCGGCAAGGCGCAGAAGGCGGGGAGCGTGAAGGCGTCGGGCGCCGCGGCGGACAAGCTGACTGCAGAGGCGGAGAGGGGCGCGCTGCAGAAGCAGAAGAAGGCGGACGCCATGACCTTCGCTCAGAAGCAGCAGAAGGTCAACAGTGTGAAGAGATCCGCCAAGGCTATGGAGGTGCTGAGCCGCGCCCGCGCCGCCAAGAGCCTGTGGGACAAGGCGGTGTTTAAGCTGGAGATGCTGTTTAACGAGACGCTTAAAGCAGAAGCTACACTTATCAAGCTGGATGAGCGGTACGATAACCTGACGGAGTCTATCTCGAACGTCACCCAGTTTATTCGGAAGTACATGGCGAAAGGGGACATGGTTCAAGTTCAGGCTCAGCAGGAAAAAATGCCTCGGTACAAAAAGTGGCTGGACCAAACCAGGTCGGATCGGACCGTGGCTGGGAAGGCGTATCTGGAGTCGTTGACCACTCTGGAGGGGGGGGAGGGGGATGTGGCTCTGCGGAGGAGGATCTACATGCGCATTGTGAAGGAGTCTAATAAGCTGAATGGGATTGGCAATACGAATGATGGCCTTGTGGATCCGGGCTATGATGACGGCTCCGACTCGTCAGGTGACTCGTCAGGGGATGGGTCAGGAGATACGTCTGGTGATGGGTCAGGAGATACGTCTAGTAATGGGTCGGACTCGAGTGCAGACGGCGACCCCTGGTTGGGTTGATTCACTCGCAGGCTATCCTTGTACCATGTGGTGTCTCTGCTGTCCACTACAATTTCTTTTGTTCATTGTGTGGGTTGGGTTATGGTTTGGGGCTGTTCAGGCCACTTCGTAGGATTCTAAGCCTGCTATGAGGTTTTGATAACGTGGGCATGCTTGTGCATGACTGTACAATGGTTGTGCCATGATAAGACAGCTTTGTATTTTTGCTCAAGATGTCATCAGTAGGAAGCTTTTTCAGGGATGTGGTGTGGAAGCTAGTCTTGGAGTGGTGTTAAAGTCTGTACTCATTGGTTTCAATCGAAACCGAAATCTCGAACCAAATTCTAGACAACTACAACCGAAGCCTCACTCACTGCACCGCATGTCAGGTTTCGGTCAGTTGTGAATTTATCCACCATTCGCGGTGACATCTGCGGGATTGGCGGAGCAAGGCAGACATTCTCGAATTCCGGTAACCATCACGTCAACCTCAAGCAGGAGTCTCGCTGGTTTCGTCTTCACCTGAAACCACCTGGATGGTACGAGTCGCACCTGCCCTTTCTGTTGCCGGCGAAAAATACACTCGCCCACGACATCGCAACACAACCAGCACAAGACACCCCCCTCCGATCTGCCCGCGTTTGTTAGCACAATACACACAATACACACAATACACCTGCAATACAAATATGCCTTCACTGCTTTCCCCTCCTCTCCACTCCATCACCAGCCAAGCCTTGACGGCAACACCAGCAGAATCTAGCAGCTAGCAACACGCCATTCCACAACAACTGGCTTGGCTGCTGCTGTCAGTCATCCGGTTCGCCCGTCGACGTGCGTTCCTCGCGGCGTCTGCACGGACACTTGTCGTTTTTTTACGGAGGGGGAAACCAGCTGTTCGTTCAAATCCAGTCGGCTGCTGATCGCTTCCTCACTTCTAATCGCGGAAACGGCCTTCTTGCGAGCAGTGCTCGCAGGCCGCACGGAAAATGGAGACGTCGTCCGTGCGATCGCCGTCCATGTCGCTTAAGCTCGTCGCATGGGCGCTGCTTTTCGCAACGCTCGTCTCGTCAGGAGGCTCGCAGGTACGTCGCAGGTCGTCGCTCGTAGGCGAGCATTCGTCGCGCGAAAGGCGAGGAATGCTGAAGCGTTCTCTCTAGGAACGGCAGTTGTGCGGGAGGGGAAAGAAAAACGAAAAGGAAACGGCGAAAAGAAAACGCTCTTGGTGACGTGTCGGCTAAGCGGGGTACATCTCTTGTCGTGACGAGAAGAAGCGAAAAGGCGGGCTACCTGGCATGTTCTCGGCGATTGTGGACGACCGAGTGCCCGGCATAGAACTCCCTTTCGGCATAGAAGTTGGCACAGACCGAGTGCTCGACACAGACCGAGTGCTCGACACAGACCGAGTGCTCGACACAGACCGAGTGCTCGACACAGACCGAGTGCTCGACACAGACCGAGTGCTCGACACAGACCGAGTGCTCGACACAGACCGAGTGCTCGACACAGACCGAGTGCTCGACACAGACCGAGTGCTCGACACAGACCGAGTGCTCGACACAGACCGAGTGCTCGACACAGACCGAGTGCTCGACACAGACCGAGTGCTCGACACAGACCGAGTGCTCGACACAGACCAGACCGAGTGCTCGACACAGACCGAGTGCTCGACACAGACCGAGTGCTCGACACAGACCGAGTGCTCGACACAGACCGAGTGCTCGACACAGACCGAGTGCTCGACACAGACGAGTGCTCGACACAGACCGAGTGCTCGACACAGACCGAGTGCTCGACACAGACCGAGTGCTCGACACAGACCGAGTGCTCGACACAGACCGAGTGCTCGACACAGACCGAGTGCTCGACACAGACCGAGTGCTCGACACAGACCGAGTGCTCGACACAGACCGAGTGCTCGACACAGACCGAGTGCTCGACACAGACCGAGTGCTCGACACAGACCGAGTGCTCGACACAGACCGAGTGCTCGACACAGACCGAGTGCTCGACACAGACCGAGTGCTCGACATAGAACTTTCCCTTCCTTGCGTTATGCGGCTCTTTCGTCTCACGACTGCCAAAGCTCGCACTGCCCGCAAGCGCTCTTTTCTCTCGTCTCAACCCCCCTACTCCCCCCCTCATCTTCCCCACCATCCCCCCCCCCCCCCCGCCCCCCCCCGCCCCCCCCCTCCCCCCTCCCCTTCCATTTCGCGCTCCTCCCTGCGATTTTCTCGCAGACCTCCAGCACCGGCACGACCGACCCTTGCCCCAACTCCAACGAGGTGAGCCGCGCGCCACCCTCCCTCGCCCACACGACGCCACTTTTCCAGTCTGATTATTCACGGCTCACGCGCTTTGCGCACCATTACCGGCTCGACGGACTCTTGCCCCAACTCCAACGAAGTGAGCCGCGCACAACCGTTGCGCACACAACCCCACTCCCACCTACCTGCCCGACCCGAAGGCTGATCGCTTCTCACCTCACGTGCTCTGAAGTTGCCCATTCTCTGGCCACCTCAATTGTCGCCACGGCCGCCCCCATCCCCCCTCCCCCCCCCTCTCTTTCCCCCCCTCCTCCTCCCACCTTCCCGACTCGGACGCTGGTGTCGTGCAGTGTCCGAGCAAGAAGGGTTGCTTCGCCAAGGGCGACTACTGCGACGGCGTGAAGAACTGCGCCGACGGCAGCGACGAGTGGCCGTGGATCTGCAACTTCGACATGGACTGCGGCAAGCTCAACGCCTCGCACGTGAGTGCTGGGAAGGAGGAACGGAGACAGATGGGCAGGGATGGGCAGGGATGGGCAGGAACGGGACAATGTGAGCCTCAGGAGGGATGGGTAGGGATGGAGGTCCAAGCAGCTTCGGGATGGATAGCGGCAAGCGAATGCTGTGCAGTGAGGGGGAAGATACGCGGTAGAGTATGGGACGATAAGAGACGTACGAGGTATAGCTGGAAACCTAAGATGGGGGGTGCATATATGTCGCCATTTGCTGACCAGGAGCTTAAAGTTCGAGATTCGGCTGTTTTTTATGCTGTGGGCTGCGCCTTCGTGTCTGCCCTGCTTGTAATTCGTGGCATCGTGGGTGTTTGACTCTCAGGTGCTCTGCCCAGACGCCCCCAGCGTTTGCATCCTGCCCAACCAATTCTGCAACGGCAAAACCGAGTGCCCGGAGTCCCTGGACGAAGACCCCCGGTTCTGCGCGAATTTCACCTGCCCGAGGAACAACATTCGCTGCCCGGGGCTCAACATGTGCAAGCCCAACGGTACGCTGTGCAACGCGGTGGCGGACTGCCCTGCGAAGACAGCTGGCGGCGTGGCAGTGGACGAGGACCCGGCCTTCTGCCGGCCGTACGTTTGCCCCAAGGGCTTCTCCAAGTGCAGCAACAAGCTGCAGTGCGTCGACGATGCGCTCTGGTGTAATGGCGTTGCAGATTGTAAAGGTAAGCCACCATGCGCTATATTCTGAAATCATAATTATTAGTACATTACCGAAGAAGTGAAGTTCTCGCTATGCCTGCCTTACAAGGTTCTTGATTTCCCCACCGACCACCTGTCTCTGTTTCTGTCTCTGTCATTCTCTTCCATGGGCCTCTGCCATCCACTCGCCATCCAGTCTGCCATCCAGTCTGCCATCCTCTCTGCCATCCACTCTGTCATCCACTGTCCCCCGACTCCTCTGTTGCCTGTCACATGCTACAGATGGCAGTGACGAGGTGGGCTGCGATAAGAGGAACTGCACTAAGGGGTTCCGAAAGTGCAGGGATCAGCTACAGTGCGCCTTGAAGGTCAACTGGTGCAACAAAGTGGCTGATTGCAAAGGTAATTAACCTGCTTCATCTCAACTGTCAAGCTTCAATCCGTGTTGTGCCAGCATAACACTGCAGACAGCTCACTTCTGTTTCTTGCCTGTGTGTGTCTCGTCTGGTGTTACCATGTAACACCCGTGCAGATGGAAGTGACGAGGACAGATGTGACACTCCCCCAGCGCCCCCCAAGGCCCCTTCCACAGCTCCTCCCAAGGCCCCACCCACAGCTCCCCCCAAAGCCCCACCCAAGACCCCCCCCAAGGCCCCACCTAAGACTACACCTAAGGCCCCACCTAAGAGCTCTCCGAGGAGGCCACCCCCGCCCAGATCGTCAAAGAGGCCTCCAGTTAAAGCACCCCCCAAGTCCGCCCCCAAATCTCCCCCGAAGCCACCTGCCAAAGGAAATGGCATGCAAATCAGGATTACATGGTAGAAGGTGGATGGTTTTTGTTGAAAGCAATGTTAATAGTATGGCTTTTCTCATACTAGGTGATTGTTTTGGTTTTTATTATTTTTATAGCGAATGAAATTCCTGAAGTCTCTGCATAAATCCGAAAGCGCCTAACCACAGAACACGAATCGACCTGCCCCTCTCAAACCTCTCCATCTTTCTCACAAAACACCCTGCGACTCGGAGGCTGATAAACCCACATCATTTCCACCTGAACGACTTTCCTCCACCCGCCTGGAAGCAGTTCGCAATTCCCCCCACCCTCATTCGCTCGCTCCCCCCAATTCCTTCCCCCCACAGCCTTCCCCACCTTCCCTCAACACCTCCCCTTTCCCACCCTGCGATTTCGCCTACACCTGTCGCCAGCGCACCTGCCGCTGCTGTCGCTTCCCCCTCCTGTCCTCTGGTTCGAAGTGCGCCCACCTGACCCCACATCATCCATCTCCGCTCCTCTGCACCACTGTAGCAGCCGCAGCCATCACACACCTCCCCCTGGTGTTCAAACCAGGGCTTCTGCTAGGTTCCTGCGCCGCTCGGACGTTCAGGGCGCCCCTCGAAGATTACCCTGAAAAACAACGGCACGGCCAAATCGTGCCCTTACGAAAAGGACTCGCACCAGATCCCCTCGGCCAAAACCGAGCTGCCTTTAAAAACGCTCTTTTCTAGTTATTAATTGTCCAATAAAATTCAAGTTATTGATGCATGCAATGTCTAAAGAATGTTTAGAGGTACACTAGCCAAGAACTCACATCACACCAACCTTGCGTCACGGACGGAAACAGCGAGCGCGAGTTGAGGGGCCAACTGACTGGAGGAGGGGCGAGATTACTGGAGGAGCTGAAATGGCTGGTGGACGAGCGAGATGAGGTGCGCAAGCTGACTAGATTGGCAGGGCAGCACACGTGAGGTGAGGAGGAAGTTCTCTCTCGCGGGAGGGGGAGGGGGGGGGGGATTGGGGTCTGGCTACGGGTAGCCTCAAACTTCTCTCGGGCGAAAAGCCTGGCACCCAAAAGTCCCCTGAAAACCAACGAGAGAGTAAAATTTCAACTCTTTTTTTCAAGGGCTGCCTCTAAACCAACCCTGAAAATCAGTCAAGAACGGGCATTCACCCTGTTAGCATAAGCCCTGGTTCAAACTTTCAGTCTGTCACGCTCGCCCTATCTTCCTTCGAGCGGGAATCCCGATTTTTTTAAGTCACAGTCGAATGAAACCAACTCGAGCGAGCCGTTCCCGTTGCTGATACTGTACCGCGTAGTTAGTACTGCACAACCCTAGACCTGGATCCGGCTTCTTCTTCCTAGCTCGGAAATAATACATCTACCCGGAGTGTGACGCGAATGCGTGCCGCGGAAAGTTAGGCATTTGCAGGCGACCGTTACCTTACTTCTCATCGGCGTCTCTGCTGGTCCGTTCTTTAAGTCTCATTTGGAAAGAAAAAGAAAAACAAAAGCATTCATTTCAGTTGCCCACTTGATCACCAGATATACCACGCAACGCAGCGTGTAGCATCGCAAACGTCGCACTCACCGTCACAATCACCGTCGTCGCCGCCCATGGCGGTCGGCCATGCTCATATCTGCCTGCGGCTTGTGCTGCTGGCGCTCTTGGTCGCGGCGGGTAGCTCACAGGTAACCGTCGCTCGTAACGAAATACTGGTAACCAACACAGGTAGGTATCGCACGTAACATGCTCCTGGCACTCCTGGTCGCGGCCAGCAGCTCACAAGTAATCGCACGTGGCATGGGTAGTAGTCATTGCATGTAACCATCACTGGTATCCAGCATAGGTAGCCATCGCACGTAAGCCCACAGATAGCAGCAGCAGCGGCAGCAGCATCAGGCTAATTGTCAGCAGCAGTAGGTTAACCGCGGTTTCAGCCCAGTGCAGGTGGCTCGGATAGCGGGGAAAGGGGGTGGGGAGGGGGGGATAAGGAGGGGGATAAGGTACGGAGTAGCTTGTAGGCACACAGTGAGCGTCAATGAGGCGCACAGGTCGACTGGGGCAGGACGGGCTCACGGGCACAGGCAGTGCCACTGCTTGAGGGGTCAGGGGGGCAGGGGGGCAGGCCGAAGGCGCAGGCAGGCAGTCGGAAGGGACTGCTTCTTGTGAGAGTCAGTGAATTGAGCGTGCGTGCTTGCCTCGTTCGATCTTCATGGCACTCCATGCTCACTCTGTCCTCCCTCCTCCCCCCCCCCCCCCCCCCCCACTTTCCCCCCCTCTCCCCTTTTCACCCTATCCCCTCCCGCTCTCCCCGGTATCGCGGCCCTTCACCCTCCTCTCTCGGCCACGCAGAGCACGCCCGGGAGCAGCACGGACCCCTGCCCGGGAGCCAACCAGGTGAGCTGCGCGCTCTACTACCCGCTCGCTCTCTGCGCACCCCTTGCTTCCCTGTCTGTTGTGCTGCCAGCCGCTGCCACCCCACTTACAAGTCATGCCACTTGCTGCCGCCCTTCCACTTGTCTGGCGTACCTTTGCTTGCTGTCAAGGGCTCCCTCTCCCAATCCTGCCTCTACCCGCCTCTTGCTTCCACCTTGTTCTCTCGCCTCCCCCCCATCCCTTCCCCCACACCCCCTCTCTTCCCCACCCCACCACCAGTGCACCAGCAGAAGGAGGTGCTTCAGCAGGGGCGACTACTGCGACGGCGTGAGCAACGGCGTGGCTAATCCGCCATCCGTGCTCCCCTTGCCTTCTCCCTTCCTCTGCCCTCCCCTCCTCTCTCCTCCTCTCCTCTCCTCTCCTCGCCTCTCCTCTCTTCGCCTCTCTCCTCTCCTCTGCGCAGTGCCCCGGCAAGAAGGGCTGTTTCAGCAGCGGCGACTACTGCGACGGCGTGAAGAACTGCGCGGACGGCAGCGACGAGTGGCCGTGGATCTGCAACTTCGAGATGGACTGCGGCGCGCTCAACGCCTCGCACGTGCTATGCCCGGACTCCCCCAGCGTTTGCATCCTTCCCGGGCAGTTCTGCGACGGGAAAACCGACTGCCCAGATGCGCTGGACGAGAAGCCTGAGTTCTGCGCGAATTTCACCTGCCCGAGGAACAGTTTACGGTGCCCCGGGTTGAGCATGTGCAAGGCGGGCGGCGCGCTGTGCAACGCGGTGCCGGACTGCCCAGGGAAGGCAGGTGGCGGCGTGGCAGTGGACGAGGACCCGGCCTTCTGCCGGCCGTACGTTTGCCCCAAGGGGAGCTCGAAGTGCAGCGATGGGCTTCAGTGTGTGGACGATGTGATGCGGTGCAATGGGGTGAAGGAGTGTCGGGATGGGTCGGATGAGGTGGGGTGTGAGGGGTGGAACTGCACCAAGGGGTTCCGGAAGTGCAAGGACCAGCTGCAGTGCGTGTCGAAGCTCAACTGGTGCAACAAGGTCGTCGACTGCAAAGGTGAGGAGATGGTTTGCTCCATCACAGATGTCTGCTCTTTTTCGCCTACATCCTTCATCTGTTGTCCGCAAGTGCAAGGACCAGCTGCAGTGCGTGCCGGAGCTCGACTGCGAAGGTATTTATTTGAAGTAACTTTTCCGCTGCCTCCTTCGCCTGCCGCCTTTGCCTGCCTCCTTCGCTAGCTGTTATGTTTCCTCTGTCCCCCACCAGTGGTTGGCCGTTCACCTATTTATTTGTTATGTTTCCTCTGTCCCCCACCAGTGGTTGGCCGTTCACCTACCCATGGTTTTCACCTATTCTTTCACGTCTAGTCCATCATGCATATGCTCTCTCTCTCTCTCTCTCTCTCTCTCTCTCTCTCTCTCTCTCTCTCTCTCTCTCTCTCTCTCTCTCTCTCGTGCCGTCTCTTGCTGGTTGTGCAACAGATGGTACTGATGAGGCAAGCTGCATCCCTGCCGACAGCACACCCGGCACCGGCGCTGGCACCGGCACTGGCAATAAGGGCAGCGGGGCCGGCAGTGGCAGCAGTGGTACCGGGAAATCTGCTGGCACTGGTGGCACTGGCGGGAACAAGTCTGGTGGCAATGGCGGCACAGGAGGCAAGCCCGGCGGATCAGGCTCTTCTGGGGGCCCTGGGAAGACACCCTCCCCACCCAAACCATCCCCACCTAAGAAATCCCCTCCCAAATCACCCCCCAAGTCACCCCCCAAGTCATCACCCAAGTCGCCGCCCAAGTCGACTCCGAAACCTCCTGCGAAAAGCCCTCCCAAGTCCCCACCCAAGAGCCCTGTCAAGTCGTCGCCCAAGCCCCCGGCCAGGAGCCCCCCGGCCAAGAGCCCCCCACGCTCGCAGGGTCCGCCTAAGAAATCACCACCGTCGGACGCCAAGCGGAGCAACGTTGGAGCCAAGTACCCGGTGTCGGGGAATGACGGCAAGCGGGGCATCACCGTTACCGTTCGGTGGTGAAACAATTGATATGCTTGCTTACAGTGGTTTTCTAGACACGTAATTGTAAAATGGCGTGTTGTACTATGTACGTCCCTGTTCCTGTTTTGTATGCATGTGTCATATGGGTATGCTAGTTGTACTATGTAGTATGCTATGGATGCCTGTTTGTTGTTATGCATTTTATTAAAAATGGATCATTTGAAAGCCGCGTAGTCACCAATGCCGAATAAGAGAATTCATCAGCGCACCCGTGTTTGAAAGTCAGCGCGAATTTGAACTTTGTGGTCTGACATCAAGGCACCATGACGCAGGTCAACGGCGACTCGAGCCCTAGCCGCGGAACGATTGTGATTGGTTGTCACGAACACTAACATTCACCAACCGCTGAACAGTTGTGATTGGCCACCGTTCGAGAACACATCATCCAACTCCTCTGCTGTAGTTACCATGCATATCAGCCATACACATCGATTGTTTTCGGTACCATCCCATCCAACGGCGTATCGAATTGGAAAGCTCACATAGGGATGTGCACAGCCGTCAGATCAAGCATGATACCATGCATGGACTGAAGGAACATCCTTCCCCCATCACTTGTTTGTCTGTCAGGCGCGCTCTCGGAGGACGGACCCGCGTAAGCACGGCCAGCGCTGCGAGACACTCCCGCCAGCAGCCGCGCGCGGTCGTCACTGCACAGGTGTTCGCAAACGTTACTCTAGACTCTCGCAAACAGAAACGTCTGCTGGCGAGCAAGTTACCCTCTCGTTAGCAAACTCGTTTCCTCCAGGAACCCTTTCGCCGTGATCCCCCTTTTCAGCAGATTCCGTTTGTCGCCGGGGGCTGTGGCGGCGGAACTCCACTCCCCAATTCACAAGGAGCGGCAGCAAGACTTTCCGCGCCACTCCCTTCCCCCAGTCCCTCCCCCCAGTCCCTTGCCTTGCTCAACCCTCTCGCCTGGCCTGCTTTGCTTGAATCCTTCCTCTCCATTCTCCCTTGGGAATTCACATCCCTGAATTGCTTCCCTCACTTACCTCAACTGCTCTGGTATTCCTGAAACATTTCTTTCTACGCACTAGTTTTCCTCGGAATTCCTCGGTTAAATTGCCTCCGTTAGCCGTCGCAGTCGTGTAGCCATGGCGACCTTAACTTCCTAGCTTGTTCGTTAGATCTATGGCCACCGGAACGTCAAGCTACAGCTTGTAGAATTGTTAAGCATGCAGCCACAGAAATTTCGTAGTTTTCTAGCTACGGACCGTAGTAATGGCCGACGTAACTCTATGCTGGAATAGTTCCTGAAGCTACGTAACCATAGTCGTGTACTAGTTTCGCTCAGACGTAGTCTCCTGATTCTTCAAGCTCGGAAGGTATCTCCTAGTTTTCCATAGCTCGGAATCTATCTTCATTCAATTATTTCGTACGTCTTATAGCTCCAAAGCTACCGGAAGTTATTTCCTAGTTCTTAAAGCTCCAGAGCTGTCTTCTATTTCTATAGCTCGGACTCTATCTCTCTGTTTTATACCGCGGAGGCTATATCATCCCAGATTGATAGCTCGGATCCGTAGCTTCCGACACCGCCAATTCATTGTCGCGTCTGGCGCAGCGGGACTCCAGAATCGGCGAAATCCATGATTCAGCGACGGTGAAAGCGGAGCTCCTGAGAGGACTGCGTCGAAGCTTCAGACGGAGATATTGACGATCCAGAAACGGCGGATTTGGTGCGTAAGTGACGACGGTATTGAAGCCTCAGAGCCGGCGAAACCCTAGCGTCAGCGACTGCGAAACCGGTGCTTCAGCGATGAAGAAGGGGAGTTCAAAACACGGCAAAAGCGGAGTCCGTGGAACCCACGCTTCAGTGACGGCGGAACCACGTTCAGAGACGCTCCGTAATTCCGCCGACGCTGCTGACGATTATGGCGAGGCCGCTGCTAGCGAATTCCGCGACCTTGCTGGCGATTTCGGCGACGCTTTTCACGATCTTGGCGACGCTGCTGGCGATCTCGGCGACGCTGCTGGCAATCTCGGCGACGCTAATGGCGATTTCGACGACCCTGCTGTTGGCGATTCGCGCGAACCTGCTGCTGGCGATTCCGGCCACCTTGCTCTTGGCGATTCCGGCGACCCTGATCCTGGCGATTCCGGCGACCCTGATCCTGGCGATTCTGGCGACCCTGATCCTGGCGATTCCGGCGACCTTGCTCTGGCGATTCTGGCGTCCTTGCTGCTGGCGATTCCGGCGACCTTGCTGTTTAGGCGATTCGACCTTGCTGCTGGCGATCTCAGGGACCTTGCTTGCGATTCCAGCGACCTTGCTGCTGGCGATTCTGGCGACCTTGTTGCTGGCGATTCCGGCGACCTTGCTGCTGGCGATTCCGGCGACCTTGCTGCTGGCGATTCCGGCGACCTTGCTGCTGGCTATTCCGGCGACCTTGCTGCTGGCGATCTCGGGGACCTTGCTGGCGATTATGGCGACCTTGCTGGCGATTCCGGCGACCTTGCTTCTTGCAGCCCCGGCGACCTTGCTGCTGGCGACTCTAGCGACATTGCTGGCGACTCTGGCGACCTTGCTGGCGATTCCGGCGACCTTGCTGCCGGCTATTCTGGCGACCTTGCTGCTGCTGCCGGCGGTGTTGGCGACGGTCCTGCTGCTGGCGGGGATGGTGTCGCCGCTGCTGCATCCGCTCCGATCTGACAACGCCCCCACCCGACAAGGGTGGCAATCCGCTGCTAAGTGCTCTTACCCTTCTCCGTTTCACGTTTCCATTGCTGTTTCCTGTTATTGCTGTTATTGATGGCCCCAGGCATTGCTGCGTGGGTGGCTGAGAGGTGGATGGGAGGTTGGAGTAATTTGGTGAACGTAAGGACGGGGTGGCTCAAGGCACTTGGCGGTCGCTCTCATGGTCTAGTCGGGTAGAAAGCATTCATTCTCATGCGCGCGTCCCTCTCTCCCTTCTTGAACCTCCTCTTTCTCGTCTCAGTCCCCCTTGCATGGCTGCCAAGCGCCTAGAGTTCGCCCGTCCCTCACGCTCCAAACTCCTTGAACCCTTGAAAGCCTCCCATTGCAGTAGTGCCGTGGGTCTTAGTCGCCTTGCATATCCCTCATTCTTGCATTCAAGTTTTTGCTTGGGGCTTGTCGATTGTCGTGGGTAACACCTCTACCAGACACTAACCTGCGCTTTGATTCTGTGCCTCTCCCATTTCTCTGCAGGGATCGGTTTTAGCTGCAGCAGAAACGGCACCTCGGCAGCAGCAGCAGCAGCCGTGAGCATGTGGGATGACGCACGGTAGAGACGGTCACAGTGTTGTGACCGCCTCGTGAGTGCCCTGCTGACCACTGCCTGCAACCACTCCTGTTGGTGGGAGCAGCGTCGCTTGATGCAGCTCCTATTGCTTGGAGGGTGCGCTGCTGCTGCTTCTGGTGGGAGTGCTGCTGGCGCTGTGCTGACCGCTGCTCTGCCTCCTGTTGGTGGGAGCAGCGGTCACTGGTGGGAGCAGCGGCGCTTGAGGGAGCTCCTGTTGGTGCGAGGGTGCGCAGCTGAGGTGCGGCTGGGGTGCGGAACCCAAGGGTCAGCGACGGACGGCGGAACCCTATTGCTGCTGCTGCTGCCGGCCGTGTTGGCGATCCTGCTGTCGCCGCTGACGATTTCGGTGGCCGTGCGCTGCTGCTGCTGCTGCTGCTGCTGCTGCTGCTGCTGTGGTGGTGGCAATGGCGGGGGTGATCCTGCTGCCACTACTGGCAGGGGTGGTGTCGCCGCCGCTGCATCCGCTCCGACAACGAGCCCACCCGACGCGACGATCCGCTGCTAAGTTCTCTTACCCTTCTCCATTTCGCGTTCTCGTTTTGTTATTGCTGTTATTGATGGCCTTAGGCACTGCTGCGTGGTTGGCTGAGAGGTGGATGGGCGGTTGGAGTAATTTGGCAAGTGGGGGCGTGGCGGCTCAAGGCGCTTGGCGGTCGCCTGCACTGCATTCATGGTCCAGTCGGGGTTGTTTAATTTATTCACTCCCATGCGCGCGTCCCTCTCTCCCTTCTTGAACCTCCTCTTTCTCGCCTCAGTCCCCCTAGCATGACTGCCAAGTGCCTAGAGTTCGCCCGTCCCTCACACTCCAAACTCCCTGAGCCCTCGAAAGCCTCCCATTGCAGTAGTGCCGTGGGTCTTAGCCTCCCATTGCAGTAGTGCCGTGGGTCTTAGCCTCCCAGTGCAGTAGTGCAGTAATTCATGTTGCTCAATTTCCAGTTTTGGCGCGTGGCTTGTCAACTGCTGTGGGGAGCACCTGTTCCAGGCAATAACCTTCGTTCTGCACCTCTGCAGGAAACCGCTCCAGCCGCAGCAGCCAAACTTGAGCAACGGCAGCACTGGAGCCGCTGCATCAACGCCCACTTCAGCAGCAGCAGCAATGGCGCTTCTCCCGCCATGCCTGTCTAAGCCCCCTGCATGGCTCCTTTCTCGACGCAGCACCTCCCTCTCCTTCCTACACTCCTCCTCCTCCTCCTCCTCCTCCTCCTCCTCCTCCTCCTCCTCCTCCTCCTCCTCCTCCTCCTCCTCCTCTTCCTCCTCCTCCTCCTCCTCCTCCTCCTCCTCCTCCTCCTCCTCCTCCTCCTCCTCCTCCTCCTCCTCCTCCTCCTCCTCCTCCTCCTCCTCCATGCCGTCCTTTCTCGCCTGACCTCTCGATGTTGTTCATTCCTCTTTGTCTTCACGCCACTGGCTGTTGCACCCACAAGTCACGGAAGGTAAGTACCCCCGCCAGGTGCGTCAGAGTAAGTTTCCCCCAAGCCCCTTCAACGTGACTTGTGGGGGCTCTTTTCTCCAGTGGCCCTTGCATTTTGCATCTTGTTTTTTGTTAGTAATGTTGCGTTTCCGTTCTATTTGCCGCTCTTGCATTTTGCAATTTTTTTTAGTTTTTTTTGTAGATGACTCTGCTATCTGCGTTTCGTTTTGTGCTGTTGCTATGAAGCCTGGGATCTCCCACTCGCACTCACCTTTGCTGTGAACTTAAGTGCCTTTTGTTTTCCTGCAGGACTGCAGCAGCAGCAGCAGCAACACCGGCTGCAGCAACAACACCGGCTGCAGCAACAACACCGGCAGCAGCAGCAACACCGGCAGCAGCAGCAACACCGGCAGCAGCAGCAGCACTGGCAGCAGCAGCAGCACAGGCGTCACTAGCAGAGGGATGACGCACGGCAGGGGCAGTCACAGTGCTGTGACTGCCCTGTGGAATGCCCTGCTGAGGAGCAGCACCAGCAGAGGAGCAGCAGCAGTGGGATGACGCACGGCAGGGGCAGTCACAGTGCTGTGACTGCCCTGTGGAATGCCCTGCTGAGGAGCAGCACCAGCAGAGGAGCAGCAGCAGTGGGATGACGCACGGCAGGGGCAGTCACAGTGCTGTGACTGCCCTGTGGAATGCCCTGCTGAGGAGCAGCACCAGCAGAGGAGCAGCAGCAGTGGGATGACGCACGGCAGGGGCAGTCACAGTGCTGTGACTGCCCTGTGGAATGCCCTGCTGAGGAGCAGCACCAGCAGAGGAGCAGCAGCAGTGGGATGACGCACGGCAGGGGCAGTCACAGTGCTGTGACTGCCCTGTGGAATGCCCTGCTGAGGAGCAGCACCAGCAGAGGAGCAGCAGGGGGGGGGGGGGGGGGGGGGGGGGGGGCAGCAGTGGGATGACGCACGGCAGGGGCAGTCACAGTGCTGTGACTGCCCTGTGGAATGCCCTGCTGACCACTGCTGCACCCGCTCCTGCTGAGGAGGGGTAGAAGAGGGGAAGGGAGGAAGGGCACACATCCCATCCCCATACCCACACCCTTTGCGTGTGTGGCTGGGAGTGAGGAAGGAAGGCGAGGGGTTGATGCGCCCCTAAGAGTAAAGCGTGGCCGGCCGAGTGGGGGGCCTTGGTTGGAGAGGAGCACTTGCCACAGTCGGCGCACACCCTTGGGGTGTGCGGCTGGGAGGGCGGAAGGAAGGCGAACGAGGGGGTGATGGTGATGAGAGTGAGGTGCCAGCAGTCTGTGTGGAGGGCGCTGGGTGGGACGCTGCCTGGCGTCCGAAGCATGCCTGCCTGAGCTTGAGCTGGGGCGACTGCAGGTGGGACGCTGCCTGAGGTCGCCCCAGTCTCAGCTGGCCCTCACTCCAGGCCAGGCGGGACGCTGCCTGGTCTGAGGCCAGGTGGGACGCTGCCTGCGCCTGGGGTGGAGGCGCTGGTGGTGGTGGTGGTGGTGATGGTGGTGGTGGTGGTGGTGGTGGTGGTGGTGGGGGTGGTGGTGGGGGTGGGGGTGGCGGTGGCGGTGGCGGTGACGGTGGCGGTGGCGGTGGCGGTGGTGGTGGCGGTGGCGGTGGTGGTGGTGGCGGTGGCGGTGGTGGTGGTGGCGGCGGTGGTGGTGGTGGTGGCGCTGGTGGTAGTGGTGGTGGTAGCGCTGGTGGTGGTGGTGGTGGTGGTGGTGGTGGCGGCGGTGGTGGTGGTGGTGGTGGTGGTGGCGGTGGTGGTGGAGGTGGTGGTGGTGATGGTGGCGCTGGCGCTGGTGTTGGTGGCGCTGGCGCTGGTGGCGCTGGCGCTGGTGGCTGTGGTGGCGGCGGCGGTGCTGATGTGGCTAACCCCCTCGAGTTTGCTAGTTGATACATGTGGTTGCAGCAGTTGCCAAGACAGAGGCTTATGCCTATTCTGTAAGTTGAGTTGCTGCTGCTGTTTGCCTTTTTTTCCTGCTAATGTGTGTTTTTGCTGCTGTTTGGCAAGTGTGGCAGTTATGACCTCGTGTGCCAACATCCGCTGAGGTTTCTCTCGTGTAAATCTCGTTAGCAAAAGCATTCTTGGTTTCCTGGTTGCTATTTCTTTTCCTTAGTCGCTCTAACGACCTGTTTTGGTGTCCTTGGTGGCCGCAGCAAGGAGTGCTGCAGCATGCAGCATGCAGCATGGAGAAGCAAGAGCGGCAGCAGCAGCACCCACAGTGAGGCGCCACGGACCCTCCCTCTCTCCCTCTCTCGCCCTCCTCAGGTGCACACAGCACGGGGGGGAGCAGCAAGGGGGGCTACACCTGCAGTGAGGCGCCACGGACCCACTCTCTCTCCGTCCCTCCCCCTCCTCAGGTGCACACAGCACGGGGGGAAGCAGCAAGGGGGGCTACATCTGCAGTGAGGCGGTGTGGATCACTTTCTCTCCCTTTCACCTGCATGAGAGGCTGTATGGGAGGGTGTGCTTGTCCCCGCCTGCCTTCTGCTTTCCCCCTCTCCCCCCTCCTGCTCAGGTTCCTCACGCTGAAGAAAAGCCGTCAGGGCTCCAAGTCTGGTAAGCACCCTGATGCGTCTGCTTCTCCGACCCAAGGGTAATCGCCACCTGAGTAGAGGCTCCAATGCTCCCAGTCTGGTAAGCACCCAATCCCTTTCCTTCTCCTCGACTCTTTCGCTCGTCCTGCCCTCTTTTTCGCTCATCCTGCCCTCTGTTTCGCTCATCCTGCCCTCTGTTTTCCTTGCGCTCGTCGTTGATGTCATTGCTTTGCCTCCTTCCCTTACACCCGCTCTCGTCTTTCCCCAGTTCTCTTTCCCCCCAGTCAATCCGTCTCACTAATTTTCTCTCTTTTTTTCCTCTCAGTGCTGTTCCCCCTCCCCTTACACCTTGTATCCCCTTCCCCAGGCGTCAGCAGCAATGGCAGGCGCAGCAGCAAGGAGAGAGGACAGCACTGGCAGGCGCTGTTGCTATGGGCACAAGGTGCGTTGACTCTGCCTTGGCATGCTGGCTTGTTCGCATTCTGGATTTTTAAAGAGATGTTTTCAACTGTATTAGCATACTGCCCCTTTGCTAGACTCCTCATTTTCCCACCGTGTTTTCTGACTACCATTTCTGTCTCTCCCCTGTTCCCCTGTGCAGGAGATGCCTCCTTTTGCCGTGGCAGCAGTGTACACCGGTGCTAAGAGGTGCCTGGCAGCACCTTCCCTCCATTGACCGGCCCGCGCCCTTGAGGTGTGCGGCTGAGGGGGGAGGAAGGAAGGCAAGGGGTTGATGGTCCCCTATCTGGGAAGAAGGCAAGGGGTTGATGGTCCCCTAAGAGGTGCCTGGCAGCACCTTCCCTCCTTTGATCGGCCCGCGCCCTTGAGGTGTGCGGCTGAGGGGGGGGAAGGCAAGGGGTTGATGGTCCCCTATCTGGGAAGAAGGCAAGAAATTGACGATGAGAAAATGACGATGAGGAATTGACGGCAAGGAATTGACGGGGCCCAATCTGGGTGAGGTGCCAGCAGGCTGTGTGGAGGGCGCTGGGTGGGACGCTGCCTGGCGTCCGAAGCATGCCTGCCTGAGCTTGAGCTGGGGCGACTGCAGGTGGGACGCTGCCTGAGGTCGCCCCAGTCTCAGCCGGCCCTCACTCCAGGCCAGGCGGGACGCTGCCTGGTCTGAGGCCAGGTGGGACGCTGCCTGGTCTGAGGCCAGGTGGGACGCTGCCTGGTCTGAGGCCAGGTGGGACGCTGCCTGGTCTGAGGCCAGGTGGGACGCTGCCTGGTCTGAGGCCAGGTGGGACGCTGCCTGGTCTGAGGCCAGGTGGGACGCTGCCTGGCCTCACTGTGCTTGGATGCTGGCAGTGATGGTGATGGTGGGGGTGGCGGTGGCGGTGGTGGTGGGGTTGGTGCCGGTGGTGGCGGTGGCGGTGGTGGTGGCGACGGTGGTGGGGGGGTTGGTGGCAGCGGTGGTGGTGTTGGTGGTGGTGGTGGTGGTGGTGGTGGTGGTGGTGGTGGGGTGGTGGCGGCGGCGGCGGCGGCGGCAGCAGCATCGACAGCCTAGAGGTGTCGCCTCTCTGCCCCGTGGCAGAGAGGCCAAACCAACTTGTGTGTCTCCCCCCCCAGCAGGCCCCGAGCGAAGGACCCCCACCTCATCGTTGGTGCTCAGGTGTAACACTAGGGGTAACCCCTCTAGTGGCCAAGAGGGGTCTGAAGATACTGAAGCTTTTAAGGGCATAAAATGTGCTGTTTATTCCACCATTGCTAGATGCTTTGATGGTTTGTTGGGACTGGTATTTGCAACTTTTCAATTCTTGCAAAACAGTGAGCGAAGTTTGAACATGCTTATCACTACAGGCTGTCATGTGATCAAGCACGCACGTGCAAGCGTAGGCATAGACCAAAGCGTAAAGCGAATGCAGGCACACTCTCTCCTGTGGAGAGGAGCTCCCGAAAACATAAGATGAACGCAGGTGCAGCATGTGAGGCAAGGCTGGCTATTGTAGTAAAAGACCCTTCGTTTCATTGTTGAGAGGCTTCTGTGTAGTGTATCTGGGCACTATCTAGAGAAGGGTGATACGTACAGCCAGTCGCATCCTCCTCACACCATGACGACAAGGCCAAGGGAAAACCCGCAGCCATAGAAAATGCCACAATTTTGGGAACCAGGAATGGCTGATTCTAGCACGAGCGGTTGTGCCGCAATGCTCAACAGAGGCACCAGCGGGACATGCGAAAGCGGTTACATTTTTTTCACGAAGCTAGTCAATTCGACGACCTGATCTGTTAGCAATTCTGGTCGACAGCGAACGTCTTAGCGGAAGGCAACGGCGGTGCGACTCCTGTCCTGGCCGATACGCTTCTCTCGGGTACATAGCACGACACTGACCCAAGTCCTGAGAAGAATAGTATCCGTTTGTTTAGCGAAGAATAGTTCTTAGCCGCCTCTATGATCGACTGCCGCCGGGCGCGTCATGGCTGTTAGGCTTCTCTCGAGTAATTAGCAGCGAGGTTTTCCTGAGCTCGGAGGAGATTAGTAGCCATAATCTATCTATGAGGAAGGCGGCGCATGGGTCGGAGTCGTTCGTCTTCACGCGTCGCCAGGCGTTCTGCAGCCTCGGCGCCATCCTCGCTATAATGCTCTCCCTCTCCGCCGTCTCCCACCACCTGGGCCGAACCTCCGGCTTTCGCGCCGCTCTACAAGGGCCGCTGCCGCCTAACTCGCACGTAGCAGACTCCACGCCCGTTATAGGAGGTCTACTAGCGAACGCTCAATTAGATGAGGCTAAGCCGAATGTGATTACAACGGGGGACGGAAACCCTTGCGGGGAGCTCGGTGGTAGTAGTGGTACCCGGCATGGGGATTGCGTGGCTCCTTGCCAGAGACGGACCAAGGCGGGGCACTGCGTGAAGGAGCTGTTTCGGCTGTACGACGAGGCGTACGCGTGAGTGACGGGCATCGGGAACGGTGGTTGTAGTTGTGGCTCTGTACGACACTAGTATGGTGTTGCTAGTGACTCTGTGCTCTGCTTCCAGGAGCTGTTTGCTCCATCCCAGCTGTTTGTACAATACAACCCGCTGTGGCCAGCGCGTGTGGATCTATTGGCGCGCAGTCATGTGTCAGACGGCTTCTTCCTGCTGAAGGTACTCCTCAGGAGCATCGAGCACACGTGGCCGCACCCACGCCTCAGGTCGCCTTCTTCCTCCCCCCCCACCCCCCCCACCCCCCCCCCCCTTCCCTTCTCCCGCCCCATCTCCCCCAAACCCAGCCCCCTGTGGCCGGCTCGTGTGGATCTATTAGTCCGCACCGCAGCCACGTGTCGGACGGCTTCTTCTTGCTGGAGGTGCTGTTTAGAAGCATCGAGCAGATGTGGCCGCCCGTGCCCACCCTCTCCACCACCGTCCCCTCCCCAACCCCCCTAAACCCCACATTCCCCCTCCCCCCCGTCTCAAAGCAGCCCCCTGTGGCTTTTGAGTCGACTCAAAAGTCGTCTCGTGCCCACCCTCTCCACCACCGTCCCCTCCCCAACCCCCCTACACCCCCCCGTCTCAAAGCAGCCCCTTGTGGCCAGCGCGTGTGGATCTATTGGTGCGCAGCCACGTGTCGGACGGCTTCTTCCTGCTGGAGGTGCTCCTCAGAAGCATCGAGCTCACGTGGCCGCGGCCCCCCACCCCACCCCCAACCACCCTTGTCCACCCCACTTTCCCCCTCCCCCCCGTCTCAAAGCAGCCCCCTGTGGCCGGCTCGTGAGGGTCTATTGGTGGTGCGCAGCCACGTGTCGGACGGCTTCTTCCTGCTGGAGGTGCTGTTCAGGAGCACACAGCACACGTGGCCACACCCACGCCTCAGGTCACCCTCCCTCCCCGCCCCCGCTCCCCTCCCGTCTCCCGCCCCACCTCCCACAACACAGCCCCCTGTGGCCGGCTCGTGTGGATCTATTGGTGTGCAGCCACGTGTCGGACGGCTTCTTCCTGCTGGAGGTGCTGTTTAGAAGCATCGAGCAGATGTGGCCGCACCCACGCCTCAGGCCACCTTTCCATTCCCCCTCCCTTTCCCTCCCCCCCCTTTCCTCCCCCCCTTCCCCCCACCCCAAAAAACAGCCCCCTGTGGCCGGCGCGCGTGGACTTATTAGTCCGCAGCCACGTGTCAGATGGCTTCTTCCTGCTGGAGGTGCTGTTTAGAAGCATCGAGCAGATGTGGCCGCGCGGCCTTGGAGACGTGGTGCTGGTGCTGGACGAGGGGGAGGACATTGTCAGAGACCTGGTGCCGCCCTGGGTCAAGGTGAGTCAACGCAAGTCAACGCAGGTCGAGATGAGTCAACGGGATCAAGGTGGATCAAGGATGCCATTGGATGAGACACTGTGAGAGGACATTCTTCTGAGAGGGAAACACGCCATTTTCGCCAGTGTGAAGGGCGTGTGGAGAGTGCGTGAAGGGTGTGTGGAGAGTGTGTGAAGGGCGTGTGGAGAGTGCGTGAAGGGTGTGTGGAGAGTGTGTGAAGGGCGTGTGGAGGGCGTGTGAAGGGCGTGTGAGTTTCAGTCATTTTTGTGTTGCTTGCTCTGCTCCCACCCCCCGGGCAGGTGTATTACGAGAAGAACTATCTGGATCTTCCCGGAAAGATCCTCCAGCAGTGGAGCTACCTGTGGGCGGACAACTACACCACAGCGCCATACATCGCCATCATTGACGATGACGTCATCTTCAACCTCAAGGTGCGCCATCAGGGAGTCTATGGAATGATGGAATCAGGGAGTCCCTGCCAACCCTTTGTGAATTCTCCACCCCTGACACTTTGTGAATGCCCCTCCCCTGACACTTTGTGGAATGTCCCTGCCACCCCTTAATGGTTTTTTTTAGAATTCTCAAAAGCCTACCATCAGGGAGACTTGCATACCTGTAGTGAGTGGGTTTATGGAGCGCTCCTCAAGGTGCACCCCACGTGATCGCAGCCAGAACACGCCATCCCCCCTCTCCCCCAGGTGACCCCCGGTCTCCTGTTCAACCTCACAGACGGCAAGCCGTATGTGATCGGGTCGCGCAACACGCAGCGCAACCACTGGTTGCCGTCCACACGCTGGCTGGTGGGGCAGCACGCCTACTTCGCCAACTTCATGGTGCAGCTACCCTTCGTCTTCCCGCGGGCCGTGCTGCCAAAGTTCAGAGACCACGCAGGCGAGCTGCACCAGAAGAAGTTCGGAAGGAGCTTTGACAAGGCGTTCAAGTACTTTGCAGAAAGAGGGCCCAAATTCGAGCGGTGAGTGTGGCGCGGAGTTGACCCACTAACAGTAGAGAACGCGGCAGCCCTTTGTGTTCCCCAGAGACGTGCTGCCAAGGTTCAGAGACCACGTGGGCGAGCTGCGCCAGAAGAAGTTTGGGCGGAGCTTTGACAAGGCGTTTAAGTACTTCTCGGAGCGCAAGTTCGAGCGGTGAGCTGTTTTTGCCCCTGCTGCGCCCCTGATGTGTCGTGTAAGATCAAAAGTCAAGTGTCCAAACCAGCCCGCTTCATTCCTGGCCATAATTTGAAAGAACTCTCTGCGTGAAGCCATGCCCATGACTGGTACAATCACCTGCTGTCGACAGCTCACCCCATCTCCTACTATCACCTCCAATCCCCCATCACACCCAATGGCATGACATGCCCTCCTTCTCGTTCGCTCCCCACCTGCTGCCCCTTGCAGCACCCAGATCGCCCACACGACCCTGGGCAACTACATGTGGCACTTCACTCAGGACGAGGTGAGGAGGGTGGTGCGGTGAGGGAGATGGGTGGCGTGGGGAGAGAAAGTACGGACTACATGTGCCACTTCACACAGGCCGAGGTGAGGACGGTGCTGTGGTGAGGTGGTGAGCCAAAGGGGTCATGGGACGAGGTGAGGACCGCCCCATGCTGCTCTAGGGTGAACCCCTTCACACAGGACGAGGCGAGAGCTCTTTTGAGTTGGCTCTGCTGCATGGATATCCCTGCTCTAGGACCCCCTCCTGCCCCTCTAAGATGGCCCCCTTGCCGCACTAGGACTGCCCTGAAAGGAGAAAGCAGAAGCTCCCACCACTGAACATCCTTCAATGACATAACATGGTGCTGAACATCCTTCAATGACATAACATGGTGCTGAACATCCTTCAATGACATAACATGGTGCTGAACATCCTTCAATGACATAACATGGTGCTGACAATCCTTCAATGACATAACATGGTGCTGAACATCCTTCAATGACATAACATGGTGCTGAACATCCTTCAATGACATAACATGGTGCTGAACATCCTTCAATGACATAACATGGTGCTGAACATCCTTCAATGACAGGGATTTGGGGGAGAGGGACAGAGGGGATCGGAATATTGGGGATAGGGATATGGAGCTGGCAGACATGGGTAGTTGGCGGACTTGGGTAGTTGGCAGACTTGGGTAGTTGGCGGACTTGGGTAGTTGGCGGACTTGGGTAGTTGGCGGACTTGGGTAGTTGGCGGACTTGGGTAGTTGGCGGACTTGGGTAGTTGGCGGACTTGGGTAGTTGGCGGACTTGGGTAGTTGGCGGACTTGAGTAGTTGGCGGGCTTGGGAAGTTGGCGGACTTGGAAAGTTGGCGGACTTGGGAAGTTGGCGGACTTGAGTAGTTGGCGGGCTTGGGAAGTTGGCTGACTTGGGTAGTTGGCGGACTTGGGGTAGTTGGCGGACTTGGGAAGTGGGCGGACTTGGGTAGTTGGCAGACTTGGGAAGTTGGCGGACTTGGAAAGTTGGCGGAATCGGGTAGTTGGCGGACTTGGGTAGTTGGCGGACTTGGGCAGTTGGCAGACTTGGGTAGTTGGCGGACTTCGGTAGTTGGCAGACTTGGGTAGTTGGCGGACTTGGGTAGTTGGCGGACTTGGGTAGTTGGCGGGCTTGGGAAGTTGGCGGACTTGGGTAGTTGGCGGACTTGGGTAGTTGGCGGACTTGGGTAGTTGGCGGACTTGGGTAGTTGGCGGACTTGAGTAGTTGGCGGGCTTGGGAAGTTGGCTGACTTGGGTAGTTGGCGGACTTGGGGTAGTTGGCGGACTTGGGAAGTGGGCGGACTTGGGTAGTTGGCAGACTTGGGAAGTTGGCGGACTTGGAAAGTTGGCGGACTTGGGAAGTTGGCGGACTTTTGGCGGGCTTGGGAAGTTGGCTGACTTGGGTAGTTGGCGGACTTGGGGTAGTTGGCGGACTTGGGAAGTGGGCGGACTTGGGTAGTTGGCAGACTTGGGAAGTTGGCGGACTTGGAAAGTTGGCGGAATTGGGTAGTTGGCGGACTTGGGTAGTTGGCGGACTTGGGTAGTTGGCGGACTTGGGTAGTTGGCGGACTTGGGTAGTTGGCGGACTTGGGTAGTTGGCGGACTTGGGTAGTTGGCGGACTTGAGTAGTTGGCGGGCTTGGGAAGTTGGCTGACTTGGGTAGTTGGCGGACTTGGGTAGTTGGCGGACTTGGGTAGTTGGCGGACTTGAGTAGTTGGCGGGCTTGGGAAGTTGGCGGACTTGGGGTAGTTGGCGGACTTGGGAAGTGGGCGGACTTGGGTAGTTGGCAGACTTGGGAAGTTGGCGGACTTGGGAAGTTGGCGGACTTGGGAAGTTGGCGGACTTGAGTAGTTGGCGGGCTTGGGAAGTTGGCTGACTTGGGTAGTTGGCGGACTTGGGGTAGTTGGCGGACTTGGGAAGTGGGCGGACTTGGGAAGTTGGCGGAATTGGGTAGTTGGCGGACTTGGGTAGTTGGCGGACTTGGGTAGTTGGCGGACTTGGGTAGTTGGCGGACTTGGGTAGTTGGCGGACTTGGGTAGTTGGCGGACTTGGGTAGTTGGCGGACTTGGGTAGTTGGCGGAATTGGGTAGTTGGCGGACTTGGGTAGTTGGCGGACTTGGGTAGTTGGCGGACTTGGGTAGTTGGCGGACTTGGGTAGTTGGCGGACTTGGGTAGTTGGCGGACTTGAGTAGTTGGCGGGCTTGGGAAGTTGGCTGACTTGGGTAGTTGGCGGACTTGGGTAGTTGGCGGACTTGGGTAGTTGGCGGACTTGGGTAGTTGGCGGACTTGGGTAGTTGGCGGACTTGGGTAGTTGGCGGGCTTGAGTAGTTGGCGGGCTTGGGAAGTTGGCTGACTTGGGGGTAGTTGGCGGACTTGGGAAATGGGCGGACTTGGGTAGTTGGCAGACTTGGGAAGTTGGCGGACTTGGGAAGTTGGCGGACTTGGGAAGTTGGCGGACTTGAGTAGTTGGCGGGCTTGGGAAGTTGGCTGACTTGGGTAGTTGGCGGACTTGGGTAGTTGGCGGACTTGGGAAGTGGGCGGACTTGGGAAGTTGGCGGAATTGGGTAGTTGGCGGACTTGGGTAGTTGGCGGACTTGGGTAGTTGGCGGACTTGGGTAGTTGGCGGACTTGGGTAGTTGGCGGACTTGGGTAGTTGGCGGAATTGGGTAGTTGGCGGACTTGGGTAGTTGGCGGACTTGGGTAGTTGGCGGACTTGGGTAGTTGGCGGACTTGGGTAGTTGGCGGACTTGGGTAGTTGGCGGACTTGAGTAGTTGGCGGGCTTGGGAAGTTGGCTGACTTGGGTAGTTGGCGGACTTGGGTAGTTGGCGGACTTGGGTAGTTGGCGGACTTGGGTAGTTGGCGGACTTGGGTAGTTGGCGGACTTGAGTAGTTGGCGGGCTTGGGAAGTTGGCGGACTTGGGAAGTTGGCGGGCTTGGGAAGTTGGCGGACTTGGGTAGTTGGCGGACTTGGGGTAGTTGGCGGACTTGGGAAGTGGGCGGACTTGGGTAGTTGGCAGACTTGGGAAGTTGGCGGACTTGGAAGTTGGCGGACTTGGGAAGTTGGCGGACTTGAGTAGTTGGCGGGCTTGGGAAGTGGGCGGACTTGGGTAGTTGGCAGACTTGGGAAGTTGGCGGAATTGGGTAGTTGGCGGACTTGGGTAGTTGGCGGACTTGGGTAGTTGGCGGACTTGGGTAGTTGGCGGACTTGGGTAGTTGGCGGACTTGGGTAGTTGGCGGACTTGGGTAGTTGGCGGACTTGGGTAGTTGGCGGACTTGGGTAGTTGGCGGACTTGGGTAGTTGGCGGACTTGAGTAGTTGGCGGGCTTGGGAATTTGGCTGACTTGGGTAGTTGGCGGACTTGGGTAGTTGGCGGACTTGGGTAGTTGGCGGACTTGGGTAGTTGGCGGACTTGGGTAGTTGGCGGGCTTGAGTAGTTGGCGGGCTTGGGAAGTTGGCTGACTTGGGGTAGTTGGCGGACTTGGGAAATGGGCGGACTTGGGTAGTTGGCAGACTTGGGAAGTTGGCGGACTTGGGAAGTTGGCGGACTTGGGAAGTTTGGGCGGACTTGAGTAGTTGGGGCGGGTGACTTGGGAAGTTTGGCTGACTTGGGTAGTTGGCGGACTTGGGTAGTTGGCGGGACTTGGGAAGTGGGCGGACTTGGGAAGTTGGCGGATTGGGTAGTTGGCGGACTTTGGGTAGTTGTGCGGACTTGGTAGTTGGCGGACTTGGGTAGTTGGCGGACTTGGGTAGTTGGGCGGACTTTGTTGGGTAGTTGGCGGAATTTGGGTAGTTGGCGGACTTGGGTAGTTGGCGGACTTGGGTAGTTGGCGGACTTGGTAGTTGGCGGACTTGGGTAGTTGGCGGACTTGGGGTAGTTGGCGGACTTGAGTAGTTGGCGGGCTTGGGAAGTTGGCTGACTTGGGTAGTTGGCGGACTTGGGTAGTTGGCGGACTTGGGTAGTTGGCGGACTTGGGTAGTTGGCGGACTTGGGTAGTTGGCGGACTTGGGTAGTTGGCGGACTTGGTAGTTGGCGGGCTTGGGAGTTGGCGACTTGGGTAGTTGGCGGACTTGGGTAGTTGGCGGACTTGGGTAGTTGGCGGACTTGGGTAGTTGGCGGACTTGAGTAGTTGGCGGGCTTGGGAATTGGCTGACTTGGGTAGTTGGCGGACTTGGGTAGTTGGCGGACTTGGGTAGTTGGCGGACTTGGGTAGTTGGCGGACTTGGGTAGTTGGCGGACTTGGTAGTTGGCGGACTTGGGTAAGTTGGCGACTTGGGAGTTGGCGGACTTGGGAGTTGGCGGACTTGGGTAGTTGGCGGACTTGGGTAGTTGGCGGACTTGGGAAGTTGGCGGACTTGGGAAGTTGGCGGACTTGGGAAGTTGGCGGACTTGAGTAGTTGGCGGGCTTGGGAAGTGGGCGGACTTGGGTAGTTGGCAGACTTGGGTAGTTGGCGGACTTGGGTAGTTGGCGGACTTGGGTAGTTGGCGGACTTGGGTAGTTGGCGGACTTGGGTAGTTGGCGGACTTGGGTAGTTGGCGGACTTGGGTAGTTGGCGGACTTGGGTAGTTGGCGGACTTGGGTAGTTGGCGGACTTGGGTAGTTGGCGGACTTGAGTAGTTGGCGGGCTTGGGAATTTGGCTGACTTGGGTAGTTGGCGGACTTGGGTAGTTGGCGGACTTGGGTAGTTGGCGGACTTGGGTAGTTGGCGGACTTGGGTAGTTGGCGGACTTGGTAGTTGGCGGGCTTGGGAGTTGGCGACTTGGGTAGTTGGCGGACTTGGGGTAGTTGGCGGACTTGGGAAGTGGGCGGACTTGGGTAGTTGGCAGACTTGGGAAGTTGGCGGACTTGGAAAGTTGGCGGAATTGGGTAGTTGGCGGACTTGGGTAGTTGGCGGACTTGGGTAGTTGGCGGACTTGGGTAGTTGGCGGACTTGGGTAGTTGGCGGACTTGGGTAGTTGGCGGACTTGGGTAGTTGGCGGACTTGGGTAGTTGGCGGACTTGAGTAGTTGGCGGGCTTGGGAAGTTGGCTGACTTGGGTAGTTGGCGGACTTGGGTAGTTGGCGGACTTGGGTAGTTGGCGGACTTGGGTAGTTGGCGGACTTGGGTAGTTGGCGGACTTGAGTAGTTGGCGGGCTTGGGAAGTTGGCGGACTTGGGAGTTGGCGGGCTTGGGTAGTTGGCGGACTTGGGTAGTTGGCGGACTTGGGAAGTGGGCGGACTTGGGTAGTTGGCAGACTTGGGAAGTTGGCGGACTTGGAAAGTTGGCGGACTTGGGAGTTGGCGGACTTGGTAGTTGGCGGACTTGGGAGTTGGCGGACTTGGGTAGTTGGCGACTTGGAGTTGGCGGACTTGGGTAGTTGGCGGACTTGGGTAGTTGGCGGACTTGGGTAGTTGGCGGACTTGGGTAGTTGGCGGACTTGGGTAGTTGGCGGACTTGGGTAGTTGGCGGACTTGGGTAGTTGGCGGACTTGGGTAGTTGGGGGACTTGGGAAGTGGCGGACTTGGGTAGTTGGCAGACTTGGGAAGTTGGCGGACTTGGAAAGTTGGCGGAATTGGGTAGTTGGCGGACTTGGGTAGTTGGCGGACTTGGGTAGTTGGCGGACTTGGGTAGTTGGCGGACTTGGGTAGTTGGCGGACTTGGGTAGTTGGCGGACTTGGGTAGTTGGCGGACTTGGGTAGTTGGCGGACTTGAGTAGTTGGCG